TGTAGGGGGATAGAATATACAGTTTGTACAGTATAAAAATCATTATGTCTATGGAAAGTCCACATAAAACATGAAAATGTTGAAAATGGTTATGAAAAAAATTATATTTTGGTATAGCCTACATACATGTTCAATGGAGGGACAGAAAACTCTCGGACTAAATCTAAAATATCTTAAACTGTGTTCCGAAGATGAACGGAGGTCTTGCGGGCTTGGAACGACATGAGGGTGAGTCATTAATGACATCATTTTAATTTTTGGGTGAACTAACCCTTTAAATTCTAGGAGATGGATTGATGATTGATTCTTCGAGAGTCAGATTGTTTATTTGAGGTAAAACATATGAAACTTTACACAGATTTCACTACAGCAAATATCATGATGAGGTAATCCGACGTTATATGAGCTCTGCACAGTCTCGCTGGCAAATATTGTGCTGTTTCAGCAGAACAATCCAATGTAATTTGAGTCAGACTAATCTCAACCTTATACTGATTATCAGTGTTAAACAGTATTTCATTGTGTGTGCCATAAGAACAGAACAAAATCTGATAACACTTTATTTTGATAGTCCACTTTAGATACTAATACTCAAATGAGAGTTAGTTGACATGCAGTTGCAAAGTTACTTATAGTTAGTAGACTGTCTCCAGAATATCTTGTCTCATTGACTTCCATTGTAAGAGCATTACACTACTTTGTAAGAGCATTGCACTTTACTCGTTTTTACAAACTGAGGGATGCGTAGGCATTTTATTTTCTGTTAATAAAATGAAAATATTTTCTGTGGTATTCGACTGCATGTCACAGATGCTGTACATAGAGCTGAACTTGTTTTGAACCCAAAACTTTGCTCTAGGCATTATTTTCCACCGAATCCTAAACAAAGATGAAGATGTTGCTGAGGTGTGTTTCTGCTCGAAATTCATCCGATCTGTTTAGGCTTTGTTTGGAGAGCACATGGAAGACTGCACACTGCTCGTCAAGGTAGAATATCATCATCGCATGCCACCTGGCAGAGATGACGAAAGGACTTCGAGTTTCAGGGGCAGCTGTTCAAACCCAAAGAAAGACATCCAGTGCTGTGTTTGGAATGGAGTACTAGCTCACTGGGTACTCAGTACTGTATATCATGTATATTGTGGACTAAATAAAACTATATTTTAAAATAGTATCTTAAAAAGAATAAAATTTGCAACGATTTTAAACAGTAGTATGTTACATTGTTGTCACATGACCTCATCACATTGCATGTTTGAATTTAGTCAGTGGCAGTTCAAACCTTTGATTAACAGACCAATCAAAGAGTTCATAAAGAGATGAGCATTCATGAAAGAAATGGAAGTGAAGCGAGTACATCGCATTGTGGGATGCAGGACTCTGCACAGTGTACTTCACTGGTGCACCACACAAATGTAATTAGTCATCTGAGTATTGCATGCATATTTGCTTACCATGCATATTATAAATATTATAGGCTATACTTAAATAGGAAGAGTAGTATGCAATTCTGAACGGCCAAATATCATGTTCGGAGGCGATTTTTGTTTTTAATGACCCTACAAGTTTGATTAAATCATCAAAATATGAGAAATCTTTTATATTTTTAAGTATTTTAAATATGAGGGAAGATCATAGGCAGTTAAGGTATTTATCTGACAAAATTATTTGGCAAAAAAAGGCAACAGTTACAGGTTTTATTTTACTATGCAAAAAGAAATGCATAAAAAACAAAAAGCTCACAGGAAAAATCATACCTTTGACTACAACATAATCAGTTATTAATATTTCGTTGGTTCTTGGTGGTTTTTGCATGTGCTCATAATGTTTGTGACAGCCTCGCCAAACATTGTACAATTTGGCATGTATGATTGCGTCTTTAACAACTTTGGAATAATATTTGAATAAAGGGTGAAGATGTCAGTTTTCCCAGGCTGGATATCAATTTCGGCCACTACCGTATTATTGACAATTTTCCTGTTTAAAAAAAAATCAGAGATCCGACAAAAAATAACAACTAGTTTCAGAATTATATTACCGGAGCTTTGTTCAACAAGTGTGTGGTTAGTAGCCGCTCTTGCTCAACTACAGAGGGTTCACTCTGAAGATTTTCATTTGTTCACCCTCATGCTGTTCAAACCTATGACTTTCTTATATGGGGTATAAAAAGGAGAAATGATGGAGAATGTATTTGCCACTCCAAAATGGCACATTAAAAGTCATGTGGGCCACTTTTATGGTGCTTCCTTGGAGATTGACAACTTGTAAATTGTATCCCCAATAACTTTTGTTATATGTAGAGGAGTGGCAAGTACATTCTACAGAGTTTCTCCTTTGATGTTCCACAGAAGAAAATAGAAGTCGTACAGGTTTGGAGTGACACGAGGGTGAGTCCCTTTAATTCCATGACGTCAATGCAGTTCAGAAGAACAATTTATCATTTATATTTCCCGAGAAATTTGGATTTCCGACTTTGAACTGAATTCCACCGAATCCCTCAAAGTGCCGGAACCGAAATAGTCCTGCAGCTCAAATAAGGCTTATTATTCACGGAGCTGAACTGCCACAGTCTTTTGTGTTCTTCAGATCTCACAGCCTTCATTGATTTATCAAAGTGGATGAGACATGTATAGTTAGGTCTAGCGCTGGTTTCAGACTTCACTGTATGCCATGCTATAATGACGGCACCAGTAAGAGCATTGGTGAATTATTTAATGGGTACGATTTCCCAGGGGGCCGTGCAGAGCCTCTGTTACCATGGAGGCCGATGCCAGCCATGTATTCGCTGATACAATGTGAAGTTTGCATTTCAGCATTTGGAATATGCAAAACAATGTTATCGTTATATGATTGCGCATTATTTGATATGTAGAGAGGCTTTATCATTGCATTTGACAAGTAAAGAGTAAGCCAGAGTTGGTTTATTTATTTTTTAACTTAAATTATATATTACAGAACTAATATACATAATTGGTGCACTTCCATGGAAAAATTTGGCACAATGCTATAGTTTTTCCTAGTGATTTTTGATTTGTTTTTTGGGAGTTGCTAATGAAAACTGATTAAGATTTCAGAAAAATTACATTGCCCTTTGCAGTTATTTTTTTATATATATTTCTAGTATACATTGCCTGGTCAAAAAAAAAAAGTCACCGTTTGGATTTAAACAGGCAAATGCTTAAGAGTCATGATTATTATGTTTATTATGATTATTACAGAGTGCTTGACTCTTGCATTTTCAATACAAGATCTTGACCAAAAATTGATGCACCTCTTGATGGAAATAAATGTTTAGCCAAAAATCCTTGGTTATGTACGGGTGGGACACAATTTCGATAGGGCAATATATCGTTGTCCTTCTCCGTGCGATACGAGAATCGCTAAACTGGCGCCAAATATCGATATTTTAATTAATAAAATAAGGTGCTGTAAATAGATTTTCCTGCTCCCAGCGTCTCTACTTCATGTCTCCTCTAGGTTGCGCTCAACACATGAATGAGGGAAACGAGAACATAAGTTAACTAGCCTAAGAAAAAGAGTTTTTTAACGGGATGGCGGAGTCGGACAGCAGTGTGAGTCAAATAGTAGATGCCCAGCCACGTTTAAGTCCAAAGTCTGGACCAACTTCAGTTTTTATACCATTGATGGGACAAACAAAATCGACAAAGAGTATATTCAAGAACTTCCTGGTAAAATGAAAGTGCACGGGTATACCACCAACATGCAAAGCCACTTGCAACGCCATCACCCTGATCTCATTGAAAATGTTTAATTTACTTAAAATGTACAAAAAAATGTGTGCTGTTTTCCAACAGTTTGGACTTAAATAAAGAGAGAAAACCTGCACTTAACCTTTTCACGGGCATCTTGTTTTCATAGTTTCACAGATATCGTGATGTATCATTATAGGATTGTCTAGCAAATTATCGCAGAATTTCGGTATCGTGATATTACCGGTATCGTGTCTCATATCGTATCGTGAGGTACCCTGTTTATTCCCACCCCTATGCAATAGTAAATGTGATTGATTCTATCTGCAGACACATTTAGTATCAAGAGAGCACTCTTTTTTAATTCGAATGAACTCTACTTGGCTCTGTCTGATATAGAAACAGTGCAGTGTGTACGGGCCCAAGGAATGATAACCGTTTCAAGCATCGACTCACTGTTAGTGATGGGTCCTGCTTCATGCTGAGAAGGAGAGGACCAGAAACTCCAGCATTAAAATATTCATGCTGAAAATGGACTCTAAGCCATGAGCTCAATTAAAGAGCCCCTCTCCATGTGCAGTGCTTTAAAATGAGGGCTTTGCTTACTGGTTCTCCACTCTGCCTGTCCGCAGGGAGAGATGAAAGCTGAGAGAGGAGGGAATGAGAGGATGCTCTATATAAGTTCAGTTTTATTTTTATGCTTTTAAATGCGTTTAGATCAAGGAGCATGTGAAATGAACCGAACTTTGAGAACAAATGGAGTTTATATGAGGTGACTGACCTAACAACGTCTGTTTATACAGTTTGTGTTATCTCCTTTTGTTCAGACATATTTAAAGCTGAAATGCGCACCAGTATTCAAAAATGTATTTGCATAAATGATGATTATTGTTAACTTAAAACTTGATAGTGCTCTTACTGCTCACATTTTTTTTAGTCAGAATAATTTAAAGATGTCATTTTAAGGTCTTGTTTTAGTCTCCATTCAAAGATCTAAAAAGCTGCAACTTTTTTCACAATGGTCAAATTGTTGGTCGTGTTTTCCAGTTCTGATACTCATTAACGGCTATCAGAATGGTTTTAGAGAATTTATATCACTAAATTGTGTGGGGTTTTTTTATGTTCTAGGGGTATTTTTAGTATATATTACAATCATTATATTAGCATTTCACATTTTTTTTAAAATATTTTTATTTTATTTCAAGGCACGAATTTATTTTAATGGTTTAATTTTAGTTAACTATAATAACTCTGCCTTTAGTTCTCAATGTAATGTCTCTCTGTTTGCAGACGTGGCTGAAGAACTATGGCTACCTGCTCCCTCATGACATCCGGACTTCAGACCTGCGATCGGAGAAAGCCATGCAGTCAGCGGTCGCTGCCATGCAGCGGTTTTACGGTATTCCAGTGACGGGAGTGCTGGACCAAACCACCATCGAGTTAGTAACAACCTTTCTTTACTGTACAACTTACCTTTCAAAAAATCCTGAACAGCCAATAACATAAGAACAACTAATTTCATAACAGTTGAAGTGCAAAAGTTCAATTAATAGTGGCTGTTTTTTTTTACAAACTGTAAGCTTATATTTATAATTAAAGAAGTGTAGTTTCCCTTTAAAAAGTTAAAAGTGTAGTAGTTTTGATAAATATGTTTAAAATGACATCCACTTACATGAGAAAAAGATTTAAAGTTCCCCTGTACTCAATAATTTTATCCCTTAAAACTCATCTTTGAAAAAATGTCGTCATGCCTTGACTCTACACCCTTGCCTCATTTAGTATACGCGGTTCTATGAATATGCAAATGAGCCCCGCCTCCACTCACTCACAGCAGCTCAGAGATCCACTCGTTGACGAACACACGTTGACATGATTGGTCACAAGGTAGTTTGTGGCGTCAGAAACACCAGCGATTTCAAACCACGTTTTTGAGACTGTCCTTGGTTTACTGCAGTTTTAAAAAGAAAATACTCAGCAATGGTGTTGACTTATGAATTTGTACATGGTTTGTCTTAAAACATATTAAAAACACCACAGAGACATATAAACAACATTAAAAACATTATTTTTACCACAGGGGGACTTTAAGTCCAGAACAATTTGTTTTACACAAGGTGAGTCACCCCCTCATGGGAGATGGCAAGTTGAGATCACATGACCAGCCGTGTGTTACGCTTAGATCAAGTTCCAGAGCTGTTGGGACACAGAGAGACTCATTTTTATTTAGGAATCCAGTGAAACATAAACATATAATTTCGTAGTGCTTAAAGTCGGCATGAAATGGAAGTTAAATGAAAGTAATTTCTTCCCAATTGTGACGAATATCTAGCCTGGATGCCAGCCCGAACCCCGCCCACAACATTTTTTTGGTCGGGAAGTTCGGTATGGACTCGATCCATTGAGGAGTAATTATGATCGGTTCAGAATTAGTCGGGCCAATCAAATTGCCAGGGCGGGCTTTATACGATGATGGACAGATGATCTGCAGTTACGTAATCCTCACGTTATCAAAGAGCGCTTGGGTTGAACTGGTTTCCCTCAGAGATGACTGCAGCTGGAGAACTGAGATGTAGAGATTCTGCTATCGCGTCTGTTGTAAAAGAAATCGACAGCGCATTAACTTTAAAAGACGAACAGAGAACTGCAATCAAGGCATTTGTCGATCGGAAAGATGTGTTTGCCGTCCTTCCTACGGGATTCGGCAAAAGTTTATTTTATCAGCTGGCTCCGATGGTCGCTAAGAAGAGGGAACGCAATGAAAACCCTGTGGTCGTTGTGGTTTCTCCTTTGGTCGCACTCGTGGAGGACCAAGTAAAAGCAGCAACACTCATTATTTTACTTCTTCTTCCAGCGTGCGTGCAGTTGAGTTCTGTTGACAATTTGCGTAGCTCATAAAAAAACCACTTACTGCGTTGGTCTGATTGGTTGTAGGTCTATCCAATTGAGTGCAGAGTTTTTTTTTCCTGGTTCGGTTAACCCTCTGGGGTCCTTCGGCCCAAATGGACCCGAAGCATTTAAATATTTTTTTTTTTTTAAATCATTGCTTTATCGGAATGGTCCGAAATTTGGTGACTTTGTTGGTACTTGGCACTCCCCAAAAAATTGGGGACAGGATTTGAATAGTCTAAGTGGTTGTAAAAAAAATAGTCACACTCAGGACCTTCGGGTCCAAATGGACCCGCATAGGAAATGAATGGGAAATTGGCAAAAATGTGAAAATACAGAGTTATTTTGTGCGTACAAACTACAAATCAGCCACGATCCAGAAAAAAAGCACACAACAGTGAAGGGGTGAATCTATAAAACATCAAGAGTGCAAAACAGACACATCCACACACACACACACACACACACAAACACACTTTTATACACATACACACTAATAAATTCAGATTACATATGGGTTTTGAATTTTTAAAATGCTCAGTTTGTCCACCAGATGGCATCCATCTCATTTCAAAAATTGCTTTCATGAGGCCTAGGCTTGACTCTAAAATGAAATACAGCTTTAAAAAAATATTTTGAACATGTGCATGGATAAATCATTTATAATAACAAGAAACAAGGACATTTGCCCTGTTTGTTTACTGTTAGCTTTTTGGTGTCCTTTGTTGTGATCATTATCCACGTGTTTTAAGGTGGATGAGAAAACCACGGTGTGGGGTTCCAGATCACCCTCACATCAGCCGACGGAGGAGAAATAAACGCTATGCCCTCACTGGTCAGAAATGGAGGGACAAGAAGATCACATACAGGTAAAGTGTGCACTACAGAGACCGTTGATGGATGGATGGATGGATAGGTTGACTGATTCACTGAATATTGCACCTGAGGAACCTCTAGAGGAAACTACCGAAACTGTGTTTGCTCTTTATTGAATGGCATTACAGGGAAGCGTTCCAAAAACTCCATATGCCTGTAACTAACTGCACCTCACATGATATGATTGTCTTTAATGGCGGCCCATTAGGCATCTTGCTGAAGCCAGCCCGTGGAGTATATTCATACCCGCATTTTCAATTATTTTAGTGCATAGTGCATTCACACGTGCAAGTATGTTTTGGAACACATGCCACTTACACAATGTTCCAGACAGATGTTGTTGAAATGCTTCCCTCCAACCTTAAAAATGCTACAATAAGCTTTTTTTTTTGCCTGATGGGAGAGAGAAAGAAACAAAGAAAGCAAGGAAAGCGGGAGGTCAGGATGGAAGAGGAATAGTTGATTAAAAGCTGGTACTTTGACTGGTTTTCTTTGCAATTATCCCCCCAAAACCCACTCAACCTATTCATTTATGTATTTTTTTAAGTCAGTTTCTGCCTATGCCTGTCTCTGAAATCTTAGGCAGCTACCTTTATTTTTATATATATATATATATATATATATATATATATATATATATATATATATATATATATATATATATATATATATATATATATATATAGCGTAGATGAGCTGAACAAAAGAGATTCTGGGAAATTTTGTTCTTGTGGTGCATTCCTATTGGCATAAACATTAAACCATTCAGATAATTTGCAAACATTTGTTTGCTTTCATCTGTTTTTAAGCACTATTAATTTCATTTAGTCATCTAATGCAGGCTTGAGCTTAGTTTGTAGGCACTGGTTAATCAAATGTGATATTCTCACTTGTGTGTGCCTGCAGTTGTGTGCCAGAGACAACCATCTGCTTCTGCCTTAGGTGATCTGGCCTGGTTTAACTTTTGCCCTATATTCAAGGAAATTTTTATGCAGATTAATTCTTATGTAACAGCACAGCGCTGTGAACTGAAATGGGATTCGCTTCAGTATAGCGCAGAGCTAATTCATATAGAAACAACCTTTCTAATTAAAAAACGGGACACCGATAGTTGCTGTAGTGTCATTGATATGGAAAAATAAATATGCATGCAGTGTTACTTCAGTATTATTTATATTATCTATTACTTAAAGTATTATTACCATTTTGAATTTTCGATTTCTAGTTTACAGTTTAATCTAAGATACATTTTTAGAAAATTTTGTTGTGTGCTTTTGTCAGTTGTATTGTGTAAGTTAGCTTTGATATATTTAAGAACTTCAACTTATTTATTTCAGTTAGTTGCCAAGGCAACATTTCAATTGTTTTGAATTTTTATTATAACTTTACAGTTTGTGCACGTCAGATGCAGTATAACAGTACATTCATACATACTGCATATTTTGCAATATATTTTACAAGTTAAGGTACACATTAGGTCACATTAATAGTGCATTGTTCCATGAAATATTTCATGTATATAATATAATACATCCAATATAATATTAAGTATGCATGATCTTTTTTTCTGTATCCTTCCTCTTCATCCTGTTTCCAGCATACATAATTTCACCCCCAAGGTGGGCGAGAAAGATACCCAGAGGGCCATTCGCCAGGCCTTCGATGTCTGGCAGACGGTGACCCCTCTGACCTTTCAGGAAGTGGCCTATTCGGAGATCAAGAACGAGGGTAAAGAGGCAGACATAATGATCTTCTTTGCCTCTGGTTTCCATGGTGACAGTTCCCCTTTTGATGGAGAGGGAGGTTTTTTAGCTCATGCATATTTCCCCGGTCCCGGAATTGGCGGAGACACACACTTTGACTCTGATGAGCCCTGGACGTTAGGAAACGCAAATCACGACGGTAAGTGTGGCGCTATGACGATAAACTGTGATTTGTTGTTTCATTTCGTTTTCAATTGTAAATGATTATTGCTATTAAGTCCTCTTAATAGCAAAAACTAAATAATGAACTGGTGTGATGTAATTTCGAACAATTTCTTGCCAAAGCGAACTTTTCTGGAGAACTTTGCTCCGGGCGGTAAACACCTTTGAACTCCCATTGGTTCATGGTGATTACGTAATAGGTGGGTGTGGCCCCGAGGCTCCGCCTTCTTTGAGTTTCATCTGTTCAGTCCTTTGAGGTCAGACGCGAGTAAAACATGAACACACTGGAGAGCTGCATTGTAGTAGACATTGAAGTCGTAATTCTAATTGAAAGTGACACTGACTTTGTTTTTTTCATGTTTAATGCTATAAAGCTGCTTGCATTAAAGCAATATATTGTATAAAGCGCTGTATAAATAAACGTGACTTGAATGGAGGGCTGAATGGCAGAGCTGGTTCAAACATATCCGATCCTACGATCAGATGCTTTCTTAAAGGTGCTTTAAGCGATGTCGGGTGACGTCACTTCTTGTTGACGTTTAAAGTATTGTCAAACAAAACGGAGGCTAGCTAGACCCTCCCTCCTCCTCATCCGCACACTAACCCCCCAAACCCTTCTTGTCGGTCATTGGCTGGAACAGTTTGTTATGTTTCGTGGTGCGGGTAAGCCCAGTTTGTTTTTGTTGCCGTTTGTGGAGCCTGGGCTGTCTACAGAGATCGCGTTTCTTTACAGTGTGTTCAGGGGACAGGCAGCCAGCGGATAGTGAGGAGATGTTTGCTGTATGTGACAAAAAAAGTTTTGGCCTAAAAAACGCGTGAGATCGCTTAGAGCACCTTTAACTGGTGTTTTCTCACCGCTGGCATGTTTGTTGTGCGTTTATTTTGTTATTGAGAGGACATATTTACGTATTGATCTAAATGGCACACTCGGCAGCATGGATGGCATTGGGATGTTAGCTAACAGTATATTGCTGCAAAAGATATTTCCAACTTCAAGTGAAGAAATAAAAAGAGAGTATATGGAGCCTTTAGTGTTACTTACCAACATTATGTTTTGATCTAATCAAGCATGACAATGGCTGATATAGAATGACTGACCTGACATGTCTGCTCTCATAATCTCTGAAATTATTTTTATTCCCAAGTTTTTTTATTAACTTTTTTGCAGACATATAAAAGGTGCTACAAACGAGACAACCCGTTATATTTTATTATTTATATTTGATATTTTATTTTATATTCTGTTTTGTAATTTTTTGTGGCTCTATTTAATGATTAGTTTATGTGTATGTGAATTTATGCGTTTTATTTATTAAGTAGGGAAACGTTCGATTATTAATCGGGACAGGATGGATGGATTTTCTAGAATATTCTGCAGATGTAGATAAATAGATCAGTCAGATGTGTAGAGGCGAATCTTCTCGTGTGGTAAACTGGAGCAGTGAGCGGAGGAGCATCAGTACATACCACAGGGGAAACATCAAGAAAACACAGAGCATTGCGTTCTTTCTTCTGTGCCTGCGTGCTGCATATTTGCTGTGTTAACTTTGCCTGGGTGCTGCAATGTCAGCAGTTCAAGTACACGCTTTATAGAACACAGAATCTGTACCTTGTTCACGTACACGCACTCTCTCACACACACACACACACACACACACACACACACACACACACACACACACACACACACACACACACACGCACGCACATTGACTTCTTCACAGCTCTATTTCTCTATACACCATATCAACCCTAGTGAATACATATCAAAAGTAACCAGTTTTCAACAAACAGTAGATGTATTTATCTTCACTGGCTGATGTAGATTTTATATTTCATTTATTCACAATAACACTCCTTTATAGAACACAAAATCAATTTCTTTTCAAAGAGACGGAGAATGAAATAGACAGATAAATTGGACTGGAAGAGAGAGTGAGGGTTGATAAAGGAGAAAGGCTTTGGCCAAGAGAACCTCGAAGAAAGAGGAAGCAGTCTGTAAAAAGAAAAATGTACAAGACGCTTTGTGAGCCATCTGATACTTGTAGCACCCATAGACGCCAACCAACAGATCAGGCTATTTCTGTGATTTGAGTGATATATGGTGTCACGTCCCTTCTGTGTTTCCAAAGATCTGAACATGTCAATCTCGACTGAGTCATGTTCTGGTGATGGCGTACACTTGCATCCCATGTTTAAGATGTTCTTTTAGGATTCTGGGAACAAACAGCATTTTTCACATGACTACATAAGTTCAAAGATATAGACACGCAGAGAAATCAGCGCTGAAAAGGCGTGGACAGTTATTTTTGCGGCTGACCTTATTGCATATGCATTTAGTTTCTCTGTAAGATGCAAAATTTATGGGAGGAGAGTATTTCAATTAATCACGCAACACGATTTACTAAGGTGTATTTACTGGTATCAATTTACTGGTATTTGCACCACTATTTACATCCCCAAAAAAGCTCGTCTTAAAGGGTTAGTTCACCCAAAAATGAAAATGATGTCATTAATGACTCACCCTCATGTCGTTCCAAGCCCGTAAGACCTCCGTTCATCTTCGGGACACAGTTTAAGAGAGCTTTCTGTCCCTCCATTGAAAATGTATGTACGGTATACTGTCCTTGTCCAGAAAGAAAATAAAGACATCATCAAAGTAGTCCATGTGACATCAGTGGGTTAGTTAGAATGTTTTGAAGCATCGAAAATACATTTTGGTCCAAAAATAACAAAAACTAGGACTTTATTCAGCATTGTATTGTCTTCCGGTTCTATTGTGGATCCGCGTTCAGTGCCGCCGCTGACGTAAGCCGCTGCTGACGTGTCTCTGTTTGGCGTTCGTAGTTTGACTTGTCGAGACTGTTTTTCAAAGATGGCTCCTGTCTGTATACGCGAAGTGGACTGTCTTTATAAAGTGTCTTCTTATTAAACTGTCTGGACTCTGACAAAGTTCTCAATGCTTCGGTTTGAAGGTAGGGACCCTCATTACGCTACCGTGTTAGTGTGGGGCTATTTTGAGCCTTGTTAGTGGTATTAACTTGCGATTTTTATTTGCCATTACTCTATGCCCTATATACTAGCGTTATAGGCTAAACAGTTTTTAGAGATAAAACTCTTTACATTCGATAATCATGAAAACAAATCTCAGAGAACGGTTGACTAGGTAACAATGTGTAATTAGACCAAAGGTTCATTTTGCGCCGGAGTTCTCCTTTAAGCTCCAGAAGTGACAAAAAAAAGCAGGTATCCCAAGTGTGCTGAACTATGGGTGAACTATTCCTTTAACGATAGAATGAACACATTTATTCTCTGCTGATTCAGTGTTTGATGAACTTCTATGGGAGCTCTTATTTTAAAATGCACATTAAATATGCAGAGCTTAGGCTTTGCATTGGTAACTCTCAAATTCTGATTAGTAATGATTCAAAGATGCATTTGACCTTTAACCTTTATCTTTCAGGCAATGACCTTTTCCTGGTGGCCGTACACGAATTGGGACACGCATTAGGTCTGGAACATTCCAATGACCCCAGTGCAATCATGGCCCCCTTCTATCAATACATGGACACGCACAACTTCAAACTGCCTCTAGATGACCTTCAGGGGATCCAGAAAATCTACGGTACAATTAGGATCTCTAATAGCTCATTTTTAAGCAAGGATATAGATTATACTTGAATTGCCATGGAAGGCTGACTAAACTTTGTTCTTCTGCAGGAATTCCCACAGCCATGCTGGAGCCCACTCGACCTCTTCCTACTCTACCTGCACGACGCACACACTCCACCTCTGAGAGAAAACACGACCGGCAGTCTCGCCCCGCTCGCCCGCCCTCTGGAGATCGCCCCTTCTCTCCTGGCAATGGAAAACCCAACATCTGCGATGGCAACTTCAACACGGTGGCCTTCTTTCGCCGGGAGATGTTTGTTTTTAAGGTGAATTGCATCAGTTCCCTTTTTTATTATTAATAAATGATAATAAAATGACCATAATACAGATAATTTTAGTCAAATTTGGTTGTATCAAAAATTGTAATTCCTTGTACAAGGTATTAACAAATTATTCAGTATAAGTAAAATGCATTTGTTAACATGCAATAGGTTGACGCACAATACATCTGTATTATATCTGGAAATAATTATCTATTAATCTAAAATAATTATTTTATTTAGACAAAATAGTATAGTATTTTAATGAAGATCATTTATCAGTTATTAGGTATAATGTAAAAAAAATGATTGGCTTATCAGTATTGGACATATATTTAATCGATCCTAATAATCTTTTATTCATCACAGGATCGCTGGTTCTGGCGTTTGCGCAACAACAAAGTTCAGGAAGGCTATCCCATGTTGATAGACCAGTTCTGGAAGGGTTTACCTCCTCGCATTGATGCTGCTTATGAGAGATCAGATGGCAAATTTGTGTTCTTCAAAGGTAAGATTTATTATATTAGTTGTCATGACTTTAATTCGAAGAATATTCAAACAATCAGTAACAAAACTAATAAGTGATTATTGCTTGATATAAAATGTGCAGCCTCAGGCGAGTTCTAAAAGCTCTGATTGTTTTTTAACATCTTTTGTAATAACTGCAAATTATGATACCAAATACATCTTGATGTCTTAATAAAAAGCTCTGTATTGAAGTACCTTAATATGGCCTAGATAATAAAGTGAAGCCATATGCATTAAACATCTGTTGCCTTGTTTGGATCAGTTTCAGCTCAAATCAACGTATTTTGCTCAGGCTGACTGATTCCTTTTATGTACCTTTTTAATACAAGTTTTTGTAATAAAAAATGCTGTTAGATTGTGGGTTGATCTCAGGAAAGGTCTGCATTCATCTATAGTGTTTATCCTCCACTGGGCCTGACAGCCTTAGTGAATCCATTCAGTACTTTATTATTCTGTCTGTTCTCTCAAACGATCTCTCTCTATCTCGCCGTCCTCTCCCTCTCTTTCTCATTAAATTAGCCCGGCGCAGTCTTGCTGCGCAACGAGAGGCTGGGTGAGATATTTATAGCCCGAGTCTCCTGTTCTGTGATGTTTCATGAGAAAACAAGCTCGCAGGATGCCCTATGGTTATCTCAGAGAATGCACATTAATAGATAAAGGGGCGATTAACTACAGTCCTGCTGGCATTTCAGCATCGGAACTACACACAATACAGTTTACTGTGCTGAAATAATGCCGCATTTAAAATAAGCCATTGTCATTTCTTCAGTGCAAATGCTGTACATCTCCTTTTTGTGTAGGTTAGGCTCATTTTAGGCTGCGGGTTATTTGCAAAATTCAGTGCGCAACCACAATTAATGTTGCAAGAAAAACCTCCCCAAAAAAACCCATATGAATAAAAAGATTTTAACACTGAAAAGGCATGTTTTCTAGTGTGACCATGGTAGATGTAATGGTTATGCTTTACAATAAGGTCTCATTTGTTAAAATTAATGTAAAACTAACATATAATGTGTGTATTAAAGCACAACCACGTAATCCAAATACGACAACGAGCAATGAACTGACAACCAAACTAAGGGTACGTTTACACATCAATGATGTGTACTAAAAACGGAAACATTTTTCCTTTGCTTTTTTCACGAACAGACAATAATTTTGTCAAAACGATCCCGTTCACACGGATGTGCGAAAACGACTAAAAACGCTTTATTCCACCGCCAGGCCACTAGTTGGCGATGTCTCTGATTAAGAAACACTACGCTCCTATAGACTGTGCACATGACGTCACCGTTTTCACGAATTCGCATTTTTGTTGTTTACATGAAAATGATAACGGTATCGTTTTCAAAAACTTGAACTTTGACGCCCGTTTTTTAAAACCTTGCATTTTAAGTCCCCCCAAACGCCTTTGTCGTGTGAATGAACGGCCAAATTGTATAAAAAAGTGTCCAGTTTTTAGTTGAAAATGGTGTCGTGGTGCATTAACTAATATTAACAAATACAACTTTTGATTTTTAACTCTTTCCCTGCCAGTGTTTTTTTTTTTAAAGTTGCCAGTAAGTGCCAGCATTTTTGATCATTTTCACAAAAGTTTCATAGCCCCTAGAATATTTTGTTATAAGAATATCTGAACATGCAATATATCAAAAGAACAGACCCTCTGCTTTAAAAAATTAAATATTCTAGCTTAATGCATAATTTTTTTATCAATGTGGGTAAGTTTAATTAAAAAAGCCACATTTTGAGCAAAAAGCTGAGAAAATTGCATTTTTGTCAAAGACTACCTCTGGATCGGATTCATGGAGTAGATCTAGTCCATCAACACCACCAGAGCTTCACAGTCCTATAGCTTTCTGTTTCTGCTTCTTTTTCGCCTGTGTTTTGATCCAGAGATTCTGCACTCTTTCAGAAGACATGTCATAGCGCCCCCCTACCGTATAACAGTGAAAACACAGAAAGCTGGAAATTTCTGTCAATAGCGGGGAGTTAAAGATGTATTAGTAACATTAACTATTAATACATTCTGTAACTAATGTAGTTAACTAATGTTAACAAATGAAACCTCATTGTAAAGTGTTATCAGTGTAATTAAATAATGATCCAGTGTTGGAGAAGATTGGGATAACTGGACATATATCCAAACATACGGTGTAGATAAGCATATTTTTGGTGTTATGCAATAACAATTCAATATAGCTAATTTCATTTTGACCTCATCTAACACTGCCTCTTGTTTTGACTCTAGGGGATAAATACTGGATCTTCAAGGAGGTTACAGCAGAGCCTGGGTACCCTCACAGCCTGGTAGAGTTGGGCAACTGTCTGCCCCGCGATGGCATTGACACAGCCTTACGTTGGGAACCCGTGGGCAAAACATACTTCTTTAAGGGTGACCAGTACTGGCGTTATAACGAGGAGAAGCGTACAGCTGACCCAGGCTACCCCAAACCCATCAGTGTCTGGAAGGGCATCCCTGATGCACCGCAAGGGGCCTTTGTCAGTCGTGAAGGATGTAAGTCATCGAGGTTCCAATATCCAATCAATATTTAATGTGGCAATCAGCCATGTGGTCGGTGGGCATTTTATCTGACTGCTTCGCTCCGGTTGTTGAGCTTCGGTCTTGAGTGTGTAGTACTGGTCTAATCTGTTGTGCAATGCATTATAATCAGTGAAGCTTGGATAGCTGTCATTGCACTGAAAGCAGATTTAAAAGCCATAAATGCACAGCTGAAACCGCACGTTCAATATTAATGTATTGTTGCTTGGAAACCGTAAACATGAATGATATTACTTGGAGGTAGAATAGTGCATTTAACCATTTATTAAGTGTTGGTTTATTTTATCATCTTCTGTTCCTGCTATTTTGACACCCTGTTCATCTTACGCAGCATGCTTCGGTGTTTTAGTTGGTAATAGTAATATATGCGGTGGGGTCTTGTGTTGCGCTCATCCTTGTAGAGTAATTGATTAGTGTTTGTTTGGCTCAGTCACTGCAATATTGTGGTGTTGACAGTGAGTGTTTTAGCTCTGACTCATCCTCAGTGGCGATCGGATAGCAGGTCTGGACTCTGGATTGGCACAGGGGCCGGGAGAAAAGGCAGACACAACTTTCGGGTATTAAAATTCAGTCACAATCGATGCATGATTACAAATATAGTAAAATGGCAGCTGTTCATAGCTAGATGGATGCAATATTATATTTTATTGCAAGCTAATTTAATGGTGTCAGATGGCTCAGAAGTTTTAATGCAGGCAACTTAATATCCAAATGATTGGAAATCATTGGAAGGTACTGTGGAAAAAGGGAATGTGCTTTAATTCTTTAAACGTGGTACTATAACTGGGCAATATAGCCAAGAAACAATATGCCTTTGATGGCATTCAGTATGTATGCTAATATTAATGTATTTGCTCTGAAGATGCTTAAAGATGCTGCCCCTATAGCTATAAAGATATTTAAAATGTTTTTTTATAAAAAAATATATTAATTCCATTTGACATTAATTTACATTTGTATCAATTGTTTTATAAAACCATGATAATATTCATATTTCATAATGTTGGATAATGTCGTATTACCAACAAAATAATATTGAATATATACCTAGAATATAGTAGAAATATGTAAATAATCAGAATCTAAATTACAGTTTAGCACTGTAGAAACTAAAATGGGCGACTTTGGATGATGACCGAGATACAGTTGCCCAAATGATATTCTCACTTTTGCTGTTTTGGCTTGATGTCAGTATGGTCGAATGGTAAATACTCAAGTGTCATTCACTAGAGTCAAGTATTTCTGCTGTGGCTGCATAGAATTGCAGATTTCTCCTTCTTCTCTCTCTAGAGTATTATCCAGTGAAGGAATGATCATCTTTTCTGTGAGCCATGTCAAAACCTCCGACTCATCATGGAGCCTAGGGCCAGGACTCAAGATAGAGAAGCCAAGAGAGTTATAAGGACTTTTTGGTCTGCCTGTAGCTCATGATTTTTCTGTCACTCAGATTTTGCAAGAGGGATTTGGCATGTTTTGCTCGGCAAGATAGCGAGTTAGAGAGGAAGGATGAGCACTTCATCAATCACACACTCAGGGGTTGCTGTCTAAAGCCTCCTCACTGTATTTACGTGTAGTTTTGGGTCTGTGCCCGTCTGCGAGTGTTTCGGATGCATTTGTTTATGTGGCATTGGCAATCAAACTGACAGCTCTCTGAGGGATTGTGTAACACTGGAACAACTTTTCGAAATACTGTGTCATTGAGTTTTCACAAGGACAGCTATTTATGTGATCATGAATATGAATTGAGCATTCTGTAAAGGACATGCATCTCTGCCTACATGTAAATATTTGCTTGCATTGAATGGCTTTCTACCATTGATCTGTTCATGTTTACAACTTTAGCTTGACAAATTATGAATCAAATTCTTTTTGTACAATAATTCATTCTAATCGTGAATTTCCAGTCAGTAAAAACTACGGAAATTATTAGTTAAATGTTCAAATAATTTACTAAATTAATTAACAAATGAACTATAAATAAGCAAACACTCTGGCTCTGTGGCATTTCAAAACATTTCCCACATTGTTTGAGCATCTCCACCAGTAGCATTCACTCAACCAATGGCGTGAGTTTGGGGGCGGGATTATCTGTTTGTTGACCAATAGTAGATGAGTTCCGGTTATGGATATGTTCTGATATCTTATTTTGTTTCTCCCTGATTTGTTCCTAGTTTATACCTACTTTTACAAGGGAAAGGATTACTGGAAGTTCGATAACCAGAAGTTAACGGTGGAGCCAGGCTACCCCAAATCAATCGTCAAAGACTGGATGGGCTGCGATCAGGCGGAAGTAGAAAAGAACAAGGACCGTCACCTTCCACACGATGATGTCGACATCATGGTCGCCATTAACGACGTACCCAGCACTGTAAACGCAATCGCTGTGGTCATCCCATGCATCCTCTCACTGTGCATTCTGGTCCTTGTATATACTATCTTCCAGTTCAAGAACAAAAACGTCCAACAGCACGTGACCTACTACAAACACCCCGTGCAGGAGTGGGTATGACGGACCGAGGGGCGCGATGGACCCCAAATGCTTGAGAACATAAGTGAGGGCTACTATGCTGAGGTTTGACCAGTGCCTGTTTTCTGAACAACCTTGTCCCAGAAAGTGAACAAAAGACGAGGCAAGGGAGTTTCCTCTTCCTTCCCACACAAGACAAAACTTTACAACAAATATTGCAATTTTTTAGCATGAGCCCAACGGACAAATCTTCTGGGGATTGAACATGTGAAGTTGTGCCCTGGCCTTACACTAACCAGGTGAAGTCTTGACCGTTGAGGAACCATCACTTCTGCTTTGACCGAAACCATCACTTTCTCTTCTCTGGGAGAGCAAGAAGAACGGCAGATTTGCGAAACGCCAGCAAATCCTTGTTTCGTTCTCAACATAAACTTGTACATGAATTTCAAGTATTATCAAAGAAATTAAATGAGCAAAACGACAAAAAATGACTTGAAAACCATGTAGGTAGAAAGGCCATAGAAAAGAATACCAAGGAATTCTTGCAGTCTTTTTCATTTATGGGGAGGTTCTCCGCTAGCACTCCTCGAAGACTGCAACATGTTTTTAAGGGAGGTCAGGTGGCTTTTTTAAATTAATTAGCTTCATAACATCAATCTGAATGTTTGTTTGCATCGTTTCCCCTTTTCTCTGCTGCCTACCTATTTTCACAGAGTAGGAAGAACGATTTTTAAGAACTAGGGCAGTCTTAACACCTCCTCCCACTTGCTACTGTACTCTGTTCCTTTTCTTCTTATGCTGTATTTATCAGTCGGCAACAAAAGATCATTTCTTTTTGATCAGACAGCACTTGCATTATGTCTTTATAGGAGAGTAAATTTGTGTCGTAACAGGCACAATTTGGTTGTTTAGGATTATGCCTATTTCTTGCAATCTCTATATTATATTTTGCTTTTATTAGTAATGTTTCCCACCATCTTGTACCTTGTTACCATTTCACCAAGTGTAATATTTGAAACACTGGTGCCAGGCAGGAACATGAACAATGAACAGATCTGAATATGAAATAGCTTTGTTCCCGTTGCCTACAGGAGATGATCTCTCAACTGTTCATCTGTCCTCTTCGAATGAACGTAATATGCTGTATGTCTTGCGTTGAAGTGACTTCAATTTCATGTGTTCGGTGTGGATTGTCTAACACTTGGCTCAAAAATGTCTGTCGGGTGCTTTTATTGGTTCGACTGTGCTATTTAACAGTGAAGTGTGTCTGTACCATATTAACACATCATTTCGTGCTCATCTGCTGTGTGATTGGATAGAATACATTACACATTTGAAGGAGCTGAGATGTAATTGATGTTTTTAGAATTTCAAATGGAACTTTTGTGGATTAACCTGACAAAGCTTCGAGCGTATATATATATTAAAGGTTTGTAGCATCCTAATCACAATATTAAGATGGTGGATTTGGCGAGACTCCCTATAAGGCTTCACTTGGCACATGGTTTATCATTTGATATTGGGGTTTTGCTGATATTTTTGCCTTAACACATTTAGGTTGCATGTAATGAAATCCTTTTATTTTTCTCTGTGGAAAGAGCATTTTTAGCTACAAAAAGCCACTTTTTGTTAATTCCGCAGAGAATCGTGTACATATTGTATTCACAGTTCAATGGAGCATGGATCTGCAACAGAAACTACCTGGCATCTACTTTTAGGTTTCTAATGTGTCTCCACCAATGGTTTGAGCATCTATACGAGCGTTACCATATTTTTACACTGGGCTGGCTTTATAGGCATGGTGTTTGTAACATTACGTCACTTTTGTAGTTGCCATATATACATCTGCCCAAACGATCGACCACTTGGAGATCATCTAATTTTGTAATACATTTCAACCAATATGAATGTTTTCTGAATAGTCCTGCTGTCTGTTGAAGGCTTTGTGGGTATGAGAAAATTAGTTGTGTCTTCCAAAGTAACATTTCACCCTCTTTTGTGTGGTCTGTAAAGCTTTTGAGCCTTCTTTAAAAGGGAACCATCGCGTAACCACTGATTTAAAAGACAAAATAGAGCAAACTGTCAGTGAATTAAGAAAAAGCTTGAGAACCTAATGATTCAAGGCGGTCATACACTGTGCGATTTTTAGCCTGTTGTATTATGATTGTACCTTGATACATGATACCATGGTACTTTATTGTTAGAAGAATACTTGGTATAATGATTGACTATGGAATGTTTTAGAACATGGTGGAAAAAATGTATATTTAGTCTGGTGTTCTGGTTGAATTAGCTCAATGCAGTAGTATTGTGGAGGGGTTACGTGACCCCTTTAAGACATTGTGCCTTGTCTTTAAGTCCGCTGTGGCACACTGAACACTGCTCATTTACATTGATTTCCACCTCATTATTTCAACAGTGGATACATGAATACATCCCTTGATATATTATTCAATGCCTTTACTAAGTGAAAACAATGCATATCTTTGTGGCCCTCCCTCTCGTATATCATTTTTTGGATCTGTTGTGCGAGCAGCTTGATCGTGGGTAGAGAAGTGGCATGAAATTAGAGCAGATTTTACATGTTTGTGCCCACTTGGGAAAGACTCAATGTTATTGTCTCTCAGATAAGCATTTTTATTAGTCAGCTCTGAATCTAGAGCACCTGTTCGCAACAACAAGCAATGTGGCCGTGAAGTGATCCTAATGTTTCGGGTACAGGAAGTACTGGGTGGGAGTATTTTTAATGGAACACACTGTGCATCACCAATTGTCTTCCTCAACTTTCAATCCATCTGATGAGCTGGTGTTGATATAAGAGACAGCAAAACCACTTGCTCTAATAAGCCATGAACTGAATTTGACAATGTGGCACAATAGTGTGTTCCAGTTCCAAACTTAAGAGGTTTTAAGTGTTTATTATGACTGACATCTTATATAGCAGTTCAAATGCTAAAAGTTTAAAAAGGTATGTTCTTTATCAATATGAGGATGTCTTATGATGGAAGAAATCTCTTGTTCCAAGGCTGCTTAAGTACTCTTGAGTAGATTGGGATCAAAATGTCAAATTCAAATTTATTTATAGAATAATGGATAAACTCTAGAAGTCTTTACACATGGTCACGTCATGCATCTTGATCATTCGTATAGCAATCCAAAAGTTTTTCCGCAAATCCGACTATGAATCTATTTCTGAAACACAATATTGTTTACTGTAGTGTACAATCTATTCGCCCAATTTGGCAATTAACATCTGAGTTTTGTGGTTGCTTGTTTGTGTGCAATCCCAAACATCTGTATGCTGCCGCAATTCAATTTGGGACGATTACAGATGTGCCCTGAAGACCCTGATGCATTTTTGCTATGTTGCATCTACTATGCCATTCAAAACATCTCCAGAATATAGGTCTCAAATGCCTTTTTGAAGGCATTAACAAAAATGCATGACGTGACCAAGTGTCTCAGAATAAGGTATGCAGGCATTTTTATCTTGTAAACTGCACTATTATCACTTAAGGATTGTGAAACAAAACAGGACATTTCAGTTTACGAACCATGCCATTTCATGAGGAATTGTGAAGCTAGCAGAGCACTGTGCAAAGCCCGTATTACGTGTATATATTAACACAGTGAACATTTAGCAGTGTCAGAAGTGAAACGTTTAACAGAACTAAAGTGTATTTATCAAAGGTGGATATCTTTAGAAATGCTTGTCGTACGGTCATGTGAAAGGTTTGTAAAGATAGAGGCTTATCATATGAAAAAAGCTATTTATTTATCATTAAAGGAGACATAAGGGTATTCTACACATTTTCATTTGAAATCAAGGTGAAGCCATGCCTATAACCACATTAGTTGCACAGAAAAATAAATAAATACAGAACTGTACAGGGAGATACATAAATAGGAATTCTCTGGTAATTTGCCTCTTTTTAATGGGTATGATCGTGGCTTTGGACAACAGTCACTTTAAACCCGAGCTGCTGTTGCCTTTTGTTTTTTATGGTCCTTTTATGAGACTAACAATAGGACAAACATATCAGAGGTAGTCAAGGAACCAACTGTATTTATGCTTTTTAATTACAGAGGCTTAATTTTAATGAAGATTTTATCTGAGATAGCTTTAACATTTGTTTGTTTTTATTATTCTTTTTCTTGACTGACCATGGGGGAATTTACTGTATAAGTGTATATAACTGGTTCTTTTTTCCCTTTGACAAGAATTTAAGAGTGAACATCTCACTCTGTGGTTTAAATAAATTCAGATTCTGTCCTTGGAATTTTGATATTTTCTGATTTACAGGTCAAATGTCGCTGTCTCCTCAGCTTCGTCCGGGTTTTAATGGTCATGTAAATACAAAGATTTACTGAAACTTTTCAGACCTTTTGTATTTTTCTTTCACTCTAACGGTAGCCTATGATTTCACATTGTCATGCATAATGTTGATTATTAAGAATGAGAGTGATTGCTTTACTAATATTAGATATGATTTAAGTTTTATTTCTTGAATCCTGTTTTTAAATTCTTTGAACAATGAGTCGTTTTTATTTACGGTTTCAGTCTACAGTTTTACACTGTGTATCTAATATCACCATGTTCAAAGAAATGTCAATAAAAGAAAATTACATAAATGTGTTTGGTGATTTCTGGATGGATGCTTTACAATATATAACGATAAAATGTATGATATTTGTACGTACGCATTTCATTAGTGCAAGTTGATATCAACTACATAATACATGCTTTTGATACAATCAGTACATAAGTGCACAGACGTCGAGAAGAACAGGTTGTGTTTGTAAATACAAACATGAGCCAAAACTTTATCTTTGATGTCTTCAAGCACACTGCATGACATGTTAAAGTCAGAAATTGCATCAAACCCATTTAAACAGCATTGCAACCCCAGCGCCTCCATGTCTTCTGTTGTCCCACACTGAATCTGGCACTCATTCATGGACGAAATTATTAATATTGTTGGTCTCTGGTCTTTAGTACCAGTTAGTGCAGGATATCATGAAGCTCATGTCGTCTACCTTTCTGGTGCCTATTCGGCATTGAGGCAGGTCTGTGTCTGGATCCAGATGATCTTGGCGCTCAGGACCAGTATCAGTTTGGATACTGGATGAAGATGCTTCACCTTGGGATGGCAGATTGCCTGGATTCCTCTGTCGCTGGTCAGCAGCTGAACTGGTACTTTGATCCGAGCCCATTTCCTTAAAATAAATTAAGACTTAGATTGGCTTACATATTTTGCATTCACAGTTGCAAAAATATATTTAATTGATTGTTATTTAGATATATTGCAAATACATTGTAGTCAGGATAAACAAGTTCTACAATACTGTACCATGTTATACCATCCTACTGTATAACATGATACTCGTATGTAGTTAATAATACCATTGTAGATCTAAATGAAAAAATAGTTGTATAATGGTTTATTTTTCAGATATATTTAATAATTCATAAGAAATTTTTATGAAAATCTTCAGCAGCTGGAACTCAAAAGAGAGACATCATCTCTCTGAGTCTAACAGGACAGCAATGTATTGAAGACACTGCAAAAACTGCATACGAAGCAAGCACTTAGGGAGTGTTTGTCACCGTGACTGAGACAAAAACGGATCAATAGTGTGTTAACGAGCCGAGGCACGGCAAAACTTTACCCCACGCAGCCTCCAACCACTGGTATCTAACGTTTTTTCCACAGCTCCGATTAGCTCGAGATGTTTGTTTCCAGGCAGAAAACGCAGGGTGGACGTCGAGGGTCACGGGCGCGCGCTGCTGCAGTGACGTTTCGCAGGTGGCCAGCTAATGGAAGTGTCAACAAAAACGACGTCACACCTGAAACTCAATAGTGATTGGCTTACAAATGCACATAGCTAGGAGAGGTGTGTCCTGTTACTATGCAGGTTTGTAGTGGATGATAAAAACAACATGGCTCGCCAGTCTCAGCCATTTGGAAAACAACTGGTTATGGAGATATAAATGTGCTAATTTAAAAAGACATCAGAATATATTTTATTTAATTAATTCATTTATTATAGGGCTGTTAAATTGAATAAGGTATGGCAAAAGTGACTTGTTAAATCAAGTATGTAGTATTTGTAAATTCCTTATATTTATTTTTTGTTAATGTAATTAATTCCTTGTTTTTAAAATATTTGTGTTCATTATATTTTGATCATATGTTGAACAATGTTATTATAAAATTGTTGTAAAAACACTTTCAATAAAAAATATACATACTTACTACACAATACCAGCTTATTTGTATCAGTACACTAAAAATTTACAGTTTAAAAAAGCAATTCAAATTCATTGATTTTACAAGGTATTTGTGTGATTCAGATTCTTATATGGCTTTAATAATTTTATTATATTTTCGTTTGCGTAATTGAATTATTTCTTATATTGCATCATTATTATTATTTTACTTATTATTTAAAAATACTCAGTAAAAATAAGACTTCGCAACCTATCAAAATTTTAAATCAAATCAAATAACTTTTATTTATTTTTTTAGTTTTACAGAAATAGTCTGTACCATGGTCTGTCCAGAGGGATATAAATGAATATAAATGTTGTGTCTAATTCAATACAAAAAGCCTATTTTATTACGAATATAAATCTTTTGTTGTTCAAGGAATAAGGATCTTAATACACTTGAGAATAAAAACAAAGGCAGCAGTGTTTCTCATGACAACATGTGTCATATGGCAAGCCGTTTTAACTTTTATTCATTTCCAGGATATGAATACTTGATATCAACAATTCAATTTTCACTAGTTAAAATTATAATTATTGATATCAGGAATAATATTTCTACTAGTAACAATGGCAATTTTTGATATCAGGAATTACATTTTCACTAGTAACAATGCTAATTCTTGACATCAACATTTACATTTTCACTAGTTAAAATGATAATTCTTGATATCAACAATTGAATTGCAACTAGTAAAAACTATAATTCTTGATATCTGTAATTGTATTTTCACTAGTGAAATGTCACTAGGCAAGCCGTTTTAACTTTTATTCATTTCCAGGATATGAATACTTGATATCAACAATTACATTTTAGATATCAACAATTACATTTTTTGATATCAACAATTACATTTTTGATATCAACAATTACATTTTTGATATCAACAATTCAATTGTTGATATCAAAAATTTAATTGTTGATATCAAAAATGTAATTGTTGATATCAACAATTCATATCCTGGAAATGAATAAAAGTTAAAACGGCTTGCCATATGTGTCATCGTATCACATACATAGATCACGTACCGTAACGCGTTGACGTCACGCACGTCGTCAGCACGACAGGGAAGTGAATTGAACACGTGGTTTACGGTTTTCCACGCTTCTCCACATTGACCATCGGTAAATATAAGATTACTGTTGCAATTGTCTTGAGTTTCATTGTAAAGTCATTACATTTAGCATGTAATATGTATTGTTAACCTGTGTTGGCATTTGAAGTCACTGAATTGGTAGCGTTTAATGCCTGGAGAAGTTGAAATAACTAAATTTAGCCGACTGCTAACTACCTCGACTAGTAACTGTTACGGTTTTAATTAAAGTTACGTACAACGTGTTTAACCCGCAGCTTTTGCTGAGAATTACTTTGTTCAATACTGGTGCCCCAGATACTTATATGTACCTTAAAGTACGATTAAAAAAATCTTTTTAAATAAAGAAAAAACTTTAACCCGCTGTTGAGCCTAAAATAGCCTTTAGCTGTTTAGTAATATATTTGTTATTCGTTATAATAATTTTCTGTTTAAATATGTTTATGTTTCTATTCTGGATCAAAAACTCGTAGAGAAATACAATGAAAGCAAGAAATCCAAATAAACAACAGGCATGTATAGAACTTCCCAATGTCAACGTGCCATACAATCTAATGTAAATGTGTGTGTGTCAACTAATTTATATATTACTGTATATATCAAGACCATGTTACAAATGTTTGTTTTATAATCATGTTTTTTTTTTTTAGTTTTCAGTAAGATTTATTATCTTAATATAAATGTTTCTCTTCAGTTTCAGACAGCTTTGACCAGTCTCATAGCTGAAAAATGGCAGTTCGTGCGGCATTTGAAAAGAATAATGAGATTGGATGCTTCGCCAAGCTCACAAACACATATTGCTTGGTAGCGATTGGCGGTTCAGAAAACTTTTACAGGTAAGTCAGAAATTATATTACTGATGATCTCAATGTGGCCAAATATCTGTCCTTACTATATACAGTTTTGGGGGAAAAATTACATTAAGAGACCACTGCAAAATTAGCTGTTTTTCTGGGTTTAAAGGTGCTTTATGTAACTTTTCTACTAAAATGAATCCTTTTTTTATTGCCTGTGTGTGAAGGGGTTGTAATCACACATTAAAATGATCCACTTGTCGAGTTTTGCTATTACCTCTGAAGGCCAGTATTCCTATTTCTATGTGAAGTCTCCGGGTCGGATTTACAGCGAAATCCAACGGATGTGACGTGCATGCGCGCTCCCGAGCCTCTCTCCTTATATACAGTCTATTGTAGACGGTCAGGGAGTTACGGCTTATATCTCAGTCAATCTTTGATCAATATTCCCAAGACTCTAATCGTTCGTAGTGCTGGACGGGGCCTTTCGAACGAGCCCACCCCCGAGGTCCAACTCGCCCGGCTCCCCGAGTTATAGCCGTTCGAAATCGGGGGTCCCAGCGAACGGCGATCTGGTAGGGGGCATCCCCGAGGCCCGCCACTCTAGTTCGGGCAGGGGTTCCCCTGGGACCTCCTCCCCTGAATTTGAGCTCTCTGGGTCTTTGCGTTCCAGAGATACAAGCGATTTTCTTCTGAGATCGTGACATCACCGGCGTCCGCAATTTTGCAGCGCGCCCGATGGTTTTCTGCTAATATCTCCGTTAGGGATGCTCATTTCGGTTAATTTTCCCGACCGACAACCGACACTCGTTATCCGATTATTAACCGTTAACTGATAAGATTATAATAGCCTATTAATTTAAATAAAAATAAAATTGAGTGTCTGTGACCCGTTTTTCCCCCCACAGGTTTATTTTAACGTGCAAACAGCAGAGCAGATCAACAACAGAACCTGGATTCACATTCAATTTTCACGCACTTGACAGTGACAACAGAATAAAATAAAATAAATAAAAAACATAAAATAGTGTAGGCCTATTTTATGTTTTTTCTTTATTTTATTTCTTAAATAGTTAACAAATTAAGATGACAAAAAGAAAACACTGAATCCGTTTGAAGCTTTGAAAAAAATGCAATTTTCCCCCTCCAGACTAAGTTTTTTCGTCAAATAAAAATAGCAGGCCTACCTCAATCCACATATTGTCTAGTTTTTATTTAAAAAAGTAACATGTCTACATGATGTGGGGTTAGTCTGGAGCGCAGCCTGTTGAGTTCGACCCGCGGCCGAAAACACATGATCCGATGGCACAGATGTCCCGGGAATACAGAGATAACGTCTCGCTAGAATGGCCAGCTTCGTGAAGCGACTTTCATTTGCTTGTGGATGTTTGCTTCGCAAGATATATTTGCATTTAACTTGTAACTACTGCTGTATTTTAATACCGCGTAGCATATTTTGCAAGTAACTTCGTCGCCCTTTCTGTCGAGATGGTCCCACACAGTAGGCTACTTCTTTTCGCTCGCTCGCTTCATTTTGCTTGCTCAGTAAAATATGTCTCTAGGCACGTGCGGTTGCGCGTGTCGACGCGCCCAGTGAGTTTACAAATATAGGCTATATAGTATTTTTTTTAACCATGCAGCAAACTAAAAAAAAAAAAAAAAAAAAAAAAAAAAAAACTTAAACCGTTTAACTGATAGTATTAATCGGTCAAATTTTTTACTTTCGGTTAACGGTTAAACGGTCAATATGAGCATCCCTAATCTCCGTGAAAACACCACCAAAAACTATGGAACTTATATGGTTCTTTTCAGCTCGACTAGATGGTCCCAACGAGCTCAGGGCTCGCCGAATCCGTCTAGTATTCGTCGAGATATTTGCGAAATAGACGGTATTGTCTATGAGTTCGAGCACGAGCGCTCTTGTAAAATTTGGTTGCAATCTGAAACATCACCACTAGAGGCCGCTAAAAGTTACAAAGAGCACCTTTAAAGGGTTAGTTCACCCTAAAATGAACATTTTATCAGTAATCACCCACCCTCATGTTGTTCCAATCCTGTAAGACTTTCGTTCATCTTCGGAACACAAATTAGGATATTTTTGATGAAATTTGAGAGCTGTCTCACTCCTTCATAGGCTTCTAGGTAATTTCATTCTGCTGGTCCAGAAAATGTATTAAAGACATCGTTAAAATAGTCCAAGTGGCTCAACCTCAAGTTTATTAAGCGATGAGATTGAGAATACTTTTAGTGCGCAATAAATAAATAACGACTTTATTCAACTCTTCATGTTCTTCTGTGTGTGCCTCTGATGCAAGTTCACGAGAGCGCCACGACGCATGCGCGAGAACTGAGAAGATGATCATGCGTCACGGCGCTCTCGTGAACTCGCATCAGAGGCCCACACGGAAGAACATGAAGGGATGAATAAAGTCGTTATTTCTGTTTGTTTTTTGCGCACTAAAACTATTCTCATCGCTTAATAAACTTGAGGTTGAGGTTGACACGATTGTTTTATATGATGAACAGATTGAATTGAGGCTTTTATTCACATATAAACATTGGGCAACTCGCACATCAGTTGTGGTAAACAGAAGCTCAAGCATGTTCGCTTGATGTGCGAGAACCAATGAGGATCATTCTCGTGTGTAGTATAGGGCTGTCGCGGTGAAGGAATTTCCCTTGCGGTAATTTTGAGTGGCTCAATAGCGCGATATGCGGTATTACCGCCAATTATTTATTTATATTTATTTGTTGCCATAAATACGTGTTATGACGTGGTCATTATACACAAAAACAATGTAACCAATGTAACCGAAACTAAACAGTGTCTCTGTGCATTGAAAGACTGTCACGCAGCGCGCAGTTACATTGTTATGCCAACGGACTGTCTTTGAGTGAGTCATTAAACCGTTCATTCAACGAAAACGGTAATGAAACGAGGCGTTAATTATTTTTTTTAAATTTGAGCTCCACTTTTCAAGGCTCAGCTGGCCAGCAATGCTTCACTTAATAGAGACCAATGCGTGACTCGCTGCTTTCCCCCCACGGCTTCCTCGCGCTGTGTAATGCTGACCAGCGCTGACGCCATTCATGGTAAATAGCCTTACCCTTAAAAGGATGATACGACAAATATTTCGCTTTCTTTGGAAACGTAACCTTTTCACGAATATACATGACTTGACTTCAAAGACAGACGCAGGTAATCGCACGCGCTCAGGCGATCTCATTCACTGTCTGTTTAGGCTTAAGTCCAAATCCACGAAGCCTCTGTACAAATCACCATGATAAACAGTCTTGTTGTTATCATTATTAACTTATTTAACATTCAATACACATGGTACGAACTACGAAGGGTGGCCTTATGAAAAAAGAAAACGCGGTTGCTGCGGTTACTTGCATTCCTCTGCGGTTGGCCTGTCAGTAGCGCAGTACCGCAATATTGCGGTACTGCGCTTTTATGGCGACAGCCCTAGTGTAGTATCGTGTTGTTTAAAAATGAATATAAACTAGTTTTTTTTTGTATTATTCGAGGTCTGAAAACATGATGTAAGCCCGTCTAAATCGGTCCAATGGCGGTATCCGATAGAACGGGTGAAGGTCTCTGCGTGTTACTGTCTTTCCTTTCACGCAACACAAGATTAAATGAAATACATTTTCTCATATGTATTACCTCGTTATTTCATCTGACTCCATAAATGAAAAAGGTTTTAATGATATCCGAGCATCATTAAATGTGAGCGAATGTTTGATTATTCATTTTAACTCTTTACTTATATTTTACCTGTTCATATTAGGAAGCTATGTCGCTCTGAGGTCCTCACACCTTCTTCTTAACGCACGTCTCGCGATCACAAGCTCGTCAGTTTTGGTCACCAAACCGAGGTAATTTGCTATATACCTGAGATTGGTCGCATTCACACTTACACAATCAAAGATACTTTGGTATAGCCCCCATGATTGCATACACTTGAAATGAAAGTAACGTTTACTTCAGTAGAGGTATGGCCACTATTACAGATATAAGCTGACCAACATTACTTTTCTGATAATAGCTTTGGATTGGCCATGCCGTGGTTTCCCACTTACACTTATCTAAAGTAACATTAAGGGAGTAGTTCACTTTAAAAAAAACTTTTGCTGATAATTTACTCACCCCCATGTCATCCAAGATGTCCATGTCTTTCTTTCTTCAGTCGAAAAGAAATTAAGGTTTTTGATGAAAACATTCCAGGATTTTTCTCCATATAATGCACTTTACTGGGCACCAAACTGTCCAAGGTCCAAAAGACAGTTTCAGTGCAACCTGCAAACTGTTCAAAGGGCTTTAAACGATTCCAGGCGATGAATAAGGGTCTTATCAAGCGAAACGATCGCTCATTTAAAAAATAAATAACAAAGTTTAAGTTTTATAAGCTCAAATGCCCGCCTTGCTCTGTTCTGTGCGACTCTCCTGTTCGAACTCGTTCATCAAAATGAACGAATCTTTTTTCGAGTCATTTGATTCATTTAACTAACGAAATGAACGAATTGACTCGGAAAAAGATTCGTTCATTTTGATGAACGAGTTCGAACAGGAGAGTCACACAGAACAGAGCAAGGCGGGCATTTGAGCTTATAAAACTTAAACGTTGTTATTTATTTTTTAAATGAGCGATCGTTTCGCTTGATAAGACCCTTATTCATCGTCTGGAATCGTTTAAAGCCCTTTGAACAGTTTGCAGTAAAACTGTCTTTTGGACCTTGGACAGTTTGGTGCCCAGTAAAGTGCATTATATGGAGAAAAATCCTGGAATGTTTTCATCAAAAACCTTAATTTCTTTTCGACTGAAGAAAGAAAGACATGGACATCTTGGATGACATGGGGGTGAGTAAATTATCAGCAAAAGTTTTTTTAAAAGTGAACTACTCCTTTAAAATTAAAACAGAGGTAAGACACACCCAGATTTAGGTTTGTCAGCAGCACTTTTGCTGTTCTTAATCGGAAATTCACTTCTTGTCTTTGCGAACCACGTACACTTGAATTAATGACAAATATTAGTCGTCACTAATCTTACGCAAAACTTGCGTTAACATACGAATCCGTTTAATCTACTTGGGAAAACAATTTCAGAGTCAGTCGGAATAAAATCAAATGTAACAATTTATTATGTCAGGTAAATGTATTATGCCAATTTCATGATCAGTTCAAAGATAATAAATACAAAACATCCAATGCTCTGGAATAAATAGAGAAGATGCGAACCTGACCCTATAATACAAAATGTGTAGTGTCTTGCATACACTCCGCATCACGGGCTAATTTGAGTTACAAATCGCCCTGAGCCTCTTGTTGCTTTTCTTTATATAGACAGAAACTTGGGTAACGCTTTCTTTTACAGTACAGTACTTACGTGTACTTACAGTGTACTTACCTTATATTAGCCAGTACTTTCTAGGTAAGTACACGGATTAGGGGTAGGTTCAGGGTTAGTACCTAGTTATTACCCAGTAATTATAATTACTATAATAAGTACATAGTAAGTACATGGGTAGCAGGACTGTAAAAGGAAGCGTTACCGAAACTCCTTTCACATGGAAACATTTGCTAACAATGGGAATTTGCATTCTGAGTTTACACCTTTTGGGAGCAGGATGCCATTTTCCTGGAGACACACCCTCCTCTGTGCGCAAGTTATCTCTGAACTCTTAAAAACTTTATTACCTTTTGGTTTACTTCTGTGGAGAATGAGACATTTGTACCAGTCGCACTGAGACATTTCAAATTATACCAAACATGTATAATACCGTATGATAATTAATTACATTGAGATTTTTCATATCATTAAAATCATATAGATTTTTGGGTGAATATCTGGTGATCTCAGCATGAGAGAGAGACAACATGGGGGAGGTGATTGACTTGGGATGCTAGTTTCTCAAGAGAGAGGTCACGTTAATTTTGAGAAAGTTCCTTTGTCTTCTCGGGGAGTGTTCGTTCCTCAACCAGACTGCCCGGCATTTTCTAATTTCTCAAATCTTACAACGACATCTTTTTTTGTTATTTTGACCAGTTCTCATTTTCTGCCAATAAATGCTCTAAATGACTGCTTGTCGCTTGACATTTGGACGAAATGTTGTCAATATTTTATAGAAAACAAATTTGTTCATTTGATTCAGGGAAACCTCTAATTTTGCAATGGTCTTTCCAGAGATATGCCTTCATAGAGTCGCTTCAGAGTCCTTCATCACTTCTTTTCCGAAATGCTTCTTGTTTTCCCCCCACAGTGTCTTTGAAGGTGAGCTGTCAGAAACAATACCTGTTGTTCATGCTTCTATAGCAGGATGTCGAATCATTGGCAGAATGTGTGTGGGTAAGAGCATTTATCTAATCCAATTTATTTTATGTTTGTATGCATTTATGCAGGATTAACACCATTCATTTTTATGTTAATTAAAATACAAGCCGTAAATAATGTAGCCTTTCTAAAATTCAGTCTAGGTCAGATTAGGTCTACTTTTGTCTGTCCTCATACCTGATGTATAATAAATGTTGTGTGTGTGTGTGTGTGTGTCTGGGGATGCTCTTCCACAGGAAATCGTCACGGTCTCTTGGTGCCCAACAACACGACAGATCAAGAGTTACAGCACATTAGGAACTGCCTGCCAGATTCGGTGCGGATTCAGAGAGTAGAAGAGCGTCTTTCTGCGCTGGGGAACGTCATCGCTTGTAACGACTACGTTGCTCTCGTTCATCCTGACCTAGACAGAGTAAGAACATCCCTAATGGAAGACTGTATGAAATCAGAGCTTTCTCCAAACCCTACATGGTCTTAGGGTGTATTCACACCTGCCTTGTTTGGTTTGATTGAATCGAACTCTAGTTCGTTTCCCCCCTTGGTGCAGACCTTTTGGGCGGGTGTAAATACAGCAATCGAACTCGGGTGCGGACCAAACAACCGAACCGAGACCCAGCTGAAGAGGTGGTCTTGGTACGCTTCCAAACGAACTCTGGTACGGTTCGTTTACGGTGTGAACATGAACCGACCCAACTGCAAGAAAGCACTGCGCCTTTGAGTTAACAGGCTTCCGTAGTCGGAGATTTTGGCATAATGGTTTGTGTTATTGTTGTTCAAGTGCGAAAGAGAATTCCATTCCGGCGCGGTGTCTGGCCACACGATACTGTTGCGCGTCTTTCTGCGCGTCGTGTGTGTGCATCATTGGAATGGGATGAATGAATGAGTGTGTGCATCAGGACATTCACATACAGCGCGTTCTCTTTAGTCTAATAGATGCAAGATGCAAAAAAAGCTTTTGCAGTTCATATAATGTAACGATAGTTACAATACAAGGATGATGCTGCGTTAAACTGGACAAACTTAATCGCAAGCGTTAACATTGACAGCACTTGTTAGCAGTATATACAATAAGAATCTCATTATTTGAATGTGTGAACATAGCCCCTCTCTATGAATGAAAACTTTATACCTTATCTGCAGTTTCTTCATATTGCGTTTGTAGAGAATAACACAAAATGAGTAAAATAACAAATATTGCAGTACGAAATATCTCCATGCTGAGCCTTTTTTGCACTTCCTGATTTCCCTACTTGAGAATCCTTGTCCAATGAATGGACGACCTTAGCACACGTGTGGTTTTGTTTACAAATTTTGGTTCACTTGCAAAAAGAGCAGTGTGAAAGCGAACCGTACCAAAAAAAAAAAAATAATAATAATATTTGGTCCGGACCAAAGCAAGTGAACTATCGGACTTTCCTGGTGTGAATACACCCTAAATGATTTCTCAACACTTTTTATATTTCTCTACAAAGCCTGTAAAATGTGCTCCATGAAGAAATCAGACCGTTTTGGTTTGCGCCACAAAGTTGGTGTTTTGTTGTATTAAGTTCAGGGCATTATTGTCCTCAGGAAACAGAAGAGATTCTTGCAGACACTCTAAAGGTGGAAGTGTTCCGGCAGACGATTGCAGAGCAGGTGCTTGTGGGTAGTTACTGCACCTTCAGTAACCAGGGAGGCCTCGTCCACCCCAAAACCTCCATAGAAGATCAAGATGAACTCTCGTCACTCCTGCAAGTGCCTTTAGTGGTGAGTGACTGTTCTGTCACATCTGAGAATCATATTGACTTGATGAAATTCTTCTGCACAATTGTTATACATTATACTCAAAATATATGCTCAAAAGCATGGGGGCGGTAAGAGTTTTAAAATATTTTTATTTAGCAAAGATGCATTAAATTGATCAAAAGTGACAGTAAAGGCATTTACGATGTTACAAAATATTTCTATTTCAAATAAAGGCTGTTCTTTTGAACTTTTCATTCACACAGAATCAAGGTTTTCACAGTATATATTAAGCAGCACAACTGTTTTCAACATTAATAATAATAATAAGAGTTTCTTCAGCTCCAAATCAGCATATTAGAATGATTTCTAAAGGATCATTGGACTAAAAATCACTGATGTTGGAAGTTTCAACATCATTACATACAATAACATTTTTATGTAATGATGACATTTAAAATATATCAAAATATTTCAACTTAGTAGTTAGTTAAACTTGCAGTGTTTTTACTGTATTTCTGATTAAATAAATGCAGCCTTGGTGAGCATAATGTTTCAAAAACATTAAAAAAGTTTTACCGACCCCAAACTTTTGAACAGTAGAGTAATTAATGGTGTTTGCTAAGACGAGCATCGATTTTATTTCCTATGCTTAGCTTTTGTATATCAGTATTTATCTATAAATGTACTTGAAATTACTCAGTAGACTACTAGGGACACAAGTATTCACTATATCATCAAACCCTAGACTGAAGTAGCTGTTGTATTTAGGTGGAAACCCTCATGGCTGTATGCAAAGAGACTCGTTAGTTCCTCTACACTTCTGCTGGCTAATTGATAAACGTGTTGTTTCCTCTCTCAAGGCTGGAACGGTCAATCGTGGTAGTGAGGTGATCGCTGCTGGTATGGTGGTGAACGACTGGTGTGCTTTCTGTGGACTGGACACCACGAGCACGGAGCTGTCCGTCATCGAGAGCGTCTTCAGATTGAGTGAAACACAGCCCAGCGCCATCGCAACTACTATGAGAGACTCGCTCATCGACAGGTATGTGATGACAACCTCATATGAGGCATCTCAGTCCAGAGGGAAGTACATGCAGGATGAAATTAGTGCTGCCACTAATGACAAATTTTCTAACGACTAATCTTTCGACTAATTTTTCGATTAGTCGAGTAATCTAAATGACTAATTAAAAAAAAAATCAAGTGTTTATTTCGTTGTGTCCATTTTATTTTGAACTCAACTGAAGGGCCAAAACATAAAATGTCACCTGTTCAAAAACATTATGTATTAACAATCTAAGCATTAAGTATCTGCATTTCCATTAGGCTATACCTATTAATTACCTAATCTAATCCTCTAATAACAAACATGTATGTATTACTTAAATTAGCTTTGTTCTGCCTTAAAAAATGTACAGTAAGCTAATAATGAATTAATTTATGTACATTTCTGAAAAGCATAACTGATAACATCACTCTGAATAGTAAAGTAGATGCAATGCATTTCCTGTGAAAAGCGCTATACATATAAATTGGAATTGAATTGAAAGAGTCTGGACTAGCCCATTATGAGTCGCGCTGAAAGCAGGCAGGCACGCAGTTATGTAGCTCGTGTTTACACTTCCGTGCCGCGGTTCGCGTGAATGTGAAAGCAACGCGGACTCGGGAGCGCTTGTTCAGGAACATAAGTAACCTGCCCATGCGTTTTAGCTGATTATGATGCATTTAGTTAAATAAAACACATGTAAGGGATGATAGTGTTGATGATTTACCTTGGATACGCGAGAGTTGAGTCTGCAGTGTATTCGCGCATTGCGCGTGCAATCAGGGCAACACATTTGGAAATCCACTATCTCCTCAAAAGAGTCCGTTTGAAAGACACAATATATTGACCCGCGTTCTGTTTTCTATCATGCGCCGTGCACGTTTGCGATGGCATAAGATGCACGCAAACTCAACAGGGTTCGATAGAATTGAGTGTGAAACCAGACCAACGCTGCGGAGGGCGCCGGGAACAATCGGGCTCGGACCGCAGCAAACGAGCCCACTGTGAAAGCTCCGTCACCTGCCTCCGCAATTTTTCATATCAAAGCAGTGAAGGCGGGCGGGAACGTGAAGGAAAATGATAGCAGATAAACCAGCAGGGCGCGCACAGCGCACAGACTGGTGTGTGGAGGTGAATTACAGTGAGCCGTTTGTGACGGGAGACCAAAAATAAATAGCGGTCAATAGTAAAACGACACGTCGACTAAAAAAATTGCTGTCGACTAATTTGCATGGTCGATTACGTCGACTAATCGCGGCAGCACTAGATAAAATATTTATAAAATGGGCTGATGTTATGCAAAAGACTAATCTCAAAGTTTGATCTTGTTTCAAGGCAGACTAAACCTCATTATTCCTTCTTTTCCAGTCTCACATAAAACTGAAGCGGCTTTGGATATTTGCGGGAAGATGCCTGAGTGGACCTGGAAGTCGATATTAGATGGTTTGAAGGCTCCCTTCAGGGAGAAGCGCACTCTTGCCTTCATACCATGAGGAAACATGTTGTCATTGTATTATTCATGTATGAACTGCCTGTCGCACTCTTTTTGTAAAATGCCAAAATACCTTGTTAGATGGCTGCTTTTATCTGAATTAGTCACTTCAAATAAAAGACTGCATTCTTTAAATGTTGACAAATGTAGAACTTGTTTCCTTACACAATGCAGCATCAATAAAGCTGTGCATGATCAACACAGACTGGTTTATTAAATAAAAACTTCCACAGTAGGTCTTATTAGTGATTATGTATTAATGCTTACGCAGTCTGACGACCAATAAAAGGCTTTTGACAACATCCTGATGCAATAACTTTTATTGAGAGCTGTGAATGTGAGACTATACATTCAGAAACGTGCCAGTATGAATAGTGCAGTTCAGCTGAACATGGTCATCTTTAACACGGCTCGATTCTTTGGTATTTTCTGATTTGCATGTTTGCACTTTAACACATTAAAGCATGTTTAATGTAGAATATGAAAATTGTGGTAATAGAAGTGACATAAACACAGTGACGCCAAACGAATGGAATGTGGCAAAATATGAGCAAAAATAAAAAACAGTAAATGGAAAAAATGTTGACCACTGTTCAAAAGTTTGGGGCTGGTAAGTTGTTTTTGAAATAAGTTTCTTATTCAAACTAAGGCTACATGTATTTGCTACAAATTTCATTCATTTGTAACATAAGTGCCTTTAGTCACTTTTAACAAGTTAAATGCACTCTGCCGAATACAAGTATTTCTCTCTTTTCTTTTTTTAAAGAGCAAAAAATTCTTACTGACTCCAAACTTTTAAAAGGTTGTGTGTGTGTGGATGAAGCATATTTTAAACATGGAAAAAATCATGAAAATAGCTAGAAAAAAAAAGAAGCCCATAGGCATTTGCTTTTGGTCTAGATCTGTGTACATGGTTCCCATCCATTTCCATGTCTTTTACAGTTGCTCACTATTACTGTAGCCATTCATTTTGTAGAAATATACTGGATAGGAGTTGCATTTGTAATGCCAATCCTTGGACTGATTGCATAAGACTTTCTAAAAGTCAACCAGATATTTAAACTCAGTATAGAGTATCCATGTATACATGTCAGTATCCATGACGTTAACATTTTATGTTCCATAATATTTGCAGGTCTGGAAGGTAATTTAAATGTAAAGGTTTTTCATATCCGTGGGGACCCCATGTACAGACCGGCAGTGTTTCCCAACAAAAATGGGCAATGAGAATCGTAAAAATGACCAGAAAATAACTGTCTAAAATCTAACAAAATGTAACGAGCTTCAATAACATATTTTGGGTAAAAAAAATAAGTGTATGAATATTGGGCATCACAATGGACTGCAGAAGCTACACAAGCCACATCGATGTGTAAACAGCAGCTATTTGCAACACTATAGTGGGAGATCTGCAATAATAACACCATAAAATTCATCTTAAATATTTTTAAGGTGATGTGTAGACGTTCTTACAGGCTGTCTAAATAAAACCACTTTGCACAAAGTTCTGTCAATTATATTCTTAAAATGACCCATTTTAAAACATCCCTTTCCTTCTAAATGTAAACGCAAATGTAACGTCCTGCAACCTGCACAGGAATATGAGACCCTTTCCTGACAACATTCACTTCTCTGATACTGACATACAGATATCACCGATTTATAGATCAGTTCTGATATAATACTCTAACCTTGATTTGTCAATGCAACAATGATATGTTCAAATCACAAGGATCATTCATATTCCTCATATGAATTAGTCACTCAGAAATCATCTGTTGATAGGAAATGTGTGGTTGGTGAAGTTATGAAAAAGAGGGCAGGGAAGCATTGGCAGCGATGTTGACCTGATGACCTTCAGGAAGAGGTTTACGATTGGCTGTGAAGTGCTCAGGGATCAGTTAGTTCTGCTCTTCTTTCAGATCAAACCTGACAGAGGAAGATGATAACTGATTAAATGAACAGTTAATCTAAAAATAAGCATTTCATTATTGAAGAAATTAAACAAAGGTATCAGAACTAAATAAATCAAACATATAAACAATACAATTCCATGAGGAATTGTTGCTTGGTAAAAATATTACTATTTGTGCCAATATCAGTACCAAAACTCACCATTCTGTGACTCCGGAGAGAAAGTCAACGTGTCCCAGGTCTATCTGCACCTACAAGAATAAATCAACACATTTAACACTAAAATATATTATTTAATATATATTATTAAAACAATTATTAAAAGCATATTTATAAAAAAATATATAGTTTAATATTTAACTTAATAAATATGTCAATTATATTTATTTCAATATATATTTATTTAATATATTTTTAAATGAATTTATATAAATTAAATTCTGTATTTGTGGCACAAAGTCATAGGACACGTTGAAAAACGAAAATAAATCAACAATACATTAAACAAAAAATATGTTTTATCATTACTAAATCAATTGTGAAGAATAAATGTATAAAAATATATAAAATTAAATCAAATATATAATATTATTTTAAACACATTTCAATATTGATCAAATCAAAATGATATTTTATATATATTTTTTTAAATACATTTATATAAATGAAATAAATTATATGAAATTAAAATTTGCACAAAGTCATGACATATTGAAAAACATTTTTATCTTGTTTCCAGTGAAAATATCTAAACAAATACATTTCAAAATCTTACAAAGTCAAAATTTTGTTTTTAATTTATTTAGATTGATTAATAAAAACAAACACTACAAAAAATATGTATTTTCCTAAAGTCTTTTCTTACCCAATTTCGTACACATTTATTTTGTTGTCAGGATGTTTAAATATTTTAAACGGACAATGAGACAAAAATACTGTGTATGGAAATGATGATTTTCGCAGAAGTGAACCAATGCGGACTGACCTGGCCGATCACATCTTTGTCTCGATTCATGAAGGACGAGGATGCGTTTTTCACACACACGCTGAGCTCTCGTCTCTGAGCCTCCTCTGCACTCATATCAAATTCAAACCTACAGAACAACATTCCAGATGATGACACACTGGTTCAAGGACTCCTAAAACACACTTCAAACCACTTCACATCTAAGATAGAACATGCAAACACATTTGAGGACATAAAACCAAAACACTTACACAACAGAATGCTTTAAAGATTAACCAGACACACCATACTTAAAGTATTCTAATGTATGGAACTAAAGAATGATCATATTTATACACCATGGTATTTAAATGGTAAAAATCAAGCTATTACCATGGTAAATAGTTTGAAGAACAGATTACAATTCACTTAAATGTCGTTCTCTCTTACTCATGAACGACAAAGACACACACACACACACACACACACACACACACACACACACACACACACACACGTCTCCAAACCTTTCATTGAACTCTGGGTTCAGGCTTTTCTTCTTCACACTCGTCTTTCTTTTCGTGGCCTTGCTTTTATCCGGCAGCAGAATGAGGGAGACGTAGGTGTCTAAACTGTCCTTAGATGATGTAACCAGACCCCTGAAAACACACAAACACAGAGCGTCCTCACTTTACCTCAAACTTTAGACTTACACAGGCAACTTATAACCTTGAAAAAACATTTCTTGGTTGCTCAAACAGGTTAATAATCATGCCAACACTATACACCATACAATATACGCACGAATACAATCCACAAGTAAGCAGACCTGCATGCATGGACGGTCACTGTGAGCTGTTTCTGGAAGGACAGGGAGATTTTGATCTGTCCAGTGGTGGCCGTCTGCTTATTACTCAAAACTGGACCTGAACCCATGGCTACTAAGGCCGCCATTTTTGAATCCAAAATCTGGATAAAACAGAACATGTGGGTTTATATGTTGAGCTAGTGTTGTCTTCATGTATACTCTTATTTCTTAACTCCCTGAGAAGTTTAAACAAAACAAATCTTGTGCTCAAAACATTGACGATAACGTTGTCTAACCTTCAGCTGTGCCCTGAGTAGAACCTGGCTCTGTGGTAAAGCTCCATCCAGATCCAGCCATTGGTCCATCAGTAGATCTGCTTTTGAAAGCAGCTCTCTGATTGGTAGAATCAACGAGCCGGTGGGTTGATCAAAGGCACTTGAGAACTGCATAAAATGACAATAAATGAAAAGTGAGTATGAAATCATCATAATTTATGGCCTGAAACAAAAAGCAAACACAGTTCTAGTTAAAATCACTATCCACTTCGTAATGCAACAACTGATTCAATACATTCTCCTTGTTGCCACGAGGGGCGCTAGAGCTGCATTTACAAAAACCATCTTCTTCTAGACAGATTTCTTTTTCATGTCATGCTGAGCAAGTTAGTTATTTATAGTTAGTGAAACTGTTGATGTATTTTTTAGCATGTTCTTGTTTTTCGTGGAATATTGCAGTATTTAAAATAAATTATTTATCCGTGGACATCATTTTTTAAATTCATGTGCCCTCAAAATCTTGAATCAAAATAACTACCCTCCCTCTTGCAGCAACATGTGACTCACAATGAGATCCACCAATAGCAAACCACAACCATCCAATCAAGCGGTTTCACTCAGATATACATCACAATAGGGAAGACGATCACAACTTCCATTTCATGCCGACTTTAACAAGACAGACATTGAGGAATAATTTTATTGCATGTAATCCTCACAAAATAGTATTAACTCTTTCCGTTATAATTGATGGATTTTTGTGTCATTTAGGACACAATTGCTTCCCCACCATCTATGCAAATTTTCGCCAATCTATGTTTTCACTGATATACGGTAGGGGGCGCTATTACGCATCTTCTGAAAGAGTACTGAATCTCCTCATCAAATCACAGGCGAAAAAGAAGCAGAAACAAGCGATAGCCTATGTAAGCAGATGCTCATGTAAAATAACGCAATCATCAACATTAAACAGCATATAAATCAAAACTGCCTAACATTAATTAATGAAAAGTAAACCCAGAATGAGCTTTAGGACTGTGAAGCTTTGGGGGTGTTGATCTACTCCATCTGCTTTCCAGACATACACGATTTTCTCAGCTTTTGTTCAAAATGTTGCTTTTTTATGAAACTTGAGCACATTCAAGTGTTGATTAAAAAAAGAATGAATGAATTTAGAATAGTTTTTTGTTTGTTTGATCAAAACTGGCGGTGATGACTCGCAACTTAAAAAAAAAAAATGCTGTTGAGGAAAGAGTTAATTGCAATTCTGGCTACAATACCCTCACCTTAATGACAAGTATGTCCTTTTTGGGATCATGAACCAGAAAGTCAAAAGCTTCATTCCAGTGAGGAGAGGTTGAACGATCACACACCTTTATATTAGAGAGGACAGAAACAGGAATTTAAATATATTACAAATATTTAAAAAAAGATTGTCATTATTGATAAAAATCTCCTGCCTTGGTTTTGTACGATGTTCCTCCAAGTACAAGTTCAGCGGCAGCTTTGGGTTCCTTTCCGCTTTTCTTCAACTAGACACCAATATAACCATCATTACTTACCAAGCTTTATTAACAGGTTTTAATTATTATTAACAGAGCTTACGTTACTCTTCCGGTCCAAATGTAATAATTCCATTAAAACAGTTTTATCGAGATTGCTTTAATAAAGACAAATTTATACTGAAAAATATGATTTGTGTGAATGACTCACAGGCAGTTCATGAGCTCTGTCTAAAAGAATAAACAGCATCGCTGCTGACGGCACAGATTTGTTCTGGTAGGACTGAGTGCTTTGCATCTGCATTACCTGATAAAGAAAAAACTCTTTTAGTATTAAGTCATTTTTTGTATAAACAAAGAATTAACAGACTCCATGTGTCTTCATTTAAAACTGACTTGTTCCAATCTATCCCGCTGTGTTGCGGTGGGCAGCCATTCCAGAACCAAATGGACTCGACCGTGTTTTATATCATTCAAAGTAAACCACTGAAAAAGAAAAGCCAACAGGGAAAGATTAATGTGCTTATTGTGTTGTGATCTTATGAATCTGAGCCAAATGGGTTGATTGATACTCACTTCATCATTGTACTGGGACCTGATGATGCCTCCAAGTTTGAGCTTGAACCTGAGCACACATGGAGACAAAAGTAAAGTGTCATTTATGTAGATTATAGTATCGGAAATAATATGTAAAAAAAAAAAAAAGTTAGTTCTTATTACTATAATAGTGTGTGTGTGTATATATATATATATATATACACAGTATATATACATATTTGAAGACTTCAGATACAAAAGCCTCTAAGTCCGTCTAAAGTTTTTGTTTAATATTAACATTTGTATCAGGCTCCTATGTATAGGTTTCTACCCAAGTGCCGGCATTTCTGAATGGGCTGAGGCTGGGATTTAGTGAGTTTGAAGTGAAAGTATTAGATGAACATATACTATGTGCAGAGAGCATTCACTAAATATTATTATCTCACTTTTGACAGAGGTGTCTTTTAGAGGCTTTTGCATCGGAGGTCTTCATATATATATATATATATATATATATATATATATACTGTATGTGTATACAGTACTGGTCCAAAGTTTAAAAACAGTACTATTACTATTTTTGATACTTTTTCCAGGATTCTTTGATGAACAAAAAGTTAAAAAACAGCAACAAAAAACAGCACTTATTTAAAATAGAAATCTTTTGAAACAATATGCACTACCGTTCAAAAGTTTGGGGTCAGTCATTTTTTTCTTTATTTGAAAGAAATGAGTAATTTTTTTTCATTAAGGAATCGGGATGTGGTTACTTCAACCAAAAATGAAAATTCTGTCAGTAATTACTCACCCTCATGTTGTTCAACCCCGTAAGACTTTCGTTCATCTTCAGAACACAAATTAAGATATATTTTTTTATTAAATCTGAGAGCTGGATCACTCCTCCATAGGCTTCTTAAGGGATCGAAACTGGCCGGCCCAAAAATTATGAAAGACATCGTTAAAATAGTCCAAAGCTTCTAGGTTGCACGTCACACGCAGGCTTACTATTGGCCGACGCTGGTCATGTGTTTGATGTGTGACGTACAACCTAGAAGCTTTGCGTAGTTTCACTATGTGAAATATCACAGCCGTACAGAGAAGGATATGATTAGTTGAATAAAGTCGTTATTTTTGTTTGTTGCGCACAAAAAGTATTCTCGTCGCTTGATAAACTTAAGGTTGAGCCACTGTAGTCACTCGGACTATTTTAACGATGTCTTTCATAACTTTTGGGCCGGTCAGTTTCGATCACTTAAGAAGCCTATGGAGGAGTGATCCAGCTCTCAGATTTAATCAAAAATATATCTTAATTTGTGTTCTGAAGATGAACGAAAGTCTTACGGGGTTGAACAACTTGAGGGCGAGTAATTACTGACAGAATTTTCATTTTTGGGTGAACTATCCCTTTAAATTTATAAAACGTGTTTTAAACACACACATATATATTACAGTAATGAGACATGAAGGGAAAATGTGCCTAGTTGTTCAATAAAATTAGTTTAATGATAAAAAAAAAAAAAAATTTACACATAGTAAAAGAGATAATAAATATACTAACCTTCCAAGGAAATCATCAGAGTCAACATCCTTGTCATAGACCTCAAACTTCACATCTAGATTATGATCAGGACTCAGAATCACCTAGTAAATAAAAAAGAGTAACAATTAAGCCCTTTTAATGTTTTTTATTTTATTTACTGATAATAATTTAAAATATATAGAAATATTACAGAGTTGAGCATAACTAGAGAAAAAACATAGTTACTACATAAACATCCAAAACCCATCTATGATATCTTGACATTTTTCAAAACTACATTCTCTTATTCCCACCTCATACATCTCATTCCAGGTGGGATTGAGGTTCTCCTTGATCACATGACTCTTAAAGGTTGTTTCACCGATATGGATCTTGACATACGGGTCACTCTTCCCCTTCACCATCCCACCCATCATGTTGTCCTTTGCAACCAGATCTTGAGCCTCCAGAAGATGGATACGCAGCACCCCCTGTGGGACAGATATTAAACAACAACAACAATGCTAATGTGATTCCAACATCCTTAAACCTAATACTAAAAGCAGAGGGCATGTTGATCCAGGAAACTAAAAGGTCAATAAAATAACAGACTCACCTTGGTGCCAAAGCTGGGGTCATGGCTAGTCTTCTGGGGTCGTACGTCTGTTGAACTAGAGACTTTAGACTCTTCTGCAGAAACACTGGGAGAAACCTTCTTGTGAGACCTGTTTAACATGAACAAACACACACAGACATAAACTAATCTTTGTATGATCATAACCCACTAAAATAGGATTATCAAAACCATAAAAAAAACTCACTGTTCTCCTGGTTTATCCACATGTTGTTGCTCTTCATGGGATGATCCAAATGTTTTTACTGGTTCCATATATCCAGCCACATTAGAAGTGGAATCAGGAAGTTTGCTGAGATCCTGTAAATGAAAAGCAACAAGTGAGCAAATCATTTTTTAAATAAATAAATAAAATAATAGCTGTGGTCACCATTCACTTTCGACAAAACAATGTTTATTGTAAAAAATGTTTATATAAAAATGTAAAATTAATTAAAAATGTATTTTTAAAATAAACATTAAACCGAGATGTATGATAAACACAAATACATGATATATACATAATGTATCTGAAATACATCTGATGGAAATGTTTATTTGACTCATTTTAATATAATATAAAAATAAATCAAATTAAACATTAACATTAAAATACAGTGATTAATAGGGATGCACGATGATATCGGGACAACATCGGTATCGGCCGATAAAAGCTTAAAATGACCATCATCGGCATCGGCCGATATGAATATTTCTGCCGATGAGCCTTGCCGATAGGGTGGCGTGTTTCCTATGCGCACGTGACGACCGTGAACGAAGCATGAGCGCCAGCAACTTAAACTTCCAACTAGGGGTGTGCCGTGCGTCTCACGGTTTTTGATCGTGGACGATTAAAATGTCTCCACTATCTGCTTTTGAAGAAAAATCATAGTATCGTGCATTCTATCAGTTCAATTCTGGCGCCTTCATCTCAACATACTGTACAACGCAACGTACATTCACATCACATCACATGTAAACGCAGAGGTAGAGTTACACTCACGGGACACCGCAATTCACAAAAGTTCATAGTTTGCATGTGCGTCAAAGTCTTGCTAGGTAAACATGTCATTCACGTGCTGATGCGCTGTTCTAACATCCGCTTTTCTGAGCGCGTTACACCCGACGCTCACAGGAACTAAAAGCCTGTCACAGCGCCTGCATACTGGACTAATCTTTCCAGTCTTATTGCGCTGATACTGTCAAATACACACAAGGTTTACATAAACAAAGTTGGTTATGTCTAAAGTGAAAGCAAACAGAAAATCTGCTTGTCAAATGCGTGTATATTAGACGCGTCGCGTTACTCGCGTGCAGTTCTTAAAGAGACAGTAATAATATTCTGCCGCTTGTCTTTAAAGAGATACTGCACCCAGAAATAAAAATTCTGTCTATCTAATGTTGTTTCAAACCTGGATTCATTTCTTTCTTGTGCTTAAATATACTATGGAAGTCACTGGAGTACAGCAACTGTTTGGTTAGCCACATTCTTCCAAATAACTTTTATAATTTCAACAGAAGAAAGAAACTTGAGAGAGTAAATGATGACAATTTAAATTTTTGGGAGAACTATCCCGTTAATGTTAATAAAACAACAAAACACAGAGGAAATCACTCACTGCTCTTGACTGAGAACATTAATAGAAGCTTTAATAAGCTTTTTTTGCACTTAAAAAAAATACAAATATATCGGTATCGGTATCGGCATCGGGCAAAATGAGTTTGAAAATATCGGCATATCGAATATCGGCCAAAATCCTATATGGTGCATCCCTAGTGATTAATAAATATATAAATAAATTAATAAACAAAACATAAAATTAAATCAATCTATTAATTCATCTAAAATAAAATCAAATAAAACACACACAAACTAACCTCAGTTATCTGTGTTTTTGGTGCAGACGGCGTGTGATGCTCATCCATGACATGGGCGGCTGTTTGTTTCTGAGGTTCTTCAGGCCGTGGTGTAGGTACTGGTAGAGTAAAGGCTGCTAGGTTACTGATCCTGTTGGTCATGAGCACAAAATAATCTGGTTTAGCTCTCAAGATAAAATGATGTGATTTAAATGAAATCAGTAATCATGACAAAATAAATCAAACCCTTTAGCTGGCAGCTTCTTCCTCTCAGACTCCTTACTGACTGCAGCTTGTGAATGTTCAGCAGTGACTGGTGCTTTTTCTACATGCTGTTCACCCACTGAATGCTGTTCTTGGACAACAGGCTTTTTACGATGAAGGACACTTGAATCCATTCTCGAGTCCAAAATCTGATAATAAAGTAGAGCAATTAGGCATTTAAAAATGTGTTATGGTCATGATTTGACACACCGATTACAAGAGATTCATGTAAAATAAAAATAAACTTTTTTTGACTGTAGTTTCTAGAAAAAGTAATCATAATAATTCTTTCACCTTAAGTTGTGCTCTCAGCAGAATTTGACTGCCAGGACTGGCTCCATCCAAACTCAACCATTGGTCCACCAGTAGATCTGGTTTTGAAAGCAACTCTCTGATTGGTAGAACCACACAGCCCAAGGGCTGCTCAAAGGCACTTGAAAGCTACAGCAGTGAAATGAGAGAAAAATATGAACAAAGATAAAAAAATCCATTATCAATGTTTAAATTATCCATTTAAATGTAAAATAAATTACATAATAAATGTACATGTATTATACTTTTAATAATAATAATACTTATTATTATTGCTATTATAAATAATACTAATTAGATAATTAAACATTCTACTTAATATAAACAATAGACAATGAATAATATTTAATTTAGATAAAATATCATGTCAAACACCAGGACACGTTGACTACCCCAATATAGACATTTAAACTTTTATTTTTAATTTCCCCATTCAGATTTTTCCAGATATTACTTTTCATTAGGGGTGCACGATTCAGAAAATGTCACGATTCGATACCGATTTTTAGACTCAAGATTCGATTAAAAAGAGATTTTCGATTAAAAAAACAATTCGCAGTATATAAATGTAGTTTACTTTTTTTTTTTTTGATTGATTGCAGTAGACACAATTTAAAAGAAAAGAAACACAACAAATTAAATGTAGTTTGATATTACTTTATACGTCTTCATACAAAAATAAAAAACTTTTGCAACTAAAAAGTGCAAAGTGCCAAGCTTTGCCCAGCTTTCAAATACATTTAATTCAAGTTTAAAATAAAACTTAAATAAAAAGCTTTTACATTTAGCTTTAAAGTGCTGTAGTCAGATCAAACAAATATGCTAAATGTGGTTTAAGTAGTAGCTACCAGGTTGACTGTTGAAATGTGAACTGGACTGGGCACATATTGAACTTCCTAAAATTCCTAAAAATATATACTAATGTCATAGTCATAGAACCCTTGCAAAATTATTTTAAATAGATTAAAAAAGCCACCGTTACTGGTAACATCTTTGGTTAGATTGATTTGTTTAGATCCAGTGAAGTCGTTCATAGGCGTAATTTGCGGGTATCTCCAGTTAACTAGCAGGGCATTCATTTAGTTCGTTATTAAATAAGAGATCTGTTATTTTTTAAATCAAGCTGCGCGCTCGTGTCCGCTGCTATCAGTGTCATGGATACAGTGTTCTCTGTGGCTCGCGCAGTCTTCACTCGGACGCGCTCTTCAATCTATCGCCGTTGTGGAGACTCCGGTGCAATCACAAAATAAAATGCACACAAACGTGTCCCTGACTGTCTGTAACCACTGATGAACATATTCGGTTTTGATGAGAAAAAAAACTATACGAGTGCGGTTTAGAATCCGTAACCTCTTGACACGCTTGGCAAAAGATCTACAGACCATTTAAGAACTGAAACATAATCTGCGGATCGATGCATTTATTTACGGGTTGAGCAGAGAGGCTGCACAGTTTGACTAGCGGTCGGCAAGAACTTGCAATGTATAACTATTTATCAGACCGGCCCTCGCGGCCTCGAAACACTTACCAGACCACAGGGAAAAGTCCCGACTCACCCGATTGCCAATCCGCCCGTGCACGCCATTAAAAAAAATATATATATGAATCGATTTTTGGAATTCTATGAATCGATTCTGAATCGGTAAAGATTGAATCGCGATTCAAATGTGAATCGATTTTTTTTGCACACCCCTACTTTTCATGTAGTGTTTGTGAATGTAAAAGGTCTGCAAAGTTTCAAAAATCAAAGAGTTATTGTCTCCCAAAAGAAAGAACCGATTCTGAAATGAGTCGTCAGTAATTCCAGTCTCACGTCCTGCTCGATCCTACATACAGTAGCAGACTTGTAACAGATGTGAAAAATGCCCGCCTATAGTCTTCATTGGCTGCCAATGAAAGACATCTACTTTTCCCCGCCCTCAAACACTGTAGTTGCACCTGAAGCCTGGAGGAGTTTGGTTCGTGTTGTCGACGTGTCAGGAAGATGGTAAAACCGACGCCATCGCTACTGTTACTATTGCTGAGGAAGATCCAGAGGTGAAATTCAGATATGGCAATGAGTGTTTCGTTTCCGACACGCGCTATACGCGATAGACCAATCACTTACAGACTGTGCCATCTGACCAATCAGAGCAGAGCAGGCTCTCAGAAAGGAGGGGTTTAGAGAGACTGAGGGCCCTATTTTAACGATCTGAAACGCAAGTAACTTTGTGGGCGGATCTCGGGCGGTGTTGCTATTATACCGGCGGGATAAATGACTCTTGCACCCGACGCAAATCTAAAATGGGTTGGTCTGAAGTAGCTGCATTACTCATAGGTGTGGTTTGGCCGTAACATGCAATAAACCAATCAGAGCGTCATCTCACATTCCCTTTAAGAGCAGGCGCGCTTGTTCCATGGCGGATTGCTATTATAATGGCGGATTTGCAGGCGCACACCAGGAGCGGTTCACAGCCGAGGAGACCGACGTTCTCGTCAGGGCCGTAAAAGACAGAGAAGTGACATTGTATGGGGATGGGAGAAACCAACCCAAATTAGCTTCAGTTAAACAGGCATATAATAATTTTGGTAAATGTGTAAGCTATATTATGCCTATTTTTTCACATCTTCATGGACACCACAATGATTTCCCCCATGTGGTAATATTTTTCCTTGTAATTATGTATGGTTTGCAAAAATGTGAACTGCTGTTTGTGTAGATGAGAGAAGCAAAGAGTATGCGCGTTGTGCACACACTACATTATGGCCAAGCATGCGCCCTTAAAATAGCATCTGAATAACGCGCCACTGACTTTAGACTACTTTTTTCCTGGTCTGTGGCAGAATTGTTTTCTGGAACTGCAAAATAGCACTAGGGAATGTTTGTGCCGGAACATGCCTCCTCTTTTCGCTGAACCGCCCCCGGGAGCAAAGTCAGCATATTTATTAGTTGCGCTGGGTGCAAGATAGGGCCCTGAATCCTTTATCGTTTCAGACACTGTGAGAAAAGAGGTGATGCTACAATGCGAGAAAATTAACGTGGTTTTTGATCATGGATGAATGTAAACCTGTAAACCTCCAAAACAAAATTAGGAACCTAATCTACTTCACCTTTATAATAAGAATCTCCTCTCTTGGGTTGTGGACCAGGAAGTTAAAATCTTCACTCCACTGAGGAGACGTGGCGCGGTCACACACCTTTAAAGAGACCAGCAAAGAAGTTGCTTACATTAAGGCCCAGAAATTGACACACAACTTTATCTTTACATAAGGCACAAGTTCCACCTTGGTTTTATGAGAAATGTCACCGAAAATCAGCTCTGCAGCAGCTTTAGGTTCCTTTCCACTCTTCTTCAGCTGCACACATGAACACAAATTAAAGTGATCATAGCAGTTGATCCAATACAGCTGAACTGTATTTGTGTGAAAATGCTTGTAAGTGCATGTGTGTAAGACGTACCGGCAGGTCATGAGCTCTCTCCAAGAGGACGTAGAACAGAGCTGCCGACGGCACGGATTTGTTCTGGAATGAATGTTCTGACTGTAACTGCAGAGCCTGGACATGAAGAAAACAAGTAAACAATTCAAAATGCAGGTTGAGATTGAGACAGAAATTCTAATGCCAAATTAAATCCTAAAAAGTATATTCACATTAAATATACTTCATAATAATACTACACAATAAACAAATATATTTAAAAAAAATGTATTTTATATTAAAATAAACACTTAACTCTGATCTAATTTTTATTGAAAGGTTCGAGCCTCACTTAATTTTAGGAGGCGTTTGAAGTAAATCAATTAAATAAATAACAAAAAGGTTTATAAAAAGGTCTAGAATAGATGCATTTCACATGGATCGAATTACTATTATTGATACTCAAAAACATCATATGAACTAATATAATATATGTCAGCTTTAATAATGACCTTTTGCAGTCGGTCGGGTTGTGTTACTGTGGGCAGCCACTCCAGAATCATATGAACACGGCCATGTTTGACATCACTCAGAGAAAACCACTGACACAGAGAAAGAAAACACAACGGAATTAATATATTGCAATACTTTCTCACCTTACCAGTAAACTTACGACCAAATTGAATCCTCTCTAAATGCAAATATAAGACAATTTGTCTAAACTGTTCAAAATCCAATCCCTAGAGAATGAGAAATGAGGAAAGATGCTAGTGATGATACACTCACTTCATCAGTCAACTGGGACTGAATGATCTCCTGTAAGCTGATCTTCAGCCTGTGGACACATACAGGATCAGTAAAATGACACGGACAAGCATCATGTCAACATGCCAATGCGTGTTTGACTTTCATCCACATTCCAGTGTTATTTTACTATTATTTATATACCATTATAGCATCTATCACAGTAAAGTTACTTTAAAACAATCTGTGTTGTATAAAGCGCTAAAGGTGACTTGACTATTTATAAATAGCTTGAATTTATATATTTCCAATTTTCATTTTAGTTTTCATTTTAATTTAAGTTTTAGCAATTTGTTGTCTGCTTTTGCATTTTTATTTCATTTGTAATATTTCTATTTACAGGGTTCCCACTCTTTTTCAGCGAGCATTTTCCAGGTCTTTTTCAGGACATTTTCAATTTTACTATGACGGGAAAAAAAGACAAGGATCACGTCCTAAAGTAATATATTGCTCTCTAAATCTTCAAAAGGCGTACAGTTTATTGCCATGACTTAACTATAAAATCACTTTTTAATATGAGCTCTAAAATCATACATTATGACTATGGAAGCTAGGACTGTGCGATTTGAGGAAAATATCTAATTGCGATTTTTCAGACAGATATTGCGATTTGATTTGCGATTACATTTTTGTGAAGTCAAGCTTCAGCTCAATATTCTCAATAGTCTGCAGCACACACTCTAAATTAAAGTAGTACAACATGCCTTTAACTGTAGACCCCTCCACTACCGCAGATGCAGAGTGCCTTTCTATTAGTGTTAGTGTCATGCATTTTGTAAAAAATTTTTTATTATTATTTAGTCATAGTGTCCAATGTACTTTTTAGTTTTTATCCGGCGTTTTAGGATCCCAAAACTCCGGATCTGTTTGTATCGAAACGCTGATGATACAAAGTTTTTCGGTATACAGCTAAACTCGTCTTCGTGTGGACGAGCATTTACACATGCACACATCTATTTTGACATCAGAATTTTTTGTCCCAGCCAATGCTGGTTATTCACCATGTCAATCAATAAAATTTTGGATTCAATCCCGCATTTAAATAAGTTAGTCATTCCCAAAACTTTGCAGTGTGTATATACATAGCAGCATGAAAAATAGAACTTTTTTCAAACTGCGAATGGGTTATATGCAGATAGCAAACAAAGAGCGTTCCTTTTTTAATCACTACAGCTGTCAATCACTTCAGCGCTAGCACTGTTGTGAAAAATCCTGTTATACTCAATGAAGCTGGATACAGTGCACAATTAATATCTTATTGACCTTATAATCACATCAGAATTATTAATTATTAGAACACTGTACTTTCTGCAACTAATGGTAATTGTTTTTGGCCAGTGAAAAACTCTATTCTCACCTAAATAAAAAACGAATAACTTAAAAAAAAAAAAAATATTCCAGGACTACAACAAGATTTTCCAGGACATTAGACACTTTCTCTAATTTTCCATGTTTTCCATGACGGGAAAGTTTGTCACTGATCCAGGTTTTCCAGGACGAGTGGGAACCCTGATTTAGCTTTATTTTTTATTTCAGCTTTAGTTTTAGCACTTTTTGTTTTAGTTACATTTAAAAGAAAAATTAAGTTAGTAAACACATTTTAGAACTAATATTTATCTTATATTATATTAATACATTTATTTTTAATATTTTTAGTTTTATTTAACAATTACAACGCTGCCACATACCTCCCCAAAAAGTCGTCTTTGTCCATGTCCTTGTCAAAAACCTCTACAAGGACATCAGAAGTCGTGCTGGAGCCCAGAAACAGCTGGGAAAAGCATTGATCACATGATTTTATATTTAAAACCATTTTAACATCAACTAAAACAGCATCTGAGGACCTAAACCCACCTCATACATCTCATTCCAGGTGGGATTGAGATTCTCCTTGATCACAAGACTCTTAAAGGTCGTGTCCCCGATATGGATCTTGACATACGGGTCGCTCTTCCCCTTCATCATCCCACCCATCATGTTGTCCTTTGCAACCAGATCTTGAGCCTCCAGCAGGTAGAGGCGGAGCACGCCCTAAAAAACATCAAATGTTCTCACTCTGTTGGTGTGTTTGGATTTATAAGCCATATCAACAATGCCATCATCTGTCAGCCTAATATTTCTCACCTCGGTACCAAAGCCGGGGTCAGGGCTGGTGTGTAGGGGTCGAAGGTCATCTGAGCTGGACACTTCCGTGACCTCTGGGAATTCCTCCTCTTCTGGGACTGACACAGAGGAAGTCCTGCTGACAGGAGACGGTGGGACCTCTTCAATACTAGACCTAAACCCCCCCAAACAAACACAGACACGCACGTCAAAGTCAAAGTAAGTTTATTGTATATGTGGTCAAAGAAGTTACATAACATGTAACAATATGAATATGAAACATTATTGCTTTTAAACAAAGTATCAATAAACACACATACTTAACAGTCGAGTATAATCATTAAATACACACTTAAATACAGTTTTCTATAGAACATAACTATTACATTAACCAGCGATGGATTTATAGAGTTAATATTTCATTTTTAAGAGAAATTACGAGTGAAATATCAGGTGTTCTGCAAAACTGTTCATTTGAATTAAATAAAAGATCTTCAGTTTAAGGCACTGTTTATTAAATGTCATCCAGATTGTTAGGGCATATGTTTGAGGGCTCTATGACATGTGAAATTGTCCTCCTCTCACTTTTGCACTAATTCCTCCTCTCGTTTTCTTCTAATGCTGGATGCTTCAGGACGTTTCAGCTCCTCATGCTGGTTATCAGAGCTCTCCGATGCTTTAGGGCAAAGAATCTACAACACAAGGTAACGACATATCACGCCATCTCAGAGTCAGACAGCTGCCTTCTAAAAATCTGCATCCTTGTAAATATCCAATATCCTTGAAATAATGATAGGAAAAGCCTCGCCCCACACGTTGACGGGATTGGTTACTTGTTTGTGACCAGGGCTTGACATTAATACCTGCCAACCTAACAAATGCGGGTGTATTTCAGCAGTGGCGTGTAACGCAGTCACTCCTACTAGCCACTTTGGCGGGTTAAATTTGATATAATATATCCATTTTTCAATTGTAGTCTTTTAAAAAGGCATCAGAAATAATAAACTTAGTGCAATGTAGTGTTGTCAAAAATATAAAATTTTCGCTACATATCGATACTGAAATGCTTCCAATACCAATTTTCCACAGAATAGATACAATACCAGCTGCACTTTCTCGCTCTCTCATCTCTCCGACAGCGAGTGACACACAAACCCGTTTCTCCTCACCCACTCGTTGCATTTGCTCCGGATGAATATTGTTGGTGTAACAGGGCTTGAATTTCGCCGTGGGATTTCACGTGTTGCACATCATTTTACTATAATTTTGTGCTCACACACAAAGTGCCCGAGCATAAAGCCTCAGTACTAAATTGAGTTCTTTTTCGCTGCTTATTGCACTCAAACAGTCAAATACACACAAAATAATGTCAAAATGCCAGTCTTGGTGAGTATTCTCGTAAACAGTCAGTTATGTTTTAAGTGAACGTAAACAGTTGAGAAAGAAAACGCATCTGTAACAGTATAATGGATCCGTGCGTCAGGTCTTAAAGTGATAGCAGCCTAATATACCTGCTGCCAAATTATGAGATAATGTTAAAAATATCTATATGGCTGTTTTTCCCGATGTCAAAATTGTGGCCAGTGAAAATGCTGAGTGGCTAGTGAACAAAAAAGTTAATGTCAAGCCCTGTTTATGACGGTAGGAATTAGGGGGTGTGTTTTTGAGGTTGTCTTTTGTACACTATAGTTTTAAGGAGAAAATACTCAGCAATGGTATTGACTGACTTTGCACATGGTTTGTCTTAAAGCATGCTAAAAACACCACATAGTCATATAAACAACATTAAAAACTTGATTTTCACCACGGGGGTCTCAATATTTAAATAGAAACAAGTTATTTTAAATTGCAATAATATTTCATAGTATTACTGTTTTTAGAGTATTTTGATCAATTAAATGCAGCCTTAATGAAGATGGAATACGCATCCGTGTGTGTTTTACCTTCAGTTGAGCTCTGAGCAGAATCTGACTCTGAGGTGACGCTCCATCCAGATTGAGCCACTGGTCCAACAGCAGATCTGGTTCAGAGAGAAGCTCTTTAATGGGAATCACCACAGATCCCAGAGAGAAATCCCAATTGTGGGATAACTGGTGAGAAAAAGTGAGGATAAAGGGTTAAGGTCAGATGGTAAAGTGTGTTGCAAGTCAAATACTGCATAAAAATGTGCTGAAGTTCTAACCTTCACAACAAGGTCTTCATTAAAAGGGTTTCGAACCAGGAAGTGAAACGCTTCGTCCCATTGGGGAGAGCTGTTGCGGTCACAGACCTACATCACACAGAGTCAAGTCAAGGAAAATGAATTTTAGCCACACATTCTTGACCAAACATTTAAACAGTATCTGTGGTAAAGCAGTTTCTCACCGTGGTTTTATGAGAAGTTCCTCTCAAAATCAGCTCCGCTCCAACTTTAGGTTCCTTCCCACTCTTCTTCAACTAAACACATAGAGAAAAAATAAGACTTAGAGAACCATTTGTAAAGCACTGTGGGTAAATGTTTCAGACATGTTTCATTAAAGTATCAACTTTGTTTCAGATTCTTCTCCTAAAATATTTCTAAAACAAATCAGTTGTTGAAATACAGTACTGTTCATTTTTTGAAGATGTTGTTTTTGAAAGAAGTCTCCTCTACTCACCAGGGCTGCATTTATTTGTTTAAAAATACAGTAAAAACAGTAATATTGTGAATTATCATCAGAATTTAAAATAACTGTTTTCTATTTTAATATATTTTAAAATGTAATTTATTCCGGTGATCAAAGCTGCATTCTCAGCATCATTACTCCAGTCTTCAGTGTCACATGATCCTTCAGAAATCATTCTAATATGATGATTTGCTGCTCAAGAAACATGTCTGCTTATTATTAATGTTGAAAACAGTTGTACTGCTACATATTTTTGTGGAAACTGTACTTTTTTTTTAAGGATTCTTTGATGAATAGAAAATTTAAAAGAACAGCATTTGAAATTTAAATCTTTTTTTAACATTATAAACGTCTTTACTGGCACATTTGATAAATTTAATGCATCCTTGCTGCTGAATAAAAATCTTTTCTCCAGAAAATAGCAGCTAAAAGATCATTTGAATAATGTTCGAGTTGATATTGAGATCTCTGACTTCTGATTGCTCACTTTGTTTCCTGGCAAATCTGAGCACAGTTTGAGATATTGTTGAGGTCTTTTCTGAAACTCTAGAGGGGAACATGCAAGATCACTGGGGTCTTTTTCACAGGAGAAAAATCTGAAAAACAGGAGGATCTCAGTCTCTCCATTAATGTCATTACTGTCTAGGAGAACAAATGAGATATTTAAGAAATGTCACTTGTGTCATACTCACAGGAAGCTCATGTGCGCGCTCCACATACACAAACAGAAGAGCGGCAGTCGGCACTGTCTTATTCATGTATGAGGTCTTTGATTGGTACAGCAACACCTGATTAATAAATCATACAGTTAACCAGTTAGTTTCCTCAATGTATTTTCAACACAGACAGAGATTGATGGAGGATGAGAGATGGTTCTGCCCACCTGCTGGAGTTTCTCTGGTTGTGTTACAGTGGGAAGCCATTCCAGACCGAGATGAACACGGCCACGCTTCACATCACTCAGAGAAAACCACTGCCACACACAGTCACAAGAGGATATATGTATGAGTATCTTTATATAATATATATCTTATTTTATACTTATTACTACTGATGCATATATATAAACTCAACCTCATTAATGTATTGGGAGCTGATTATGTCACTCAGATTCATCTTCAGCCTAAAAGAAAAACAATATGAATATATGCTTAAATAATGCTAAAACTAAATAATGCGTAAGAGTTATACTGGATTACATTGACAGCAACCTTCTTACCTGCCCATAAAGTCATCTTTCATGTCCATGTCCTTATCAAAAACTTCCAATGTCAAATCCTGACCAGGAAGCTGCGTCAAAACCACCTTAAAAATAATAACGGGAAATGGCAAGTTAAAACACTTCATCATACTGCCAATCACTCACAGCTTAAATTAAGAAAAAGTCCTGCTGATAAATATTTCGAAGACTAGCATACTTCACAATTTGCAGTACATACTGTGTACTGTTCTTTAAAAAAAAAAAAAAAAAAAAAAAAAAAAATGTATGGCGTGTGAAACAGCATGCAACAATAAATATGTCAAACATTGTTATAGTATAGTATAGTATATTAGAATGGCAGTTTGTCATTCTGGACATAGCGTCAAGGTTTGATTTATAAATGCATTTGCAAGTATTCCCACCTCATACATCTCATTCCAGGTGGGGTTGAGATTCTCCTTGATCACTTGACTTTTAAAGGTTTCACCTCCAATTTGTATCTTGACATACGGATCGCTCTTTCCCTTCACCATCCCACCCATCATGTTGTCCTTCGCAACCAGATTTTGAGCCTCCACGAGGTGGATCCGCAGCAGCCCCTGCAGGAACGAAGGGAAGATCATTTTACTTTGATTTCAGGGGTTGGTTATGATCGATCGGACCATCAAAGAGTGTATATTCAAGAATAAATCATACGTGTGTGGGTAATAATGTTATAAAATATGAATAGCATAACGACATTAATAGATTAGATCCGCACACCTCAGTAGCGAAGCTGGAATGGGGCGTCGACTTCTGTGGACGCGAGGCAGAGCTCTTCGAAAGAGGGCCACTGGAAAGGAGGGAGGACGTTACTGCAGCTTCATCCAAACAGAGAACCTGCAGGAAATGACATCAACATAAGCTATGTTTCCAACCAAAGTTGTGAATTTAACTTGTGTGCAAAACTGGAATATCGCAAAAAAAAACATTTGCGAATAAAGCAGTTTCCATCTGTGTTCACGGGAGCACCACAACGCATGCGTGGAGCAGACATTGTTGGAGATTAATATTTTGTAAATAAAGTGGAAAATTATGTTGTTGTTTTTGCATGGTAGAGTATATGTATATATGTGTACTAAAGCTTGTGTATTGTGTGTCAGATGAATTTACCCTAAGAACTGTGTTGATGTGGATGCGGCTCTCTGAGCCAGAATTCTCAAGATTAAACCACTGATCTAAAGTCAGATCTGGACTTGAGAGGAGATTGGAAACAGGAATAGACAGACTTCCCAAAACCTGAACACGGTCATTATCCTTCACCTGAAAAAGAGAGTGAGTAAATGTAAAAATGGCTTAAGTAACATGAATGTCAACCAGGAAAAATAATCCTGGAAGTCATCACATCTGAACCCTGTTTACACCTGTATTGAGAGCTTGTGTATGTTCCTAACAGGGCAGATGATGCAAGCATACCTGTACACTTATGTTCTCTTTGCTTGGGTCTCTGATGAAAAAAGTGAACGCGTCCTCCCACTGAGGGTTCACGGTATTCCAGCAAATCTAAGAGGGGAAATAAGTGAGTGAGAAGAGCGGGTCACATGGGAAAGTTTGGTTGGCACAGGTGGTAATTGTGTGTCTTACCCGGCTGTCACGAGTAACATCCTGCACTGAGATTTGAGCAATTGGGTTGGGATCCTTATTACCTTTTTTCATCTAAAAACAGAAGAAACGGATACAAACACACTTAAAAACAAACATAAAATAGCATATGAGTGACAGGTCATTTACCATTTTGTCATTAATATGATTAAGTTTCCAGTTTAAACCAATAAAAAAAATAACTATTTCATTTAAATTAGGTTAGTAAGCGATTCTTTTGTCACATGATCCTTCAGAAATCATTCTTATATGATGATTTGCTGCTCAAGAAACATTTCTAATTATTATCAATGTTGAAAACAGTTTTGCTGCTTAATATGGACAAACATTTACGTAAGGGAATAAAAAACAAAAAAGGTAATTGCGTTTTTTTAATCTCAAAATTTGGAACTTTTTTTGTACTGAGTTTATATGACGCAATTTTGAGTTTATAACTCACAATTAGGGCTGCAACTAACGATTATTTTGATAATTGATTAATCGGGCGATTATTTTTTCGATTAATCGGATAAAAAGATTTAATTAGATTTTTTGTTTATTGTGACTAAATAAAACCCGGTTACACTTTATTTTAAGGTGTCCTTGTTACAGTGTAATTATATATTTAAGTACAGAGTAATATTAAGTAACTACATGTACTTACTATATGAATAGGGTAGGATTAGGTTGAGGGTTAGTTGCATGTAATTATGCATAATTTACTGTTATTACTACAGTAAGGATATGTAACATATGTAACAAGGACACATAAAATAAAATAAAGTGTTACCTAAAACCCTAAATTAGGATATTTATGTGTAAAAGTGTACTTTAAAAAGTGCAAAAGCCACACATTGAGTTTTACAAATATCAATATTTGCATTGTTTTTAATGATAATTGCTGATGGCAAGTTGACAACCATGATTAATGTAAAAAAAAACAACAACATTTATATCCAACATATTGTTTTAACACAATTTTTGTTAAAACAAATTTACAGACATGTTGATCAGATGTGAAGATATAAACTAAAAACATCTAAAAATATATAATTCATTTAATTTTTATTTAAAACGTATTTAATAATTTTTGTAAAAAATAAATATAGAAAGACTGAAAACAAGCGTGTGAACAGAGCCGCAGTAGATCGCGTTTGAAAAACAATTAAAACTTAATAGTAGACAAATGCTATATAAAGAGAACGTAATGGAGGTACGCAGCAAGCTAACAGGCTTGATTAAAAAGATAGGAAAAATGATGCATTAGTGCACAAACATTCGCTGAAACCCACTGAGTACAGTGACTAAAAAACAATATTTTACTGCTGCTGTTATTAACTGCCTTTATATTTAGTGCTTCGCTTTGTAAAGACCATTTTAATTTAATATTTCTGCGGTAGCACTATTTTAATCCATCACTTATGTTGCGAGCGAACTGATTGCGCAACCTGATGCTCGAGACGCAAAATACAGACATCCCAAGTCTCCCGGAAGTTCTGGAAGTCACCCGCATATTGATAGCGGCTCGCAAATTAGTTCAAACTCCCGGGATTTGAACGTGCAAGCAAGAGCGCGCATGCGAGACAGAAGAGACTGTGCTCCAAACCGTGTAGCGCGAGCGCGCGGCAGAGCAACGGAGGGAGAGAGACCTTGCGTGTGTGTGCCTCATGAAGCGCGTGTAAGACAGAGAGCATCCTGATTGGCCTGTTTCAACCAATCACCAGTAAACGCTCCCCGTGACGTAAGCAGACCAACTAATCGATAATGACATTCGTTGACAACGATTTTCATAATCGATTATAATCGATTTTATCGATTAGTTGTTGCAGCCCTACTCACAATTCTGGAATTGCGAGAAAAAACATCACAAGTTTATATACGATATTCAGTCTGAATTGTGAGGGAAAAAAAGTCCGAATTGTGAGATAAAAAGTCGCATTTTTTTTATTCCATGGCGAAAACAAGCTTGCACAGCTTAATGTTTTTGTGGAAACTTTTGTGGATTTTACTTTTATCACAGAGCAAAGCACTATAGACTTAAAGTAAGTGCTTTATTGTAAACACAATTTATGCTTTAGAACCGAGAAAGGAGTTTTATTATCTGTCTAATATCAATTATTATCTGTGGTCAACCATATTTCCCAAAATGTGCATAAAAATAGGTGGATGGAAACATGAAGCTAATGAAGCCAGGACATTCTTTTTAAATCCTCCAGACCGCAGCGCTGTAAGCTTGAGCACTCTGGCATATTCACTTGATGCAAGTGTGTACTTGTTTCAAGAGTTTTAAGTATCAGTGTGTGCCTCTTAAGTGAACTCTTTTTGCATTGCACTTCTAGTAAAATATTCTGGATGCGGGAAACGGTGCGAGTGCTTTCACAGAGTGCTCTCTCAAGACCATGAGCTGAATAAGATATATCTAATGTTTCATTTAATAGTTTCTCTAGAAATGGCTGCAATCCTCCTTTAAGTCTGCTTCAGAGTGGGCGGCAGCCAGTCTGCTGCCGAGCAAAAAAGGGTAACGGCATGTTGTGGGTAACCAGGAGCATTCACACACACACACACACGTTTGTTTGGTTTCTCTACCATGGTGGGACCTTCCATTGACTTCTGTTTTTATACTGAGCTAATGATGTTTTTTTATCCCCTAATCTTAAATTGAACCCAAACAGAAACCTTTTAGCAGTTTTAAATGTTGATTGAGACATTATTTAGTATGTTTATTAACCATTTTCATTGAAGGCATTGTTGGCTCGTCCCCACATTAGGGTGATTTCAGGTTTCACTTCCTTTTTAAAGACAAAGCGGAAAAACCTTTCTCACATACAGTACCGTTCAAAAGTTTGGGGCTAGTACGATTTTTTTGAAAGAAATGTTTGCGTTTATTCAGCAAAGATGCATTAAATTGATCATAATTAAAGTTAAGACATTTACACTGCTGCAAAAGATTTCTATTTCAAATAAATGGTTTTCTTTTGAACTTTCTATTCAGTATAGAATTCTTTACACAAGAGTTTCCACAAAAATATTAAGCAGCACAACTGTTTTCAACATTAGCTGCGTTTACATGGACACTTATAATCGGATTGACGGCTCAATCGGACTAAAAAACCTTCATGTAAACACCTTAATCGATCCGATTGAGCTCGATCCGATTGAAATTTCGATCGGATTGAAAGGGGTGGTTTACTCCTTTTGTAATCCGATCGAGAGAACATGCAAACACTTGATCGGATTGAAAACCGAAACTAAAAGGACTGCGCATGTGCAATGACGTTGAAATAGCGTAATGACGTATGACGCACGGAACGAGCTGTTCTTCCTGTTGAATAAAGTGAATATAAATGAGTGTTCCGTTATTAAAAAATTCTCATTTCACTCAGCGTCTGTGAAGTGGAGCAGGACAACGTCCCAGCAGTGCTTGTTTCAGACTCTCATCCATGGACGACTGGTTTTGGGCGCAGGGTTTTACTGCGTGATCAATATAAGCAGCACGGCAAAACGGTTCATGCTCATCGTCTCCAAATCATGACCAGAGACGGATAAATATATTAAGTCTGCTGTTTAAAACAAATAAAGCACCAAAAAAGAGGAGAATAGTTATGCGCGAACAGCAGCATATTCGTGCAGTGCGCATGTCAAAAAATCAATTCCGATTTGAATCTTGTGACATATAAACGCGCACATCAACCCGATTACTTTATTTATCGTTCATGTAAACACCGTGTCGAATTCATGGATTGATTTCATTCCGATTGAACCATGTAAACGCAGCTACTGATAATAATAGGAAATGTTTCTTGAGCAGCAAATCATCATATTAGTATGATTTCTGAAGGATCATGTGACACTGAAGACTGGAGTAATGATGCTGAGAATTCAGCTTTGATCACAGGAATAAATTACATTTTAAAATATATTCAAATTAGAAAATTGCAATAGTATTCCACAATATTTCTGTTTTCCTGTGTACTTGATTAAATAAATGCAGGGTTGGTAGGCATAACTACTGTGTCTGTGTGTGTGTTTTCTGTGATGGGTAGGTATAGGGGATAGAATATACAGTTTGTACTGTATAAAAATCATTGTCAATGGAATGTGCTCATTAAACATAACATGTGTGTTAGAACAAAGGAGTGCAGCAGGAAGATGACGTGAGAGTATTACTCACAGGAAGTGCCTCAGCCTTGTCCAAATACAATGCCATGATGGCTGCTGAGGGTGGCTTTGCTGTTTTACTCACCACACTTTCATTTCTCTTCAGAACCTGAGAGAAAAAGAGAAAAAAAATGAGGGCAAAGTAGGGCGGAGCGAAGCTACTGTAAAAACTCCTGTTTGCAGTTGCTCTGTTTGACAAGTGTGCAAAGTAAGCTTTCTGTCTCGTTTAAAGATTATTGGGTTTTGTTAAAAGGTGGAGTACATGAACACACTGTTTGCATGTGTGGAAAACATAGCACACCCATTTCCTAGAAACCCCCCTGTGCTGTGTTCTGTGTTTGTACGGTGTTATAAGACCTCTTTCAGTCTTCCTGTGTCGGCTTCTAGTGTCAGCCACTCCAGTCTGAGGTGAACCCGCCCGGTAGGGGTGTCCTTCAAAGTGAACCACTAAGAAGGGGACATTAAAACAGCAAATAATCACCCATGCAAAATTCTACAATAAACCTATGAGACTGACATAATGAAATACATAATAAAAGACACAAATATTCCACAAATAAGCTGGTCATTATTGCAAGATAAACCCTTTCAGAGTGATACAAGACTGAATTGAGGCACAGATCACCTTGTCAGAGGTTTATTTTGCAGCTCAGTGTACAGTGGTATGACATCAGTGTTATTTATCTATTAATATAATATTATAATACATATATGACACGCTGCTGTAAGCAAATAAGACATGCTGCTGCTGTACAATACAGCATACATGTTCTACCCATAGCATATCTATACAGGTGGAGCTGGGGAAGGTGGAGGGTTTCTGAAAGTGCACTGCAAACTGCTACAGAAAATGCTGACCAAGTATTTTAAAGTTGAGCAGCGAGCTCATTGGCTACTGATGTGACAGGAACCAATCAGCTGTGCCCTGAATGATGTGATTGCGAACAGGTTAAGGACCTTTCAGCATGCGCCATCTAGAGTTTCATGACAGAACTTTGTATTTATTTCAGTCATTTACAAGGGCAAAATTTCTTTTTTTCTTAAGTTTTTCGACTAATATTTCTATAATACTGAAAAAGTTTTAGTGAATGACAAGAGATATGTAACTAGAAAGAAAATTAGAAAAATAAGGTTTTGCATCATTAGAATATTTGACTGCAGAATGCCTTGATGAACCAAACAGATTCAAGCATTCAGCCATGTGATCATTTTATTTATAAATAATAATAATTGCAATATACAATGGTTTTAGTGGTCTGTAGCTAATTGTTGCATCGATATAGATTTCGTGTCACTTGTGGTTAAAGTTATGCACACACTTGCAAACCAAATCAAGTTAACCACACACATATGGGATTAATATCCTGCCATGATTCAAAACTGAAAATAAAGTTCTGAAAGGTTGAAACTAAGTGTTCGAAAACTCAAAATCTTACAAAAAAAGTTTTGCAAGATCGAAAAATAAGATTTGCAAAATCTTTTGATAAAAATGATCTGGCGCCGGCCCTGTTGAAAGGCCTTTGGTTGTAGATAGTAAAACATTTCTGCAACATTAATCAAGTTCATTGATAATTGTGCTTGCATGTGTTAATCATTTTGATACTATATTTTGATACAGCACTTTGGCCAACAACTGTTGTTTTTAAATGTGCTCTATAAATAAATATGACTGACTGACTAACTATATTCATCCCATACGCTTTCGTCATTGGGGGAGCAGTCGGTCAATCCCACCTTTCCAGTAAATACGACTTGTGATTGGACTGTACGTCAGCAGACAGCAAAGCATTGGCCAAGAGCAGAAGGCCCTCCCTCCAGGCTTTTTTTTTTAAGTTGCGAGGTTGCGAAGCTTCATTTTCACTCAGTCTGAGTTTCAGAGTTTCAGAGCAGAGCTGTGTGACAACGCTGCCACAAATCACGTGAGTCGCAAGCTCGCAACTGTGTGGGCGTATCTCCGCAAAGTGGGTGTTGTAAACTCAGCTCTGAAAAAATAGTCTGCAATAGGAGTGCACATGTAATGTAACGTAATAAGTTTCGCCCTTTCGAACCTCAGTTTTCAGAGTTTCAAAACTTTTTTTCACCTATTCGCACACCAGTTTTCAGATCACCATTTACAAGGTTTCAAATCTGGAAAACAAACTATACACTGGGAGAACAGTGACAAATTCGAAACTCTGAAAAAATGATTGCACAACACCGTAAAAAAGAGTGTTGCACTTCCGAAGAAGGAAAACTCAAAAACAAAATTATGTTTGCAGAGATTTCATTTTTTTTTACCACTTTGCAAGCCTGCAAAAGTCTGTTTTCAGAGTTTCAAAACTTTTTTTTACACATTCGCACACCAGTTTTCAGATCACCATTTACAAGGTTTCAAACCTGGAAAACAAACTAATACAGTGGGAGAACAATGACAAATTTGAAACTGAAAAATTATTTGCGCAACATCGTAATTTTTTTTTTTCAGTTCTGAAGGAAATCTCAAAAACAACAATGTTTGCAGAGATATTTTTAATTTTTTTTACATTTTGCAAGCTTGCAAATCTTATTTTTCGATCTTGCAAGACTTTTTTTTGTAAGATTTTGAGTTTTCAAACACTTACTTTCAACCTTTCAGAACTTTATTTTCAGTTTTGAATCATGGCAGGATATTAATCCCATACACACACACACACACACACACACACACACAGAGAAAACAGTGTGCTGGAATATTATCTAAATGTTCTCACCTCATCAACTATTTTAAATTTCTTCACAATCCCCAAGTCTAATTTTGTCCTGAACACAAGTGAGATAAAGAGAATCAACACAAGGATGAGAATAGAGATCAGCAAACAATTCATGAGTTTATGGTAATGGTGGCTTATGGTAGGACACTATAACTGATGTTCAGAAGACGAAAATCTGGAACAGATCTATATCAAAGAGGTCATATTATAAGAAAAAGTAAATTTTTAAGAAACTTCTGGAATAAAAGAGTTTAATGCACTATGGAAACACTCTCAAAAAACAAGATATCCTCAATGTAAATTGTTTTAGTGCAAGAAATCTTGACTAACATTATAAGGATTATTCGCTTATAATGTTAAAACATCATATTAAAGATATGACTCCTTTGTAGTGTTGTCACGATACTAGAATTTCTAACTTCGATACGATACCTTGAAAAATATCGATATTCGATACCATTTTCGATACCACGGAGAAAAAACTGCCACAATATTAAGGGGGTATTTTTTTAATTTAAAGCTAAATATAACAAGTCTAGAACATGACAATGAGGTATATTTTACATGAACAAAAATGTCCTGAGTTCTATTTGTTTATATTTTTTAATTGGACCAGAGCTAACATGATGTATTTTTATTACCTACTGTTATCAAAGATTAAAATATACTGTAACAAAAAAGCACTTAACAGTATCAAATTGGAGGATAGAGAGTCAGTAATGATAAGATTAAACATTCAATTTTCAGTTAAAGGCATGTCATTATTGAATTCAGATGCCATTGTCTAGCTGTTTAGTTTAATTAATATCTGTGTAATCAATTTGATGATAATCGCTAATGAAGGAAAATTGCAGAATTAAATAATAATTTTTGAATAAAGTTAAATAGGCACCAGTTAATTTACATTTGACCACAGTTACAATATTTACTTGTCTAAGATTCCAGTCAGATTATGTTAACTTTAAGAATTAAAACGAGACAACACAGACTCTTATCAACAACAATACTAGGCCATCTTGGTTAATGTTTCAGAAAAGTTCAAATGAGAAGAGTTACAGTGTTTCCTTGAGGATTTTTTTAGCAGTGGGGGCAGGTCTGTCCAAACAACAAACACCCCTGATGCTGAGCATATAATGCTAAATAGTAGCCTACCCCTGGAGCCTGTTCCTTAAGTCTGTTTTCACCTATACAACAATTAAAAAAAATGAGTGATGTGAGGGGTTATTGATAGTCAAACAATCTGTTGGGTGCCCGCAGCCCGCTCGCGTGTCCGCGCTATTCTCCGACATGCCCGCTCGCGGTGTGTAGCGCGTGTCCACGCTATTCTCCGACTCCGACATGCCCGCTCGCGGTGTGTTTTTTACGCGTGTCCGCGCTATTCTCCGACATGCCCGCTCGCGGTGTTCTTTATCAATCAACCAAAGCCGGTCGCGGGGGCGCCGCCCTCGCCATCTTTCCATTCACTTCACTTTTGCTATTTAACCAGAGCGAATGAGACGAGTGCGTCACGTGTGGTGTTTGTCAACGCGCCTTTTGAGAGAAGTGAAAGTGACTGCTCGGCTAGTATCGATACTTCGGGAAATTAGTATTGGTACCGTTCAGATATTTCAGTATCGATATTTATCGAAATATCGATATTTTTGACAACACTACTCCTTTGAGAGAAAAAATGAGAAACGGAAAGACGGGAGATGAAATGCAGTGATATGGTACCTGCCCAGGAAATCATCTTGATTAGGATCTTTATCAAACACTTCCACCTCTAGCTCCTGACCAGGCACCTCATGAACGATGACCTGACAGACAGACACACACTCATGCATGAAACACCAAAGACACACCTACATTAACAGCATGGGATATCAATGACAAAAAGCGGCGTAAATGATTAGACATTTAAACACACACAGATACATATGACCTTATCACATTTACATCATATATCAATATTATGATATCAAATGGCTTATACAGTACACCTCTTAAAACTTGAAATCAGTCTTTAAAGAGTTACTTCTTTTGTTGTGGTGTCATTTTAACACCCACCTCATACATTTCACCCCATTTGGGATTGAGTGTATTGTCCAGATGCTGGGATTTGAAGGTTTGCGGCCCGACTCTGAGCAGGGCGTACGGGTCAGACACACCAGACACAATAGTGTCCTTCGCAGCCAGACTGTCAGCCTCTACCAGGTGAATACGCACAACTCCCTTGAAGAAATAAAGAAAGATGCACAGAATTTGAAAGACTGCAGTGCAGGGAACTGTTTCATTACAGCATTACTCCTAAATGAAAATAACTAATTACATGGTACCATTATGTTTTATGGAAAGCGATGCTTCAGAAACATGTATGCTACTTCTGCATTAAAACTATGGAAAAATATTTCAAATTACACTGCAAAAGTGGCACAGAACACAACCTTTCAAAAGTTTGAAATCAGCGAGATTTAGATATTTTTTTCTTTCTTTTTGAAATAAATGAATACTCTTATTCACCAAGGACACATTAAATTTAACAAAGGTGGCAATAAAGACACTTATAATGTCATAAAATAATTATATTTTTAAAAAATGCTGTTCTTTTGAACGTTCTATTAAAAACTCTAATCTATCATGGTTTCCACAAAAATATTAATCAGCAGAACTGTTTTCAACATTGATAATAATAAGAAATTTTTCTTGAGCAGCAAATCAGCATATTAGAATGATTTCTGAAGGATCATGTGACACTGAAAACTGGAGTAATGGTGCTGAAAATTCAGCGTTGCATCACAGGAATAAATTACTAGGGGTGTATCGATTTTCATTAAAAAAATCAAACCGTGATATTCTCCACCCACGGTTCGGCACGCGATTGCTGATTCATCTAAAATATAATGACACATACACATCTACAATATGTGATAAAAACCGAACCGTGAGCAATTTGAACTGTTACATTGAACTGTTAATTTCGTTAATAACGACATTTTTTACCAGACGAAAACGAGACGAGAACTAAATAAAAAACAGTTTTTAATGACAAAAACTATGACGACAATCAATTGACATTTTCGTCAACGAATAAAAACTAGACGAAAATCTTAGGGAGGGACGATTTAAGAAGAGAGCCAGTCAGAACTGATGTCCTGTGTTTGTGTGGTAGATGCTGATCTACCCAGCGGGACACGAGTCGGTACGGTTTTCTGTGCACACACACCCGAAGCGTGTGCCCTGCACATAGACAGCTATACAGCGTGCGAGTACTGAATTGAGCTCTCTTTCACGTCTGAATGGACAAATACACACAACATTATGTCTAGTGTCCGTTTTGGAGAGTATTCATGTAAACAGTCGTCTATGTCTTTACAGAACGTAAACAGTTGTGAGAATATCGGATGTGCATTTGGATCCGCACATTTGGTCTTAAAGTGACAGTGCGTAATAAACCTAATGCCGTCTGTGTCCTTAATATTAATCAAACAATAAAATAAAAAGAGAAAAGCATTCACTGCTCTTTAATAATTTTTATTAAGGATTAATTATATTTAATTTCTACAAATAAATATGTCTGCTTGAAATAATAACGAATGATGTATGCAAGTTGTAATAAAGAATGCATATATCTTTCATTGAAAATAACTTTAGGAGAAGTGGTTTTATTTAATTTTAAGATTTGTTTTATGTCACAGCAGTTAAATCTGTGTCTGTATTGCATGTTCAAACTTTAAAATCATTCACATTAACAGGTTAATAGATGTTTTAACCGGGAGTATATATAATGGGTTTGGAAATTTACCTAAACCCATTAGATTTTAGTTGACTAAATCTTATTGTATTTCTTCGACTAAAACAATTCAGATGACTAAAACTAAATGGAATTTTTGTCAAAAGACTATGACTAAAACTCAATCAAAATTTGCTGTCAAAATTAACACTGTTACACCCCTATGAATTACATTTTAAAATGTATTCATGTATTCAGTTATTTTAAATTTTAATAATATTTCACAATATTTCTGTTTTTACTGTAGTTTTGATCAAATAAATGCAGTTTTGGTGAGATACTTCTTTCATAACATAAAATTTTTGAACTGAGCCCAAACTTTTTAACTGAAGAGTAAATGTCAATTGCAAAAACCAAAGTATCATGTATTTGAGTGATTTGGGCATTGTATGTTGATTGTATGTGTGTGTGTGTGCGTGTGTTACCCTGGGCAGGGGGCTCCTCAACTGTGCCACATGCAGGTCTGCCACCAGAGGAACAGTGAGACGATTGGGCAAAACCAAGAACGAGGCAATCGCGTCCATGATCATAGTGTCTGACATCATACTGAGAAAAGGAACAGGGACAGAAAGTGTGAAATCGATTTTTCAGTGAGTGTACTGAACTGAATAAAATGTTATTGTGTATGTGTAGTGACTGAAACTCACTTGACCCCTGGGATGTCCAGCAGGTTGGTCAAACCGGTCCAGTTAATGGTCAGTTTCTAACAACAAAGAGGAAAAAGGAGAAGATTACATGATTCTATTAAAAGTAATATTCTAATTCAAGCACCAATGAAAGAATAAAGACAGTAAGAATCAGTACACACTTGCAAGAAGACTAATGCAGAACATTTTAAAGTTCAATGGAGCTTCAGAGAACCCAGGAGGGTTTCAACTTCCTCAGTTAATGGATGTTACCAAGAAGTAATAATGTATTTGATCTGAACCTATAGACTTAGATTAAGGCAGGATTAGGCCTTAGTTCAATTAGGACATTTAAGTAGCTTTTATAAACGTGCCTTAGAAAAAGACATCATTGGTGTGCCTCTCGAGACAAAACAATGACACTGACATATTTCAAGATATGTCAGTGCAAGGTGCTTTCAGTTAAAACATGTTCAGTTCAAACATGCATTTTAGTCTGGGACTAGGCTTAAGACTTGTCTGTAAAACTGGGGGATAGTGTAATGTCAAAAATGTTTTAAGCTCCAAAGAATCCTCTAGTCAACCATAGAAGAACCCTTATTTTTCATCTAATAGGTCCTTTATTGGCATCCATGAAGAACCTTTAACATACATGGAATCTTTCCAGTCCACAAAAGGTTCTTTATAGTGGTGAAGTACGTGTTTAGAGACACTCACGGGTCTTTGGATGAAGAACATGGTCACAGCACCCACGATTGGGACGTCACCGATCAATGGCTCCAAAATCACACGCATCATTCCATGAAGCTGAAAGAATGCAAGTGGAATTATCTCTCAAGATTTCATTTCTACAGTGGGACCATGTATCAAATGTACTGTCACAACTAGCAAAACACAATCTCACCTGTATTCCCTTCACACCAGCCTTGCAGAAATACCTCTTCACCTCCACGTTTATCTCGACATCCCCCACGTAACTGAGAAAATATGGCGGAGAGGAAACATTAGGTTGCTTTTAACGCTTTACAAATAAATTTAAGCATTCTGCTGAATTTGTTCCAAACAACTAAAACTTGATGTAAAACTAAACAAAAATGAAGTCTTTAAATAGGATATACACTCATGTTATTCTCTGGATAAACAAATCTGAGTTGGCTGCATTTTGACGGTCTTGTTTTGTCAGCTTGTGAAATACAGACACAATATCGATTACACAAGACTTTTAAATCACTCCCTGAGAGACAATAGACAAATCACTCATGATTGCATGAGAATCTCAAATATATCTCAATCTCAAGTCAGTAAATAGATGTATGCGTCACCTGATGTAAACGTCAAGCAGAATTTGACCTTTTTCATTTTCTGAATGAGCCTTCACTCCAACCACCTTCATCGGCTGTAAAATAAAGAAAAGTTCTGTTGTAGAAGATAAAAATGTGCAGCCAAACCTCTAATATAGGGCAAATCAGTTGTTTCTTTATGCATATATTATTATTCCATAGCACTGTAATATAGTAGTTTTTTAGGGCAGTAGATTTTAGGTTAATATTAAAGTAATTTAACAACATATTTGCTTCATGGTTCTATGATGTCAGCTAATGGTCACATGACAAATTATCTTTTTAGTGCTTTAATTTGATTGTTTAGATTTTTAAATTATTTATTTATTTAAATTTGACATTTTATGATTTCATTATTAGCTTTTCATTATCAGCTCACAAACACCCTGCAGTAATAATTCAATAGCTATTTTTAAACATCAGAAGTCTATAACTGTGTTAATGAGCAAGATTTTCACAGCCTTATGTCCTTTAAATCACATTAACAAAACAATGTCACTCTTGCCTGGACAGGAATGTTTGCCATGAGACATCAGATGTGTTTATTCTAACAGAATGCTTGTTCAGACGTGTTTGAAGGGCAGTGGAGCCTCTTTTAATCTCCTACTGTAGTGGAATGAGATCTGCAGGGATGTTACTGGAATATTATTTATTGTGTAGCAGTGTGTGTATGTGTGTGTGTGTTTCCATGTATGACCTTGCCACCAAAGTCTATCTTGGTGAAGCTGAGAGTCTGTAGATGAGTGCTGGAGCCGCGGATGGATGGAGCAATGGTTTCCGTAAGCAGCTTCTCCAAATACTGACCAATATACGGCCAGGCCTGATGGATAACCTTGAGAAATAGACAGGAAGAGAAAGAGAGTGTCATATTTTTATTTGATATTAAAGTCACCATGAAATCAAAAATGGACTATTCTTGAATATTGTAGTATTTATTATAAATAGTTAATTCGTGCGTGCACACAGGGGTTAAAGTGATAAAAAAAAATTGGGGTGGGGCGGGGGGCAGACGGACTTATCTTCAATGGCACCATTTATTTTCAAGTATTAAAGCTGTATCTTAATGCCATCTTCTTATGAATGAAAGCCAGTATCACTAATATTATAGCTACTGATGTCTCGATGAAAAGGATTTCCCCCCAAATTTTAAACATTAGGCTTCAAAAAATATAAAAAACTTTTAATTTAAGTGAACTTAAAACAATCCTCACTTAAACCCATAATAAATGTAATTTACCTGTACCATACAGAAATTGAATATGAAATTGAAATTATAAATGAAATATAGATTAATCCTCATCAAAGCTACAAGGGTTCTTTAGTCAAGAGCAGTCAGTAATTTTCTGTTCCCTTTGTTCTTTAGGTTAACTTTACTGACAGACAGAATTAATGGCTCCTGTCACTTTAAGGTCTGTCGCTGCTGACAGGATCTCATGCATCTCATTCTCTCACTACTATTTACTTCCATTTAAGATTTTATTTAACTCATTTAAGACTGTTCTTGTGAGGATGCTCGACAAAACTGACATTTTGGCATAAATGTGTGTTATTGTTCGTTCAAGCGCGAAAGAGAACTCGATACTGGCACGCGTCTTTCTGTGCGTCGTGTGTGCGCGCGCACGTGTGTCAGGAGGACATTCACTGACAGCGTGTTCTCTTTTGTCTTGTCGCGCATGAGTTGTTTAAAGCATTTACGTGAATAAGAACATGGTCATAACCCTAGCTAAAGGATGACAGAAAGAACGGATGCTGCGTTAATTGCGTTAAATATTTTAACACGTTAAAGCTGGACAAAAATGAATCGCATGCGAAAATAATAATTTTTTCCTCACGGCCGCACGCCGGAGATCCGGCACGGTGCCGGAATACTTTAAGCCCTGTGCACATCTCTTTTTTTTTTTTTATTCATGTGCCCTCGTAATCTTTAATCAAAACAACTTCCCCTCCCACTTTCATTCACATCTCATCTCTTCTCTGATGACGTGTTTACTGGCGTGAGGGCGGGGCAACCTGTCACTCACATGAGATCCACCAATAGGAAGCCACAACCATCCAATCAATTCCCCATTATCAAAATCAAGCCCCGCTCTACATTTTTTCTTGTTCGAGAATCCGTTTCTCTTTATATACATCACAATTAGGGATGGGACAAATAGTGCGATACGAGAATATATACGCTGGTGCCAAATACTGATATTTTAATTAATAAAATAAGGCGCTCTAAAGAGATTTTCCTGCTCCCAGCGTCGCTACTTCATGTCTCCTCGAGTTGGCGCTCAACACATGAATAAGGAAAACGTGAACGTAAGTTAACTTACACTGCTGTCCGCCATCTCGTTAAAAACCTCTTTTTCTTAGGCTAGTAAATTAATAGATGCCCAGCCACATTTAAGTCCAAAGTCTGGAAAACCTGCACATAACCTTTTCACGGGCATTATACCATTGTATTAACCATAATTCCATGTACAACCCCTAAGCTAATAATGATAACACAACAGCATTTTTGTATTGATACTGTATATGAGTGCATAAAAATAATGTATAAAAAAATGTATGTTGTAGATTGGGGGACTGGAGATCTGACCCAGTTCCTTCTGTTTAATGCCCATGTTTGTTCTCTGCTCTCCTTGACGCTGTTTACACCGTGCCATTTGTGTTTGCCTAGTTGCTATAGTGACTTCTTGTTTGCGGATGTTAAGAGGTGATAACAGAAGCTAAAGCGCCAGATGCCGGGGCATTTTTCAGATTGTTTCATTACATGTGCAAACCACAGATTTTAGAAATAGCAATGTGACTCATGCAGAGACCACATGACCACAGGATACGAAGAGGGGAGAGTCTCCGCTGGAATAACTGCCAGCATAAAATGTCTGCCTCGTGAATCACAGATAAAGCCAGGCCTAAATATTTCTGTTCTAATGATAAGCCGCAGCACTGTTATAATCTACTACTACTGAAACGAAAAGAAGGAAAAATGGTGTCAGGAAGGATATATCTCTATCTGCTCGTCCTTTTTCTGTCTCTCAGTGAGTGAATCTCATGAAGAAAGTTCATTTCATCCCAAAATAAAAAAAATATACAGTATATTTTGAATAAAGAATATTTTAGTACCATTAATACTAAATATTTGTAAAAGAAAGCTAATAACTAATTTTTTTTTTAAGCATTCAATGTATTATGTTGTCTTTTATTATTACTTCATTTTAATTCCCATTTTTTTGTTATGCATATTATGTATACTAACTGTATTTTCTTTTAACAGGTTTCATGTTATATTATAGCATTTTGGTGCTTATTGTGTAACGCATTTGGACTGTTATAAATAAGTTTTGTTTTGTTTGTTTTTTGCTTTAGACGCTTGAGATGCAAAAATACATAAAAGATTTAATTTCCTGGAAAAGCATGTATTGCAACTGATCTAATAATTCAAAGGCAAGGAACATATGTTGGTTGAATTAGTGTTTGGTTGAGAATGGATGTGTAATAATAGTATATAAAGCTTTTGTTCAGCAGGCGTGTGGGTGGTCACATGGCAGCTGTTGTGACATGAGGGAGGGGTCATTCATTTGATGGGTGGATCAGGAACACATGGGATTACAGGCTTGATGTTAATAAACAAATGTAAACCGAAACTGTTTGCTGAATTACCTTGTTTAGCCATTCAACCTTCTCCACATCTGGGAAGTTGACCTGAAATTATAAAGAAAAAACAATAACAGACTTCTAAGGGCAAAGACTGTCTATGCTTATGAGCTGTACAACAAACTTCAGAGGATGTGGTTAAAAAGAAGAAGAAAACAGCACATGATGCAACCACCTCAGTCTATCATGAATGTTTTTTTTTCTCCATTTACATTATTTCCTTCTTAAATAATACATACTATATGCAGTGTAGAATTTGATTTGTCTTGGATAATTTGTCCCCCCATTAATAACATGCATAGCTTATTTTACCACATGAAAGCCATGAGACATGACCAAATATAGTATAAACTCTTTTATGGAAGCATACTGTGCACTTGGGGAGGAGATGACAAAGCAACAATGTATTCAGAATGATTTGGATGATGGGGATTTGGCCAAGTACGCAGTACACCACCGATACAGCGCCACCAACAGGTCTAAAAATGTCCTCTAAATCTGCAGACCACTCCTACTGTTTAGCAGCATTAGAGAATCAGATTCATTCATTTTCGAATCGATTCGTTCAAACAATGAACTGTTTAAAAAATGATTGGTTCCAAAGATAAGTAATCGCGATGCTTTTTTTTTTTAGGTTTATCTGTAAAATACTGCTGTTTTCACTATGTTGTCGATTAGGTTGCGTCAAATATTGTGGTCGTTTATGAATCTTAAATTTAACCCTCCTCAGTTTGACTTCTATGCGAAGAGATTTCAAAAGCCGCACGACTCTGATTGATTCAAATGAACCGATTGGAAAAACAAATCGGAATCGAATCAGACATCGTTTTACGTTACTCTTTTTTTTTTTTTTTTTGTAGCGATCCAAATGTGTTTTACATAAAAACACTGAATTTCTCTCTTAGTATTACTAATGATTTATTCGGACGTTATGCATTAATAACAGTCCCGGAGTGATTATTTTTATTTACCTATCAAAAGACGCACTTTTATGCATTCTTACCCAAGAAGGCAGGTCTCCACGACTTCTAAATGATTTGGAGGATATGTATTCTTGCTCGTCGTTGAGTAACTGTATAGCGGACCTCAGTCTCGCCTCCTTCGCCTCACGAGAATGTTTCCATCCTGCGTAAACCATCATCCCAAACACCACCAAACTAGTGCTCATGCGATAGTAACCAGCCAGGTAAACAGGCAACATGGCAGTGAGACATTTGCCGAAAGTCCATAAGATTGCCTTGGCGTCCAGTAATTTCGTTTTAGGGACGTCCATTTCTCCCGATGAACTATCCCGGGCTGGTTCAGTCTTCTGTTCCGAGTCCGAGTCATTTTTCGGCCCTGAATCAACGTGCGACATTGTAGTCTGTTGGTTTGTAGGCAAATGTTTTCAAAGTCAAGATTCGATTACAAACGCAACGATTTGCAACTCAAATTCAACATGTGCTGTTGATTGAAAATCACGTTGCATTGGCGCATGGACTAGTGAAAATCTGCAGATGAGTCGGATGCCTGATCACTGCAGATCAATAAGTCAGTCAGCCCGAGAAAGAGAAATCGCCCACCTCACAGCTTTTACCCTTCTGGCATGACACTCTTTTTCCTTCTTGCAGTTCGTCTGTCTGAAATCCCTGGCCTGCACCGTTAGAGGCAGATCACGCCCACAGAAAACGACGCAGTTGTAAAAAGGGGCGAAAACTTTTAGTTGGAAGCTGCAGTAGGCAGTTTGTTCTTTGAAAGCTTCACAAGTCTATTGGGTCAATTCTGACTAGCCACAATTTAATTTTAAATTACATGTGTTCGTGTTCGTGTTCGAGTTCGGGGTGGGGGGGGGGGGGGGGTTTACTGGTTTACTGGTGTCACAACTATTTCGACTGGTGACGTCACTCTCCATTTGGAGGTTAAATTTCTTTTCTTTTTTCTCTGATACGTGCATTTCACGACGTTTGAAGGCCCAAAAAAGAATAAGAAACAGCTTTAAAACCATGTTAGAGGGCAGTAGATTGTCAATACCCGTTTTCTCCATCACCCTTTCTTTTTCTCTCAGATCTTGCCCTGTCTCTTCCACTCCTAAAGATGATTTATTAATTTACTTAAGGCTACAAATTGTATTATATTAATTCTCAATATGTACAAATTCATTATTAATCTCGTGCCTAAAATGATGAAAACGGCTTTGTGAATGTGTCTTGTCCCCTCACAATAGCGGTAAACTAATTAACCGTTACACGAGTCACGTTGTAGCCCTATTTTCAGTTAAAATTGGCGAAATTAGACAAAAGCTTATAAGTTAGCCTGATTATTTTTGTCATTCGTTTAACATTTATGACCTAAAAAACGGTCAATTATGAAATGTTTAGTTTAGCTAAGTTACTTACATCTTATCTCGCACTTGAATGAAGCGTCGAGTATGGTCGAGTCGTCGCTCTGCTAAAATTTCGCGCTCTCATCAGCTTATGTGAACATTAAGCCCGCCTACTTTGATTTGATTGGTCATTTCAAATATTCTGACATTGACGAGCAGTGACAGACCAATGAGACTCAGATGAACACACACACAAACACTGTCCTGTTTCTGACGTGCGCTGCTCTGCGCTGCTGCGGATTGAAGTTGAAGAGCGCGATGAAATTACACGACTGAAGTGAACACGAATTTCTGTAGCCTACACAATTACTTATTATTATTTTTCAGTACCCCCCAAATTATTATTTTCACCCCTTTTGGGAGGGTCCAAATCTCATCTAGTATCCTCAGAAATACTGAAATACTCAGACCGGCCCGTCTGGCACCAACAACCATGCCACGCTCAAAATAGCTTAAATCACCTTTCTTTCCCATTCTGACATTCAGTTTGGAGTTCAGGAGATTGTCTTGATTGACCAGGACCACACCCATAAATGCATAGAGGGAATGCATTAAAGGTTCTCTAAGCGATCCTGGGTGATGTCACTTCTTGTTGACGTTCGAACTATTGTCAAACAAAACGGAGGCTAGCTAGACCCTCCCTCCTCCTCATCCGCACACTAGCCCCCCAAACCACACCCCCAAACCCTTCTTGTCGGTCATTGGCTGGAACAGTTTGTTATGTTTCGGGGAGCGGGTCGCCGCAGTTTGTTTTTGTTGCTGTTTGTGGAGCCTGGGCTGTCTACAGAGATCGCGTTTCTTTACAGTGTGTTCAGGGGACAGGCAGCCAGTGGTTAGTGAGGAGATGTTTGCTGTGTGTGACAACAAATGTTTTGGCCTAAAAAACGCGTGACATCGCTTAGAGCACCTTTAACGTCACTTCCCCGCCGGAACACGCCCCCCTCAGCGGGACTGAGTGGCAGAAGAGCTGCTGCGTGACTGGAGTTAATGGGGAAACTGCGTTAACGCGAGTAAAACAAACTATTATCAGTTTAAACTAAAAGTTGGACTCGATATAGTGTTCCTTACAACTTATCAAAGATCCAGTGATCCATGGATATTGACATGCAGCCAGGAATCGTGTTTCCTGACATTTATATGTGCCTGATTTCGACGCCGGGGAAATAAATTAAGAAAATTTGCCTGTAAACGTTTTATATAAATACAATATAGATAGGTCTAAATCCAAGTGATCACTTACATTAATGTTATACTGTATATCATCATATCGTCCAGCCCTAAAACTTGTATAGTTTTTTGTCAGTGTTTATTTAAAAACATCCAATTATGCAGAATATAGTCTGTTCTGTAGCTTTTTGCAGTCTGTAAAAATATACAGTACCTCAGATTTCTGGTCAAATCTAGTTGTACAGTCAATCGCAAAGCTCTTTCCCGTTTTAGATGTGTTTTGTGTGATTTTCACGGCGTTCACGCTGAAAACAAATGCTGCCCCACAGTCTTTTTGCCACTTGTGGGCGTGACCGCATTCACTCCGGCCGACGCTGACGTCATGCGCATACCCTCTATTGAAGCAACTGCCATGTGATTGGTTGATTAGATAATTGCATTAATGAGAAATTGAACAGGTGTTCCTAATAATCCTTTAGGTGAGTGTATGTATTACACAGTAACAGGGACAAATTAAAATAAAGTGTAATAGTAATAATTTGCACACAAGGTATCTAATGACATTTTTACTAGTTATAATTCAGGGTGACTATAGCCATGATGAAATTGTTTTACCAAAAATATATATCCGAATGCAATCAAACAAGAGTTTAACTAGTTGCTTGTGACTGTCTAAAACTAACATAAGATATCTGGAATGCATATCGGACTGGTGATAATTTACTTATCTGCAATGCAATTTTGACAAGTCATAATTCCAGGTGAAAATGTCCATAGTGCCATTTTGACCAGTTCATCAATAAAAAATCCTAACAAAATAAAAAAAATAACAACCTAGGAAATATTTTAATAATTAAACTGAAAATCTGTAATAAATATTGCCAATTGCGGTATATGGCAATTGGCAACATATCCAGAGTACACCACAGTCATGGTGCAACACTATTTTCTACTAGTACGAGTTTTAACTAGTAAAATGTGCTCAAGAATAGTCATAGCTACATTACAGATGTCCTAAATACTAACTGAAACATTTTACTAACAAAACTGACTTGTAAAAAGGCAATAAATGCAAAAAAGTACTTGCCATAGTAGGTGCTCTCATGTCGGGTCGAGGTCTATATTCATGGTCATGTGACTGACATTAGATTTCAGATAATGTTAATCTGAGACCTGCCAAATTAAACATACTTCTGATGCAGCTAACAATACTGTGAACAATGGTTCTTTTTGCATGATAACTCTATAATAAATCCCCCTATACTCTAAATCCGAGAGATCCCAAACCTTATTAATTTGTTAGCTTAAAAACAAACAAACACTGAAGGATGACAGTTCAATTATGAGAACTGATTATGAGCAATATTTCAATGTGACTGTTTGTAGGGTTTTCTAGATATAAAACATAAATTGGTAAAAAAAATCAAATCAATTTTAAAAATAAATAAGAAGGGGAAAAATTATTTATACGATAATATTTACACATACAGCAAAGGGAGTTGCTAAGATCCCATTCAGCCCAGGTCATCTGTCTCTGGTGGTCTTATCATCAGTGGACAGGCCACGAGAGAGCAAACAACTAGGATATACTATACTCTCAACAGAATGAGAAAGCAATCAAACTAATAACAGAAGTCTGGTTTGATAAGAAATATAATTTTTCATTAACATTTCAGAAAGATACTCACTCAAGATGAAAGAAACAAGACCAATATTCTGACAGAAAAATGCAGTTATTTAGTTTCCAACAGAAAGAAATAAAACACTTTTTTTAGCAAGACATGACAAGAATTAATAACGGAGCATAATGTGTCTGATTCATTTTTTTGTGCAGAATCCAAATAATCAGTTCACACAAAAACAATTCACAAAACAAACTATTAAAAAAGGAGTCAAACTAAAACTGACAGCTAACAAGTAAGTTCACAATTCTTCCTTAGTTATTTAGTAGAATAGTTACATCTTTCAAAATGAGTTCATAAATGTCCTGTGAAGTCAATGAGGATTTCAAAAGAGTCTTTCCATGGCAATCATCTGCTAAAGCATGGCAAGCAAAACTGAAATAAGTTCCATAATTTCACAAGAGAATATACAGAAATCTGTATGTTCATTCAGTCAAAACCGACCCTTCACCTGAGAAACTTCCCATGGTTTACTGGTGTCAGCAGAGTTGCTTTGATTTGCAGTTTGTTATTTGTTTCATGTATATATTGCTGAAGTGTGCCCTCATTAATGAGGCATGGTGGTGATCCTCATACTCTGACTGGCGATGGGGTACGTCACCATCGGTGTGGTCGCGTGGCTCATCGTGATGCCCGGCAAAGGTTGTGCCATGGACACGGCCACCGGCGCCACCGAAACAGCAACAGGGGCCATTGAAACAGGAGGGGCCAATCCCTGGGCGATAGTCTGAGCGAGGGCGGCAGAGATGGGGTCGGGGTTCAGATGTGGAGGGGGTGCGGAGGGGGGCGCAGCATTAGAAGGAGGGGCGGTCGGTGCACCGGTCGAGGCCACCAGATCTTGTTGAGTGACGGGACGGGGCTGCAGACCAGCACTGCTCAGAGTGGTGTGTGTCTGGGCAATGCCATGGTTGTAGGAACTCACAGAACCAACAGGGGGCGCCAGACTCTGTTCAGACGGAGCAGGGGTGGAGGACAGCGTCATTACTTTAGCCTGGCTTCGAAACTGAGCGTTCTGCTCCAGAAGCACCTCGTTGGTGGCTATCAGGTTGGATACCTTGAAAACAAATAAAGGAAAGGAAGGAATTTTGAGACATTTGGGATGTGGTTACAGTTGTTTTACATTTTTAAAATAACTGATTCTGTCACCGATCTTAAAGGTAGGGTAGGCAATTACGGACAGGCTAGCAATATCAAGCTAGCTTTGAAAACATGAGATCCCACCCTCCCCTTCAGAGCGTCTCCAAAGCCACGTCTTCTTCGAAACACTTGAACGTGCACAGCAGAGTCTGCAAAGCGTCACGAGATGAGAGACTGTGTTAAACTACCTCATGTCTCAAAGCACATAACATTAAAATAATAATGAACATAAATAACACTGACTTTTATCACCTGACTGCTGCAGTTTATTTCGGCATTAATAGTGTTGACACAGAAACACATAAATGCGAGTCTGAGAACATGAACAGTAGAACGTCTCAGGTTGCCATCTCGTAATTACGGTCACAACATGGAGTGAGCGCAGCATAAACTGGTTGCTTTGGTTCAGGAGGAACTGTAAAAGCTGCTGTTTGTTTGCAGCGCTCTGTGACTGTGTGTCTTCAACTCTGCAGAGCCTCATTGAACGCGCTGATGACATGTCTGTGCAAGCAGGTGTGCGGAGGAATGGAAATACATATGTTGACAGGCAGGACATCCTATCATTGCATTCGGACCGAATGTAATGATTGGATGAATATTCTTTGGTCCTGAGACGAAGTGTTTATACAAAAAATTGCCTACACTACCTTTAACATAAAAAGCACAATTTAGAGATGAAATATCATTCAAAATTAGTTTTATTTGTCATCCATGGAAAAGATAATCTATTGCAGAATTAAAAAGTAACTAAGAAAGTCGAACATGGGTCTGTCAAGCTCAAAAAATGACCAAAGAATTAGGGGTGTATGATATAGCTGTTCCATATCGGTTATCAGTTGATATTAGAGATTTTTAAGCATACTGGTGTCGGCCAATATTAACATTATTAATATTTAACAATGCCATTCTTACATTTAGATTACGTTTATTACCCTCTAACACTCACTTAAAGTTAATCTTTAAAAAACTGTAATCTTTAGTAAATGAGTTAATTAATCCATTTAATAAAATAGTTTAAATGCAGTATTAATTTTTCATACTGCACATTATAATGTTGTGTTGACTAATTTCAATCATTGCATTTAAAATTAGTTTTACATTAGTTTTATATTATTTTTAAATTATTTAGACAAAAGAGTACAGCATTTTAATATTGGTGCATCCCTACTAAAAATCACTTACTGTTAAAAAACTAAAACTATTAAAAAATACTTTTTGTTAATTAAAATTAAGCTGAAATAAAATAAGGGGGTGTTAGATGAAATTAGACAAAAAACTTTAAAAACTTAAAAATTGGAAATATTGCCGTGGCAACTAATTGAAAAAATTTGTTGAAGTACTAACATTACTATAACTGAAATATAAATACATTAAAACAAAATATAAATATAAAAAACTAATAAAATTAACAAATGCCAATAACAAAATTACTAAAACTTAAATTAAAATGAAAACTGAAAAAAATCTTTTTCAAAGTATGAATAAATACTATAATAGTATACAAATAATACTAAAACACGGCAAAAAAGCACAATAAAAAGTCCATACGACTTTTGCGCTACACCTTGCAATACATTTGTGTAAGGAACAGACTAAACTTTTAACTTGAACTTTTTTAACTTTTGCTAAAAGTCTTCTGTAGTAGTTTTCAAAACGTATTATTTGATGTCATGATGTGAAACATCACTGGTTCTTGTGTTGTCTGGTCTTTCACTACAAACCTGGCACAATAAATCGCAGTATTTTAACAGAATGAGATTAGAGAACTAGACAGAGAGGAAGATTTCCAGCGACTAGTACAGTACACAGTTTGCATGGACTATATATCCATAGGACTTTGGTGTCGTTATTCCAGACACTCTGCAGTGTATCTTCCTTTGTATTCCACTGAAGAAAGGAAGAGTACATTCCCTACCTGTTTCTTAAGCTCCTCCACTCTTTTCCTCAGTAGGGCGTTCTCCTCTTCTAGTAAGCGATACTCTATCGGTCGGATTGGCAGGGTGGTCTGAACCCCCAGGTCGTAATGTCCACTGCTGGTCCCATCGGTCAACCGCAGCCCATCCAAACGCCGTCTCTTCAGCTGGAAGGCCGTGTGGTCAACGGGGGCCTCCACCGGCCCGGCTTCAAACATGCCATTTTCAAACAGGGGGTCGTAGACGGAGCAGGGGCCCCTGTCGTAGCGCCGATGACCCACTGTCCCCATCGACATACAGCTGCTCATCGAGCCCCCACCTCCACCTCCAACCGACAGGCCCTGGTCTCTGCATACGCCCATGCTGGGACATCCCATTCCCATGTAGTTTCCCACGCCGCCGCCAACCAGGCCAGACATCCCACCGCAGGCCCCACCGACACCAACCGCACCCCCCCCACCAGCGTTCACCATCCCGCTCACGCCACCGGTGACACTCATCATGCATCCCACACCGACCCTGGGCGAGGCCTCGTATTCGTAGTCCTTCCTGACATGTCGGAACTTGCACTTGTTGCCCCGCTGGCACTCTTCTTTCAGGTAGTCCCTGCAAATGGGCACCTCTCCGCGGCTCAACGGGAGGTCGGTCGGAGACAATCCCAATCCGGCTGCCACCTTCCCCCTGAGCCGAAGTGGAAGCTCTCCGGTTTTCTTATAATAGTCCTCGTCTTCCTTCGAGCCGTGCACGAATCGGCAGTTGGTGCGCACGCACTCTTTGTTCTGATGGTCATGGCAGAAGATGAACTCATTCTTCTGCACACCCAAGTCGGGAACCTCATTGAAGTCTGGATGGCGGAAGCGGCAGCGTTTGCCACGCTTGCACACGTTGCGCAAAAAGTCCCGGCAAACGCCATCCAGTCCCAAACCACCACTGGCTCCGCTGCAGCTGTTGCCGTTTCCTAATGCCCCGCCGCCTCCCATGGCCCCAGGACCCCCGTTACCCCCTGTGCAGCCCGCTGATCCGCCCACCACCGTCACTCTGCCCTCTCCTACACCTCCACCCAAACCTGTCCCGGCTCCTCCCTCGTCCCCAGTGCCCACACCGCTCCCGCTGCCACCCCCGCCGCCACCTGCCAGGTAGGTGCTATCCCGGTCAGGCATGGCGCTCGGCCCAGCGGGAATAGAACGCTGCGCTCATGTGGGTGCCAGAGAGATGAAGGTCATACAAGGGTTCAGAGTTATAGTGCAAGAAAGACAAGAGCTCAGACCGTAGGCAAATGCAGATCACAGCTCCACCTGGGCACCTGGAAATATCATACAGATACAATTAAATATTATTCCAGAATTAACATTATATAATTGAATTTATTCACAATGAATAAACCATTTTTACTTTGATTTTTTTGTGTGAATTTTGAGTAAAAATAAATGTTTGCATTTGGCCATACTTTTCTCTAAATCAGGGGTTCTCGGATGTCGGTTTATGGTCACATGAGATGCAGGTAAAGAAATTCAATATTTTGTCTTTTTAAGCGTTTTATTTTAATTGTTTTTATTTGATTTTTTTTTTATTTGATTTTTTTATGGCTGAATACATTTTTAGCTTTTCACCACGAACCCCAACTCTAGATAAATCGGCATTGGTCATTACAGAAGAAATATATCGGTTGACAATCACTAACAACAAATTTCAGATGCATCATTATGGTGTTTACGAGGCAGTAGTGCATTGCTATTCTTCAAGCATTTTATGTCCATTCAAATTTCTGCTGTTAAATCAGCCTGAATTACATTACATATGGATTGCCACTTTATTGTGTAGACCTCAGCTTTAGGCATGCCATACATACTGGCTTTTGAAACTTTATAGATTTCGACATTAAAGCCATACAGCACCAAAGATAAAGCTTTAATGCTATTATTTTATATATTAAAATTATTGTAATTATACATATTAATGAATTCCCTGCCAGCATTAACAATTCCTCTTGGAAATGCAAATATTGATACAAAATATAATAGATTTATTTAATAACACCATGCTTTGCATTTATATATATATATATATATATATATATATATATATAAAATTATTCATAATTTTAAATAATAAAAATAAACGATTGGTTTTCCCCATAATATCTAGTCTCTATACAACAATTGCAACCATTTGTTTACTAGTGCTGTCATGTCAAATCTTGTGGGGCGCCAAATACTCTGCTCGATGTGTATGTCATGTAGAGTTACATAAGTAGCCAGATATAGTTGACTGCTTCTTTTCCACATTATTTTAAATAAACATGCAATATTTTATATTTAATCCACAGCACGTATAGTAAAACATGCTCTCTGGCACAAAGGCCTGGACAACGCGCATGGACAGAGCGCAACGATAATAACCTAAAACCATTATTACTAGTAAACTCACCCAACTGCAACCAGTCGTATCAGCGAGATTAAAGAAACGGTATCTGTATATTACTAATTACACGCATGATGCATGTACTGGCTGTGAGAAAGATTACATTAGAACACAAGTTGGTCTGTGAACAACAACTTCCGCTTTTCATGTTCGAAGCACTTCCTGTGCGGTAGAACACTGGGAAAATGCACTTCAGATTAAAAGGCTTCAAACCACAAAAGATACTATGGAGATACCATGGTACAGTGGTGATGCTGGAATCAATATGGTGCTGCAATGTATTTCTAAAAATACCGTGGTATTACCATTATGCATGTCCAAACATCATGGTTACATGGGTAAAAGAAAAAAAAAAAAATCATGGGACTTTTTGTATGCACCTAGTAGTATTATTCCACTAACCACATTTATAGACAAGTACAGTTAAAATGCAACAAGGTGCAATATTTCTTAGGAAACAAAGAGCAATGTCTGACAAAACACATGCAGCAAATGTGAATTCTTATTTCTGCTAAATGTGAAAAGTATAAACAAATTTCATGTTTAAGTGCCATTAAACAGTTTTTTTTATGTTCTTAAAAGTAAATGTTAAGAAAACATTAAATTACAACAGTCACCACCCAAACAGCCATCAGTATGTTATAAAATCTGTTGCTTGCAGAAAAATATCAAGAAAAAACTATTCTAGACATAATTATGACAGCATTAACCACCAAGTTGGGGCTAAATTCAGAGTTTAGATTTGGGCTTTTAACCCATATCTTTATGACATAAATAATAGGTAAACATCTGACCTTGTCAATGAGATTAAGACTCTTTAACTCAAATGACATTTTCATTTCGAAATATAACATAGGAGAGACATGTTGACAAGATGCGTTGCAATAAGTCACTACAGCGTGATGGTTGTCAACAGTTTATTTGTATCTTAATGAGAACATCAGACATCAATGTTCATATCCAATAATCTTATAAAGATTCAGTTGCAGAGCAGGAATGCAGGGGCACATCACCTGTAAAGAAAGAAGAAAAGTATAAGTCAAAGTGTTTTTTACATTGAAGGCAAGACACCACAGGTAAATAGGGTAAAAATATCGACTAATCACAGTGCGTTACTGTGTTGTATTACAAGTTTTCTGAAATGCAATATGCACTAATCTGCATAAATTTCCAGTTTCATTTTGTTGACATTAAAAGTTTTTACAGAGCAGATTTTGGATCTCTCAACAGCCTGAAAAACAAGTGCTTTTGGAAATGTTATATAAACCAGACGAATGATATATGAACAAAATCGTCTGTAAAAACCTTCAGAATATAGATAGGAATAAAAGGTGTACAGTATGGAGTATGTAAAGCCGCAGGAGGAAGAAACATTTACACACAATATACGTATTGTAATTGTAACCTAAAGACACAAATGGATATTAAGACACTTAAATATATATTTTGGATGTTTTCTATTCATTAGTCTGAAAAAAATAATAATAATGTTACGGAAGCAAAATAGCAAAAGTTTCAAACTCTCAAAATTGACCAGTGTATGGAAGTAAAATAATGACTAATGTCTTTGAAAATAAATAAATAAAATCGAATAATAATAAAAAAATACATTGCATTAACAGTGCTTTCATTTTAAAGCTTTGTATTTTCAGGGATTGCATTTTGGGGGGCTGAAATTAAACATGGTTGCATATTTTAGATGTGAATATTTCAAGTGAAAACATTTCATACATAATTTCATTATTAAAAATGCAATAATCCATATTCACCACATCAGCTTCGGGGTAGATAACATTGTATCTCCTTTGCAGTGGAGAAAGCTGCTTACAGTTACACAGAAAAGAAAAATGAAGTAACCACATAGTAACCACGTAAACACAGTTTCCGTGTCTTTATCAGGGATAGTACCCTATATATGCAGAAAATCTGATTATCATAACATATACTTACCGCTTGTTTGAACAAATTAATGAACGACTCTCTACCTGTTGCTTTGCTGTTCGTCATCACCCGGATGCACCAACTGCATGCATCAGTACTCTACTGTTATTCCTGCAGTTCCCGCATGTGCAATGTTAAATACTTTGCTAAATTGAACAACTGAATTTATTTAACTAAATTGGTAAAGCAAAATAAATAAACAGACTGGATATTTTGGAAATGAAGTCTGTAAGTTGAATATGGATCATCACATTTTTAATAATGAAATTGTGTAAGAAATGTTTCCATTTAAAATATTTACAGCTTAAATATACACTATTTTTCAATTAGTGCAATTCAATGTGGTTATTTGTTTCAAAGAAAGTCATTATTTTACTTCCAAACCAGAGCATAAAAATGGTATTAATGACATTTAAAAAAAAAAATACAATCAAGGACAAAACTCAGGGCTGTTTAATATTATAATTATTGAAATGGCAGTGCATAGAGTGCAAAATTATGCTTGCAAACAAATCACATGTATATGCACTTGAAAGGCCACTCACATCACATTGCTTTATTCTCCAGAAGGCCTGACACTTTGAAAAACACCAGCTTCTTTCATGGCGTTAAACTCCTTCATGGCATCATACTCTTTGTAGAAGTCAGCATATGCCTGTTTCCTGGGCTCTGTTACTGTGTACTGCAGAAAGGCATAAAACGTACTCAGATTAATAAAAAAAACTGTCCATGGTCCTTGTAAAACAAGCTTCCAACATTATTTAACTCACTTGACTCAAAGGTAAAAGAATGAAAGATAGGGATGAAACCAAATGTCCAAGAATAGAAATTAAAAAAAGAAAAAAATCAAAACCCACATTGATCGAAAACTAATCTTTATGACTAAGGAAGTTACATCATGACAAAGGGTGCTTTAAAAATAATAATAATAATTTAAAGAAGCATTTCTACCTACATATAGATTAAGTACCAATCACAATTTTGAACAAAACTGAAGGCCACAAAGGATATAATCATACAAAACACAATACAACTGACCTTGAAAGCGGCTGCTGCAGCGATGGAAAGAGCAAACGCGATGGGCAAATGAAACCTCAAACGCTTGGCCAGGAGGCCTCTCATCGCTGGCTTTGCAAGTGACATTGTTGGCTTCTGGAAAGAGAAGACAATAAGAGGAATGTCATACACTGATAGTCAATTGACAACCTTGCACTTCCAATAACAGGATAGATCACCCTTTAGTAACGTATCGCTACGTGCTATTCTGATCATCACAAATGGATGTCTTGCTGACTTTCAAGACAGACACAGAATAAGTCACGATAACATTTAACTTTTGCTTATGGGATAGAGACTGAGAAGATAACAATATGTAATAATAACCAGATATACTAGTTTGCATGTTTTATATACAAATGTACTGGTCAGCTCAGGTCAAGGTATTAGCGGTTTAGCTAATAAGCAATTTGCATATTATTTCTCTAGACGTGATAAAACGCATGCAAACGCACTGTCAAGCAATTAACCTTTGTTTTATTTTTAAAATGACACTTGTGATTCATATCATAGTGCCTTCTGAGATTCAGGACTAACAGTTACCGGTCTTGCTAAGACTAGCAAGCAATGACGACCACCGTCAAGATACTCTAAAACGAGACGCGTTTAGCTAAATTAAATAAATAAAAAACCGAATATTTAGTGTTATTAAAAACATAACATGGTGATATTATATTTTATACATAATTCACCATAGAAGTTTTGTTGTAAACGTATAACAAGCTCGATATTTACCGTTTAATTCGCGACCTTCAGCACGCACGTCCGGTGACTCAGACAGGAAGGTGTTTATGGGGGAACTACGGAAACAGGCGAAGGACAAACACATTGTAGCGACCGTATGTATCAGACTGTAATTCTTTTTAACTAGAATTAAAATGAAAATGGAAAATATAAAAATAAAACAGATTTAAAATATTTTATATAATTGGGTTTCAGTGAATAATAATATACCATTGTCTTTTTTATCATAATCTTGTACTTTTATTACTTTTACTCACTTTATTAGAGATTGCCCTTTCAGGTCGTATAATTAAAGTCCCCATGAAATCAGAATTGAAGTTTTTTTGGATTTTAGTATTTACACAGTCTTACTGTTATCCATAAGCTAGTGTGTTCCAAAACAATGACAAAATTTGCATTTAGAAGATATAAGCATTCAAAAATTAGTCTCCCACTTCTGCCAATATGGATCAATAATTTGGTTACGTCACTCTGCACTTCAGCTTCTCATCAGATTTTCTGTCCACTCAAATGCTCTCTAGAATCAAAAGCGTCCCGCCCCCTACATTATACATAGCTGCGGCTGAAATCGTTCACTTGATCACACATTTACTTCTTTCCATATGGTGAATGGCACATAGTGCACTATATAGGGGATAGGGAACGATTCAGACAGTGGAAATATGCTTTCCATTGGGGCGAATGAAGTCTGGTTTCATGTTAGTGTCACGCGAATCGCCACAGCTCCGGTCCAGAGACACGACAGCACAGAGCGGATCATATGACCGAGTCGACACAGACCACAAAACGTATCAGACCCATTTGAATTCTGCACAGAATGCTGTATTTTATAGCGATGGATGAGATTAGAAGGAGAAACGGTTAGAGATTAGGAGGAAACTGCAGCTTTACCGAGCTCAACGGCTCTGGACGAGCTGTGATAAAGGGGAGGAGCTGCTCGATATGAATGAATGAATGAAATCTTTATTTCGAACAATTAATAAAAATAATAATAAAATAAATAAATAAAGACAGCAATACGTATGAAGTATCCATACAAATAATTAAACACAAAAACAATTAAAAATATATATATATATATATATATATATTTTTAGCATAATAATCAACCTGTTCGAAAAGGGATAGGTAGAAGCCCTAGGCTTATCAAGACCTACCCCCAGTAACTACCCAAACCAATTCACAATCAGACAAGATAAATCTAACATAACGTTTTAAATAATAAAAAATAAAAAAAATACCTGCTAAATTAAAGTAATACTTTATCTTAATATTAAGATAATGAAAAAATAAAATAAAAGCATAAAAAAAAAACATGATCAAACTGCATTTCCAACCATAATGAAATATCATTCACCCTCTTCACTTCTGTACTTATCAAAAATAAAACTTGTCCCGCCCTGTCTTCCTGTTTCATTGGAAATTACGTCAACAACACATTGAATAATGCAGCGCGTTTCAAGGCACTTCAGTGGGCCTTTAAAAAGAAGAAGGAAATCTTTAAAGGAAGCAATACGTTTTAAAATAAATGAATGTTTAAGGTTTAAGGAACACCTGGCAACCAACGGCAGGGTGGTTTTATATAGAGGGAAGCTTGGACTTGGTGAGTGTTGCCAAGTCCGTATAATTAAAAGCACATTTTCGCATGTTTTTGTCGGGCTAGGATACGTGCTTTTTTCGACGGATCTGGCAACACTGGATTGGGTTACAATCAACCACCCTGATCTTCAAATAGCAGCACCGGAGCTCGACAGCCGCTTCTTCAGCCCTGAAAACTGAAACTGAAATTCAACACCATCCATTTCTTTAGAGACTCAGCCGGTAAAACGTGGTGTTTGCGCGTGCGGAAGAAGAAGAAGAAGAAGAAGCAGCAGCAGCAGCAGCAGACGCGGATGTTCTAGTGAGTTCTAGAACAAGGACAGACTAACTGTTAGTTGTCTCATCACTAGCTGGTTGTTAAACACAATAACTTGTAACTTTAAACAGGCGGAGTTGATCGATCACCAAAGCCCTTCCGCCTTCCTTTTCCAACATCAGACGGTGATTCTACCGCGGTAACTTTGGTAAGTTTATACTGTAACACATTTACTGACAGTGTAATATTGATTTTTTTCATAATGTTACCTTCCTAACTAAGTTAACAGCAGTTAAGGATCTCACAACTAACTGGTCGTTACAGTGTCATCATGCCTCAGAAGCGGCGCTCGCAGTCGTGGATGGAACTCAAACAAGCCGGTAACCAGTGTTTCAGAGCGGGTCAGTATGGAGAAGCTGTGACCGTCTACAGCCAATCCATCCAGCAGCTGGAGAAGTCTGGTGAGAGAAGTCAAATATCACCATGGTCACCACCAACGTTACAGTATTACCACTTATATAACTTGTTTTGTACATGTACCATGTTAGCACCATTGTATTCTTGCTCTAGCACAGAATGTTCCATTGTATTCTTGTACCTTGCATTAGCATGTAAATACCATTTTCAATGAATTTCAGTACTGAGATTTTCAAAATGGGGTCCGAGACTAGGGGGTCTGTGGAAAAAAAATGACAAAAAAAAAAGATTAAATTAATTTAATACTGCATCTAACCGTACTAGTGAGTAGAAAATAAAAGCATGATAATAACACAATATTATGTAATAGACACCAAATATTTTCCAAATAATATTTTACACAAATTTATAATATTCATTTTCACAGTATAAATTGGGTCGATACAAATTCCAATACAAATATATTACTGCCTTTTTTGTCAAATACATTTTATTGAATCATTGGATTAAATTGAAATAATTACAGATTCCAGATATTCTTGTATGCGTAAAATGAGTAAACAAACGAGTTTAAAGAAAACAACTTTAACCAACTTCCCCTCCCCAGCCTGTTAATACATGATACGATCACATTAATACAACACTTCAGTAATTATACAATGCATTAAGGAATATAATTCCTACGAAGGTAGCAGACGAAAGGTATCCTAGTATAATGAGCACTGGGTCTCGTTCCATATTTCAAATTAAGGACATCTAAAAGCACCGTAAAAAACTCACACCAGAATCCCTGTATTTTAGGCCAGGAAATAAAACCATGAGCTAAATCAGCATCCTCTGATTTGCATTTATCACAAAGAGGTGAGACATTGGGGGAAAATTCGACATCATTTATTTTGCGAGAAGTGTATTCTATGTGTTACCTTTAACTGAATGAGGCTTAATCTAGTATAATCTGACAGATTGTTTATCAATATCCTCCAAAACCACTATGCCATATCTCCTCAGTGATTCCAATTCACATCTCTCACTCTTATTCCTCTCTGATCAAGTCTGTAGAGGGGGAAGTAGCGGCTTGTAATCTTCCATTAATTAAAGATAACTGATTTGTGTTTCCCCTAAACTGTGTGAAACAATAATCAATGATTGAGAGCGGGACCTCGTCTAACGAAACATTGTGTGTGCGTAAATAATTCCTTATTTGTAAGATTCTGAAAAAATATTGCTGCCTTTTAAATTTGAGGAAGATAATATCTGGAGCATCTAAAAAATTACCCCCCCCCCCCCCCCCCATCTGACAAAACATGATGGAATTGATAGTAATGGTACTATCATATGCTAATGTACTTCTAAGAATACAATAGAGATTCATTCATGTTTTTAAGTTAGTAACAATAGGGTTACCATAGCAAGCAAGAAGGTATGAAAGTTGCAGAGCAACTATTTTTAAAAAGATTGCTCAGACTGTTGTCGAAATAAAAGAGCATTTGGTACTAAGGTAAATAAAGCAACCGTTCTGTTCACAGGTCAGAAGGAAAACGAAGATCTGGCCATTTTGTACTCCAACAGGGCCGCCAGTTACCTGAAAGACGGAAACTGCAAGGAATGCATTAAAGACTGCACAGAGTAAGGAGGAGAAGACAAAAATGGTTAAAATGATGATGCTCAGTGTTAATAGTCTTTATATTTACCTTTCAGGTCTCTTAAATTGGTTCCTTTTGGATATAAAGCTCTGCTTCGCCGGGCATCATCTTACGAGGCCTTGGAGAGATACAGACATGCTTATGTGGACTACAAAACTGTTTTACAGATAGACTGGAACATACCAGCTGCTCACGATGGCGTCAACAGGTAATTCCACATGATCCAGAATTATTAGGCAATTAAAGGGATAGTTCACCCATAAATGAAACATTTTTCATCACTTACTCACCCACAAGTTGTTCCAAACCTGTATGAGTTTCTTCCGTTGAACACATAAGAAGATATTTTAAAGAATGTTGGTAATCAAACAGCTGACGATAGCAATTGACTTCCATAGTAGAAAAAAAAATTACTATGGATGTCAATGGCTATCGTCAACTATTTGATTACCAACATTCTTTAAAATATCTTCTTATGTGTTCAACAGAAGAAAGAAGCTCATACAGGTTTGGAACAACATGAGGGCGAGTAAACAATAATTTATGAGAATAAGAATGCAAAAATGTACCATTTAACACATTGCTCCTTCCCTTCAGAATGACCAAGGCTTTGGCGAATATAGACGGACCAGCTTGGCGAGAGAAACTGCCACCGATTCCCAGCGTTCCAATGTCTGTGAAAGAAAGCCGAGCGCAAGCCGCCGGTTCGGCCTCGAGTTTACAACAGAACAGCATGGTTGACAACACGAAAAAAGGTTTGTGCTGTGCTATAATGATCAGACCCATCATACTTTGCTTCAGCATTTAATTTTCAATTGTTTGATTTTAAGCACCAGGACCTGCGGCTGTTAAAAAGGCCAAAGCTCTTAAGGAACAAGGCAATGCATTTGTGTGGAAGGGCGATCACAAGGCAGGTATGGAGAAGTACACAGAGTCGCTCGGTCAGGACCCCACAGAAGTCACAACCTACACAAACAGGTATGAAACGCAACAAACACAGCCCAAGTAATTATGCTGCCAAACATCAGGGTTCACATGGTGATTTGAATGTCTAGGCCTGGAACGTGGTTTGATAATGTGTTTAAATTAATATTGCTTGTAGGGCTCTTTGCTACCTGTCATTAAAGATGTACAAAGAAGCTGTAAGTGACTGTGATGAGGCTCTTCTAATGGATTCTGCCAACATTAAGGCATTTTACCGACGTGCCCAGGCATACAAGGAACTTAAAGTAAGTTCAAATATGACTTGAAAAAAAATATTATGATCTTCGATTGGTGGATTGTTTTATAAATTGTAATGCATTGATTTTTTTCCTCCTAGAACAAGGAGTCTTGTATTAAAGATCTCAACAGTGTGCTCAAAATCGATCCAAACAACATAGCAGCACAGAAACTCCTACAGGAAGCACAGAATATGAAATAACTGTGATTGTAAAGTGGACATGAGGAAACTTTCCCCAAGTGCCTCAAGTTGATTTGCTGCTCAAAGCTGCAACGTTTGCTACAGATTTCTGCTCATCCTTCAGATATGCACGTCATGATGTTATTTAAAAAAAATAGGAAATAGTTTGTGTTCATGTTCATATAGGGACATTTGACTGGGTGTATCTACTGTCATTAATATAGCAGTCAGGTTTCCTTATGAAACTCCAATCTGTTTTTTTTTTTTTGGTCACTTGTTGTGATTGTTAAATTAGTCCATTTAATCAATCACTAATCAAATCTGATGTTGATTTGGCATGCGATTTTAATGTCTTTTTCATTGCACATTGAACTGAATGGCAATTTTTCAAACAAAATTACTTTTTAAACTATTTCCACTTAATACACTCAGTTTTAGGGCTGCATTTTCTACTAAATGTGTTGATGTTTTTCGCTTACCTTTAGTCTTTTACAGAGAAAGTACTCCGACGTTGTATTGAGGGTTATTTACTGTCAAAACCACTTATGTTTATATACATTTGTAAAGACTTGACACCTGTATTTATTGATGTTTCGTATGCCATTTTGCATAAAAACAATGTAAACGGGTCTTTAATTTAAAGAAAGTAATGCATCTGATAATAAAGGACAATGTTCAGTAATATGGTATTTTCTTATCCAGTAAATTGTCAGATGTAATGCTAGGGTCAGTGGTTACTTTTTTGTAGAAATTAGCAATACTAAAAAGACAAAACAGTAAATGCTATGCATGTACACATGTAGTATAACTAATTAAAAGCAATTCAAATACATTACAAACTGTCGATTACCAGACAAAATAATTTTTTCCAGTTTAAAAAAACAAGCATAAATGTGCCTTAAATTCAAGATAACTTTGCAAACAAGTCATTTGAACACTGGTTTTCATAGACCTCAACTGCAAGTGTCACTGCAAATGGTATTTGTTTGTGCGATCACAAACGGAAGCACAAGTCAATCCTTTTCTGTTGTAATCAACAGCTTGCTTAAATTTTTCTTAAATGCTTTAAATATTTTTGAAAATAAAAAGCCTTTTACATCTTTACAGAAAGCAGTGATAAGCCCTTGAAAATATGCTGATTGTTTTTTTTTTTTAAATTAATGTACACCACTGCGGGAAAAAATTACAGCGCAATTTGGAACTGATAAAACTTTTATTTCACTTTAAATTGTCTTTTACACTTTCCTGATTATAACATGTAAGGTGAAACTAGAACTGTTTTAAAAGACATACACAAATCTAGTATTACGTCAATAACCAGGTTGTATTTTTTTTCTTCATTTTGTAATTTTTTTCCCTTAAGCTAGTCTAAATTTTCACAACCACGTGCGCGCTAAGCAATGAAACCGTCACAGAAGCTAACTTTAGGCAGAATACTGGTCAGTAAAAACAAAGCAATTGGAGATACCAGATATACAGACAGGCTCGGCTCCACATTCACTACTGTATTTTTCTTTTTTGTAATCAAGCGTAGAATAACTGCCATTTGTTCAGCTAAGGGGAGAGAAAAAGAGATTTTGTCTTCAGTGCATGAACATTGTCTTCAGCTCGAGACAGATGAGTTCTACACCTACGTGGAATGTCATGGTGATGTGACACTGTGTATTGTGACACTGAATGAGTGGCTACCTCCCTAGTAATGATCAGGGTCCTTCAACTATTTGCCAAATCTGATCTCGTCTTGTGTTTCACTGACTTTGGGCCAAGACTTCAAAGCCTCCACTGGTCTGCGGCACTTTCCTGCACAAAATTCAAGTTAAATCCAGAATTTCTCAGTTTGAACTGCTAAGGTCTTACAGAAACTCATCTCTTAAAAGGAAAGAGGAGTAGTAAAGCTCTAAGTCAGTCTAAGGCCCCAAAACTCCTCCTGAATTACACTGATATCATTTGAAGAAGGAAACATCAAATCAAGCATCACTGTTCGTAAAGAGGGTTGAAAAATAAAGGGTTTTTTGCATGCAAGTTGACAACATTTAGTTTTTAAGACAAATTTATATTTACCTCTATAATGTTTACAATTTTACATCTTTATTAAATGGCGGGGTGGTCAAAATTATGCAAAAGGGAGAAAAAAAAAAAACATACAGAACAAACCAGGAAAATTGTTTACTGATGTCAAACAGCACCTTTATGTTGACTGCCTTCTTGACAGCACATTATAGGAAACTCTCCAGTTTGTTCATAAAAGGTCTGTAATCGTTAAACGTCACATACTGATGGAATGTCTTTAACTTAAAACTGAACAGACATGGAATGGCAAACCTCCGGTCCCTTTTGTCGTCTTTAGCCATGTACGCAAAATAAAATTATGCACATGACAGCAATAATAGTAAAGCATGTTAGTCAGTGTCACAATACAGCCTGTTTTTATCCCTTCTGTATGAGATCGCAACAGAATTGTACTGCTACTCGTACTGAAACCGTTCCGATTTCCATTAAGCACAAGTTATCCAGGAGGAAAAACTAAACATCACAGTGTTTGTTAAATTAATGGACAGTTTAATAACCTTTTGAATAAAACCAGCAGCAATCGCCAGTACACTATTGGGAGAGAAAAGACAGAGAAGGGAAAATGGGTGGAGGACACTAATGCATTATAACCTGCTAGACCAGAGAACATATACCTTTTAAAAATGTTAGGAGGGATTTTAGGAAGGGGAAAAAAGATGGAAACCGTTTCCACTATTCAACCATTTTCCCTCATCTGGGGGGAAATACACGAACAGACATGTTTGAGACAAGTCAGCCTTGGAAAAAACCAAACGTTACCCTGCCGCTCAAGGCTTCAGGGGTACAAACTTGTAGGTCAGGTACAATTCATGCTGCTCGTCATACAGAAAGGTGGATAAAGGTGAGGTGGATTGGATGGAGCAGGGAATTATGGGCTGTATATGTGTAAGATAAAGAGTGTAGGTGGATTTAACAGTGAAGTGCAACGCCTTTAGTTCTCGCCCTCGCCAGCATCCCCCTCATCACCCTGGTTTTCTGATGTCCACAGCTGAAGAAAGAGAAAGAAAAAGTTCAAGGTTTCAAAATTCACTTTTTTACCAATGGCATAATATTAAATATTTCTTATTTATTCATATTAGTGGACTTTTGGACCCCTATTTTCCATGCATTACAAGCACATTTTGTTCCTAATATATTTTGGTTGCCTAATGCTAGATAAATTATATGCATGTTACACACCACATCGTATTCCAGATAAAAAAAAACCTTTATACTAGATAAAACATCCTACGCAAAATTATCGTTAGAAGTCGTGCGAGTCACAAAAGACGTTTAAATGTTACATTAGCACAGCTTAGACCATCATTCTTAATAATTAAGTAATCTATAGAGTCCATATTAATTTTGCATTGTTAATTTGAAGCGAGTGTTAATTTTGGGCCCTGTCTATACCTATAAAACTGGCCAAACTTACAGTGAGGTTGTCCCTTAGTAACTGCATGATCAGGGTGCTGTCTTTGTAAGAGTCCTCGTTCAAGGTGTCCAGCTCAGCAATCGCCTCATCAAAAGCCTAAGGTGAAGGTAAACATGAGGGTCAGGGTCAGTTGTCTTCCAGTACACTGGAAATGCACACTCGAGTATTCAGTATAAACTCATTTAGTTTCACGTTCCGAAACACTTTTTTAAGATACTCACAGAATGTTGCATAAATAAGATGAGATGAAAGAAGGAATATTACATTGCATGTACTCAAAACAAAGTCAAACAAGATAATTGTCTAACCGTCTTTGCCAAACTGCAGGCCTGCTCTGGGGTGTTGAGGATTTCATAGTAAAACACGGAGAAGTTCAGCGCTAGTCCCAGCCTGATGGGGTGTGTTGGCTGCATTTCCTTCTTGCTGATCTCAAATGCATCCTGGTAAGCCTTCTGAGAGTTGTCCACTGTGGCTGTAATTTGATAGAAAACATTAAATCAAATACATGACCACTAGCATCACAGTCTGGGTGTTCCAATGCCGTTTCTTTAGCTAGCATCTAATTATTCATTCTTAGGACTTGACTTTATACTGCAGCATTATCAGTTCCCATCTTTATACGTTACACTATCTTCACCCCTAATGACAGATGAATCACAATTTTGAATTTTAGGCAACATCCTTTTTGCTTTAAGACTAAAATGAGCTCACTTTTCTTTGATTCTCCGGCTGCCACCTCGGACAGGTATCTGTAGTAGTCTCCTTTCATTTTCAGGTAGAAGACTTTGCTCTCTGCCTGGCTAGCGTTGGGAATGAGGTACTTCTCCAGGAGACCCTGAGAGAACAAAGGCCGACATCAAGCTATGAACATTAAAATTACATTAATAAAAAGAAAATCATTAGCCATCAGAAAGAGGAAAATCAACATTCTTAAAGGTAAAGTCAAGTGTACATTTTTGGATCCATCCAAATTGAGGTTTCATATTACAAATACAACTGATTCCTTTTGCTCTGATGATAAACGCCGTGACGTGCCTTGCTGCCTACGTAGGCAGCATTTTAACTGAAAACAAACATATTAAGTGGTTGATTTGAAACATTTGAAATACTGCATTCATTTAAAGCTTTGCACATGAAACAATGACTTGACAACAGTTCTGACACAACAAAGGCAGTAAGAGATACGAGACAGTATTCTAAAAAGCTAAATATACATTGCACACAAATTGTGGCTAAAAAGAGCCATTCTTTAAAAGCATCCATTGCTATAATGCCTTAAAACGCTGCAGCTCACCAAGTATTGAAACGCACCACAACTAATATTACAAAACAGACATATATAATAGTGAAACTTTTTTTTCAGCTGTAATTCTAACAAATTAAATTATGCAAGACTTCAAGAACTGTCAATTCAACTGTCAAATGTTTATGTTTTCTTCCTTGTAACTCTCAGATTCACATGTCTGTCTCTCACCAGCACGTCGTTGCAGATGTCCTGAAGCTCAGTCTCGATCTTCTCACGGTATTCGCGCGCCATCTGCTGTTTCTTCTCATTGCCCTCCGTTTTCTGCTCGATGCTGGAGATCACACGCCAGGACGAGCGGCGGGCGCCCACCACGTTCTTGTAGGCCACGGAGAGCAGGTTGCGCTCTTCGTTGGAAAGCTCAACGCCGCCCTCCGTGACGGCCTTCATGGAAGCAGCCATGTCATCATAGCGCTCGGCCTGCTCAGCGAGTTTAGCCTTCTGCACTAGGTCGCTCTTGTCCATGATGCAACTACAAA